ATTAGCCTGAATGGAGCGTAACAAATATTGCTTAACTGAACACATAAGTTTTAAATTTAATATACCCGGAAGCCTTGTAAGGCTTGCATGTGAAATTAATGCATGTAAGCAATACCAATCTTCCACCCGTAAACTTGGCCTCTGGCTGGGGCTTGCAATAAAATTATGTTTGCTGAGGCCATTTTTCATAAGAGCAGATCATGGATTTCGCTTGCAGGAAGCAGAATGCAAAATCGCAGCTTCACAAACACAATGTTTTACTCAAAAAGTCAAATAAACCGCAACAATCTCACTCCGTGGAAGTTGCACTGCATCACTGTCGAAAAGCGCAAATTTCTACTTCAAATTTTTAATACAGAGAAAAATATCATTGAAACTGGTCAGTTTTTTACACCGTTGAAGATACAAGCCACTCCACGACTGCCTAAAAACCCGAAAAAACTCAGCAGTTGCAAGCAACACCTCCAAAAACCGGAACTAATTTGATAAAAAAAAATTGTTTAAAGAAACTTATTTTAACTAATTATTTTTTATGAATATTACTTGCTTTAAAAATGTCGACTTGTACTTCGCTTGTCCATTCCAGGTCTAGTCTTTATTTAATAGGAGTGTTAAATGATATTTTGAAATGAGCGGGCTTGGAATAAAGGATCAAAGGAATTTATAATCTTTAAATATCCAGTGCAAACGCTGGAAACTCACCGTAAATTGCTCATTAACTGGCTTATTTAGATAATGCTGGATTAGGCAGGGCTTTCCTAGACCGCAAACGCAACCCAAGACCAGCACTGAGGGATAATTAGGCCAGTTATCTTTGTCGTCCTCTTTTGCATAATGGATAATGTTATTTCCTTTGGAAGGCCGGAATTTATGAACGCAAAAAGTGCAATTCGCAACTAAGATAAGCACGATTTCGTCTTCTGTCACCGAGCCAATTTTTTAACAATTTCGCGGCTTGCAACAGCATCTTTAACAGTTCGATAACATTGATTTTTTTTTAATCAAATGAAGCACGTTCTTCGAGTAGGCAAGAATGTCTGAATTAATATACTGATGTGATGTGCAATAATAACGAGGAAATCGTCAATCATACGGTTCCCGGAATCTGCTGTTAATGATAGATCAGCGCGAAAGAGAATTGGCTTAATTATGAGCTCAGCTACGGAACTACGGCCCCAGCAACGAATCCTCGTATCGAACATTATTCCGTCGCTTAAATAAATACCCTAATTAATGTTTCAAGATTTCGATGTGGCGAAATATCTGCAATTATTTGGGTCGCAATACACTGAGGGGGTTTTCTTAAATGGCTCTTTAGTTATAATAGTATTGCTCGGTTATAAGCTTAGGATGTCCTTAAATTATTCTGAGCGTCGTTTAATTAAACAGTTTCCTCCTGGAATGAACTTGTGAAGATACTTTTGATCAACCTGACAAAGCTTGATTGAAAACAGGCAATGAAAAACTGGAGTTTAAGAAGAACAATTTTTTTGGAATGTGGTAAACTTGGATTGAGAAGTTTTAATTTGAATTCGAAAAAGACGCCGATGGCTCCTTGGCCGACTTTGAGAGTTTTCATTTTATATTAAAACTCGAAGTATCAGATCTAGTTTTTTTAATCAAGTTTAAACAAGAATAAGCAAATAATTCAACATTGCTTCAGGATAATCAGCAAATACATAAACTTAAAATCCACTTTTCAAACACAGTTTGGTAGTGTTGAGCCCAAAATCAAAATTGGCAGAAAACAGTCCGGTTTACTGGAATTTTGAATACCACTTTTCCAAACCAAAAATTAGTGCAAAGCAAAGACGTAAACATTATGCTGTTTAAAAGTGCAACAATTAGCTTGCATATTCCAGTGAATTGTTGAAGATTTCTAGGTGAAAATGTTGGTTTCCTTGCATTTTATGTTATGAAAACTTTATTTGAAAAAGTTTATTTATTAGTTGATGTTAAAAGCTTTTAAAATCTGATAAAAGAATAAAAAATCGATTCACTACTGAAGATTCAAAAAACAATCAAAAGTCAAAATAGATGATAATGAAAAATCATTTTCCAGGAAATTAAACGCTTTTCATCTTTCTGTAAATGAACACTTGAACTAGACTTGCACAGGAAAAGCTTAGGAAGAAAAATGAGAAAACTTTCAAAAAAGAGACACAATTTATAATTTTGCCTTACAATTTTCGAAAGCATAAATTATAACTAACAAACAAACAAAGATTAACTTTATTGAAATTTCCTACAAATCACCGTCCGGAAACAAGTAAATAAATTAAAGGATGTATGAAAATGTTGACTGCCTTGCATTTCATGTTATCAACACACAACTTGAGACTCTAAACTCAAACAGAGAAAAATTAGGGCAACATTTGTAATCACTTTAAACTCGAGCTCGATATGCACCTGGAACAGGCTAGAAATGATCTATAAACTAAGCCCTCAATTTCACTTAGTCTGATTAATTCCGACTCTGATCGTTTATCCAAATAGAAGCGTTCAATGCAGTTGCTTTGATCGGAACCATTGCGCTCTAGTTCTATGGGTATCTGTTCAGCTTTTGACCAAAAATTACTGAATGAACTAAATATTTAACTCAACAGAAAATCAACTCTAAGGACACATGTGACCTTTGCCAATACGTCTCGCAAGCAATCGATCTTGCAGCTCCAGAAGTTGTAGCTCAATTGAGAAGACTATTAATCGACAAGTCATATTTTATATTCGACACTTTCCAGGTGTGTGCGTTGGAGCTGACGACGGCTCCAAGTCAATTTCGTATGAAAAATGCTCGTTATTTACTCAGGACATTTAAGAACACCATAAATCAAATGAAAGTAAAGTGCCAAAGCCTCCCGCCAAGAATTCCCAAACAGCAGGTTTTTTTTTCGTTTTCCGTGTCGAGATTATCGACTGCAAAACATAATTGGTTGAATGAAGCTCAAATGATTGGAACTCGAAGTAAAAAATGCTAAACCCATTTACTACAGCTGGATAATAGTCACAGTTGCAAATATGAGCTGCATGGTGTGTCTCAATCCGGAAATTTTTCCATTTCGGCAATCTTATAAAGCTCCTATACAGGCAAAAGTTAACTACATTGTTCCACTTTAACACCATATCCAATATATTTTCTCAATTTCCTGTAAATGAACTGTAACACAATATTAATAGAAGTGCCAGCCAGCTACACCTCATAATTCATATTATAGGCATTCTTAGCGTGTGACAGGCTCTCTCGCAGTGAAAAATGCTCCTTATTTGTTGGGAGGATTTATTTTTTAGTCCAAATGGAAAGTTAGTGGGCCAAAAGTCATATGCGACAGGTGGAATATTGAATTACATTTCAACAGTTATTTACGGTGAGTTCCAGTCTAAAATCATTTAAAGTTCAGCGGACTGGTTTTCTGGAAAAACTTCTATTAATTTTGTTGTACAGTTCATTGATAGTGACTATTCCTCTATTCTTATTTGAAGGATTGTCTCATTTCTTTATTATTAGATTCACACTGACTCTTTTTTTCTTTCGCTAGAACTTACGAATTTTAAAAACTTTTCAAACTTTTCATCGTCTTTTCGGCTTGTTCCATTATCGAATAATTCGATCTATTTACTTCGATTCTTTCACAATAATCACATCAATGCACATACTGTAATTAATTTTAACTTAAACCTTGCAGTTTGAGAAAGCAAACCGAGCAACTTTTCCACCTATTTTTCAAGCACATTTCCCTTCATTAAATATTTTCCAAGATAGCCGATTTTCTTGTAAGCAGGCATCTTTTGGCCGGAATTCAGGTGGCACGTTCTTATAAAAGTTTCATTAGCAACACCGATCCCATAAGTATAATTCGCAGTAAGTTTATTCCACCGATTTCGCCCTCCTTTTGATACGGAAGAAAGGCATTATTTACGTAAATAACGGGCATTTTTCATGCCCCAAACCTCTCCGAATCTGTCGCACCTGGAGAATGCCCACCATAAATTATCCAAAGCTATTCGCAAGCCTTTTAATATCGGCACTGACATGTAAGTTATGGGTTCTAATAGCGAATGTTTTATTAAGGTGTTATTCAATTTGTTCTCTTCACTCATTTACGTGTGAAAGAGCTGTTAAAATCGTCATGAAAAGAGCAAAAACAAACTGCTTTTTAATAGCACTGTAATCGGCTACAAATGTGACGAAAACCTAAAGAAACTCATTAATAAACATGAAAACTTTCTCAACTAATTAGCAAGTAATTGCACATGAAGCAAGAGTTTGTTTTGCAAACACATAACTTTTAAAGCAGGAGATAAACGTCTTTAAAAAATGTCCACACATGAAGAGGCAGCATTCTTACACATAAACTGAACTAAAATTGAAGACAAAATGAAATTCCACAAACAGAGCTGGGGAGTTTAACCGAAATTGTGTAACTCTTGACCGCAGGAGACGGCAGTATCTAATGAATAAAACATCAGATTTTAATCCAGTAAGAAGTTTTGCTCAAAATATGGCTTGCAAAAGTTTGATCCAACAAACTATTGCCTTTCTTGTTGGTGGAAACTTGTTGGGCCAGATGTTGCCGTTTTCTCAGAACGTTGGAAACTATGGAACGTGATTGAAACTGAATGGTGAAACATTGTGATATTAGTATCCTGTTGATTTTTTACTTGATGATTTGGCAATTTATAAAACATGAGGAATAAATCTTTGCCAAACATTTGTTAACAGAAATAGCTATAAAACTGTTGAGTTTTTGGAGCTTTAGGTCGGCAACCCACTCAGCAGCTTCAATCAATGGCCCCGAAAGTTTAACTAATTGGAATGAATCCCCGGTAGAATATTCCTGATTTATAATGAAATTTGCATTCAGGCAATCAATTAAACATCCCTCCCGTTTTCCTCAGTAAAAGTATTGGTGTTTCTCTGCCCTGCTCAATGGCCATTTTCTACAGAACAAGCAGATAAAAACAATCGGTTTAAGATAGTGAAAATCGGCTCTTTGTTTCAGTGCCACCCGATATCATAAATACGGACACAAGTGGAGATCTTTCCGTATCTGAGGGTGAAAATGCAACCCTTTGGTGCAAAGCCACCGGCCATCCAACGCCCCGAATAGTGTGGAAACGAGAGGACGGCCAATCGATTGTACTTAGGAAGGGCCCAAGGGAATACACTGAAGGTAATATAATGGCTTGCCACTTTGTTAATTTATTAATTCCGATTAGTGTCACAATCGCAATGGACAGGATATAATTAGGGGATTGTCGTGTTGGTGCGGATTATGCCCGCATATTATTTGCCTAATGGAAGTGCTCTATATATAAAAGACTTGAAATAAAGTGTGCAGATGTGCACCTAAAAACTATTTAAAATATTAAAGGAGAGAAGCAATTACATGAATCGAAATAAATTAGCATCACTATTATTTCAACTGTAATCAATTTTTTTCGAAGCAACGCACCAGTTAAAACGAATATATTGTTTAAAGCTTAATTTATTACGCATTAACATGCGCGTAAATTGCTCTTGTTTTCTGATGCGAAAAGTTGTGGAATGAACTGGATGGAGCAAATTAACAGTCGCCTATTGCCGATGTAACACGCGTTTAGCTAATTTACGTAAAATTAATTAAACATTACTATTATTCGCATAATTTTGTCTCAAACATCAACAGTTTCCGATATAAAAGCACATTTAAGGCGCTGTAATCAGTATGTCTTACACACTGTTGAAACGGTTGCCACACTTTAATAAATTCAGAAATTTCATGTGAAACAGCGTGAAAATCGCAATGGATTAAATAAATGTGCGACCGCTTTTAATAACGCTTCTAGTGTTTATTTTTCATTTTCGTTCATATTTTCGAAACCAGTGTCCATATTTTAATTAAAAATAATATTTCCTGGGGCCAAACCGAACGCTGAACTTTGGATTATCGTCTGACCAAGATATTTGATTTTTAGTATGTTATTTTAGGATCGAGATCAGATTTTTCCGCCACCTCCTTCCAATTACTATGAGCTCCAATGTTGATTAAGTCTTGTTCTTAAATTACTTCCGGCCAATCACTGAGAAATTCAGGTGAAAAAGTCCCAGAAAAGCAAACAATCAGCATCGAATAAGGCAAACTAAGTGGGATGTATTTAATTAAAAATCCCATTTTCTTCCATTAGAGTAGCGTATATTGTTAGCATGTTCCTTTTGTTCTGTTGCAAGGAAGCTGCAATAGAAAAATTCCGACTAGATGTACAAGATTTAATTAAACTCCAGCGAATTCTGTGCGCTTCGTTTGTATCCCCCGAACAAGTATTAAATTTATGTGTTTTCAGGTTCTTTTCAAGCCGTAATCGAGATCTTTTAAACGGGAAATTTCGTACTTGTTAAACGACAAAACTTGTTGTTTTCGGATAAGCTTTGTTGCTTTATCATTGGATGGCATTTATTTTTACTCGAACCGTACACAGACAATAACGATAAAATGTAATTATGGCTTGATGCTGATATAAAGACAACTATTTCACAGAGTTGCATAAAGAGTTAGAGATTAAAGCGACTTTGCTGAAATATTTGTTGGGATAAAGAGATCGCAATAGCTTAAGGGCGTGTTTCTTGCTCAATTTTAACTCGAACACTTTTTACCAAATAATTTCTGAAATCCCATTCCATATTTGTGTTTGCACATTTATTTTTAGCTGTTTTTTTGTGCACTTTTGCACAAGCTGACTTAGGAATCAGTTTTCTATAAAACATGAAAATCTATTCTTCGCTACTTGTCATTACCAACCCAATTTCCCTGGCAAGCCACTCGCTTTCGAATATTTATTCAGATTTATGCGGTCGATCCCGAATACCGGACCCGAAAATGTCCAACAATTTTATCCTGCATGCTTAACGACCAAAATTCCTTTCCCAATATTCGGGTTGCCGCCCTTTCAAGATCCAACTTGAGCAAAGAAAAAGAAAATATTTTATAAATTAGAGCGATTCCGGCAAAGGAGGAAAAAATGAGGAAAATCGCCCTGAGCAAACTGGCGATATTAAATGTAACACTCTTTTGGCAAAAAGGGGTTTTGTGGCCTTTGAAAAGGGCCGGAAAAATTAACGAAATCGTGGGTAATTTGCCGCAGACGAATGGACCATGGACTTGCTGCTATCGATTGAACACAGAATAATCTTAATAAATAAATTGTTTAGAATTAGTTAACAAATCCTTAACGTGGCCCAAAAAGCTGCTGATCAACAATGTCAATGAATCAAAGAAACGTTAATGGAGAAAATAGAATAACAAAATTACAAAAACGCTCATTAAGCATTATGGTTCTGTCTGTATTAGGTAACGTCAGGGACTGAACATACCAAAATTAATTAATGATAATTGTGGAAAAACTAATTAAATTATAGTGAAATAAACCAGATTAATGAACTAATAAATTTATCTGAATCTAAAAGCATCACACAGTGAAAGAACGCATTAAATTTAATTAATATTTAATGGGCATTATTTAGAATATCCATTACCTAATGATTCGGCCTAAAATGGGCATTTATTGTTTAGTTTGTTTGAACGGCGAGTGGGTGGAGTAATTTATGCGTAAAGTTTTAATGTGAGCAATTATTATTAACATTAAATATCATATTACTATAGAACAGCGGTAATTAATGTTACACCCCGCTGCTGTCGGCGACCTTTGCTAAATGATCGTTTGGTCGTTCCATTGGCTTCCAGCAATTTATTTAGCCCAGATATGGTATTTGCGTGGTCAATACGATTTTCCGTTATGTTCGATCAAAGGTGGATTCGATTGCAATTAATAACAGTTGACTATAAAGAGGAATCGCTAATTACCGATTTTAATTGAAAAAAACTTATTAAGTTCAAGCTTGGGGAATAAATTGGTGGATTTTCGTGGTCCAGTTTTTTGCCCAAAAAAAGTGTATGTGAAGATGAAAAGAAACCAAATTTATGTTTTCTTGCCACAGCCCAAAGTTCATTGTGATAATTGGCGATTTCAAACACCAAATGTGCATTAGACACATCTTCCATACCGAAGGAAACATATTCCATAATTTTGCGTGCGAATAAAGCGACAGTATAACGGGGTTTATGTGTATCTGCTATAACCAAACAATTAATCTGACAGTGGAATAGTCTTGTAAATTGAATATTGATTGGACAAGAACTGTTAGAGGCACGACTAATGGAGCACAATTAATGCAGTTTATGTAATGAAGCCATTTTCGTCTCAGTCTAGTCTGAACTGGAAACGCTGCTTTGTTAATTTTAATATGTAACGAGAGGGAGCAGCCTGTTTAGAGTAAAGCGTCCCCATTTTGTTTCAGTGGAGACCTATAATGGGACCAACCTGCATTTTTGGAGATTAGATCGCAGACAAATGGGCGCTTATCTTTGTATTGCCAGCAACGATGTTCCTCCGGCTGTTAGCAAGCGAATAGCTCTGAATGTAAATTGTAAGTAGTAGACAAAATTCAGTCAATTTGTACTTAAAACTCACGGTTCTCATATGGTAAATTATGCAAAACCACATTTACACTCAACTGATGCTATGGTTGTTTGAGACCCGGATGAAAATTGGTTAAAGGTACCTACTTGGATTTTTCGGTCAATAGATCCTGACAGAAAATAACACAATATTTATGTTGGGCCCAAGAAAATGATTTTTTTTTAATTCTCTGCCATTGACCGATAACCCGAAGCACCTAAACAGGCATCTTTTACCAAATTACACTCAATGTTAAACTGAAAATTGACCGAAAATTACAATCGTGTAATAAAGATTCACTGATAAAAAAATATATTATTTAAATGATTGATATTCTCGCTAAATAATTGTTTTATTGTTGTTTTAATTTCCAGTTGCTCCAGTTATTAAAGTGCCAAGTCAGCTACTAGGAACCCCATCCAATACAGATGTGCAACTGGAATGCTATGTGGAAGCATTTCCCAATACCATCAACTACTGGACAAGGCATATGGGGGAGATGCTGCTAAATGGGTAAACTTTTTTTGTTTTCTATTAAATATTGGTTAATTAAGGTACAAATGTGACCGAAACAAGCTTCGGTTTCGGGAGTTTAATTGCTCAAGTGCGGTAAGTGATATTTTAAGTGCATTGCAATCGTATGCTGTAAAGGCACGTATTGGCTCCAGAAATTTACGTGCGGGGATCTATTTCTTCGGAAAAGTGCATTATTTAATTCAAAAATCCTTTTTGCCAGAAAAATGGATTTTTTCCTAATTAACTTGGGCGGTAAAGAAGCTTTATTTGAACATTTGTTAAAAGTAAGGACGCAAAAAAAATCCTAAACGTTGGCTATATTGTTGTGGGTATATTTCTGCATTCATATTCTTACACAGTCTTTCACTTGTACTTTCCTGTATACAATTAGGTAGAAATACAAATATAATCAAAATCGAAAATCGAATTTCCAGTCAATGTCATGAAGTTGTAAGAGAAAATATTTCCAAGAAATCAGAAGCGCAAGCAAATAGAGAGAGTGACAAAAATTAAGCAAGCAAACAAATAAAAGTCAAGTGAGAACCAAACATCAATGAAAATTTGAAGCCGATAGATGTGATGAAAGGTTATGGACAAGAACATACAGAAGAAACAAGACATAGTTAGTAAAAAAACTAAAATAAAGAAAAAACTAGAATGAATGACGAAGGAAATTTGTCAATTACGCAGGAAAATTTCAATTGGGAACAACGCTGAAAGAAATAAAATGCTAGATAAAATTGAGCAATTAAAGTACGCGATAAATGTGAAAAGATAGAAGTAGAGCAAAGACTCGACGGTTTTGACCCGCAAAACTCTAAAGAATCCCAGGAAAAAAGTAAGTTTGGAAAATTTACTAATTAAAACAGTGATCTTGTTGAAGGTAGGAAACTAGAAGAAATGAGAAACTTATAAGTAATGTTTTTCATAAAAAAGTGTGGTAAATTATGGCGATTCAAATAATCCTTCATTTGAAATTTCACGAGTCATATAAGGTAAATATGTATAATTTAATCAAAAAGTAAATATCTAACCAATGTTAAGTGTAAAAATTATGAGAAAATCGAGTAACAAGAAATAAATATAAACGCGCTGAGAAACTCCAATTAAAAGCCAAATTTACAGAAAGTTCTAATAAAAGTTTCACAATAATATACAATATCAATAATATCGAATAAGCTCGACCAACTTACGAGGCACTACACAGAACAAAGCAAGAGTCAAAAGTGGAACATTTGAAATGAGGAAAAAATACTGCAATTACTGGACAGGAGAAAAGAAAATAAGATCAACGATGAAAGAAATGAGGAGCCACATAAAACTGTACGAACCGATAAATGAAACTACAGAAACATATTTGGGCGAATAATCGTGGCAAGAGAGAAGAAGTATAACAAAAGTTTCAACTTGCATTAAAACGTTTAAGGCTCTACACAAACAAACGTCTTATCAAAAAATGCAGCATATTGCTTGAGGATAAAAACAGCAAATGGAGAAATGAAAATATTGTGAAATAGTCAAGAAATTGGAAAAAAAAGTAAAGTTATGTAATTTAATCAAAAATTAACATTTAATGTAATGAATGTTAAGTGTAAAAATTATCAAGAAATAGTAATAAACACGCTTAGAAAATCCAAGTTTAGAGAGAATATCATCAATACGAAGGATGAATTAATATTGACAATAATAGACATTATTAATAATTTCGAAAGAAGTTCTATCGAGTTACGGAACGCTGCACAGATCAAAGCAGAAGCAAAAATAGAACATCTTAAAGGAAAACAAAATTGATAGAATGCCAAAGGAAAGGCTGCAATTACTGGGCAGGAGAAAAAAAATAAGAACAACATAAAAGCAATTGAGGAGCTACAAAAAACTGTAAACGAAAACGATAAATGAAATTAACGAAACATAATTAAGTGAACAATGATGAAGACAAGGAAGAAGTAGAAGATAATTTTTACAGATCCTACAAGAAGATACAGCAAAAGACAGTTTGGAAAGGTTATAATTTAAAACAGCGATGTTTTTGAAGAAGACGAAAAAGAAAATTGAAGAAAGACGTTTTTCACTTAGAAAATTCATTCAGAATAGATATTACAAGAAATTCGTTAGGAAATCTAAAAATATGTAATAAAGGCATAGAAGGCAACGAAGACACGATGTCACATTCCTGCAAAATATTGTGTTATAAAAAAATGCTCATTCTTGATCATTAAGAAAAACAAATAGGGAATAATGAAAATATTGAGAAATAATCAAGACACCAAAAGTGAAAAAAATTATATTGGAGCACATTATGAAAGGAGATCGACATTAGCTGTTAAGAATAATAATTCAGAGAAATATGAAAAAAATTGTGTCTGATTTAAAAAAATCGAGTGGTTTAACTGTAGTTCATTGGACCTTTTTCAAAGCGGCAGTAGTGTGGATAACAATGATGCCTACATTCGATAAAAGCGACATTCAACGAAGCAGAAGATGGCAATTCTATGGATTTTTTTCACATTACATAACTTACTTTATTGTGATGAAATCTAATAAATCACAATAAGATCGTTTCGCGATTTCAATTAGCGAAACATCCGTAAATTAATAGGTCCAAGTTACCTTCTTGAAATGGTAATTCAGGACTACATCGAGCCCGTAAAATTAATAATATAATCTGAACTCTATATTGCACCTGTATTTGTAAAGGAAAATTGTCAGGAAGAGGAATAAACACCGGAGGGCGAACACCTGCTGAATAATTATACCTAAGATAAATAGTTTGAAATGCTTAGGGAGATTATAAGTTCAGGCTGGGTAATCCTTCAATATTGTTAAATAACACAAGTTTGTTTAACCTTACCGGCTCCAAATAACTTCTGAGCTGTTTGCCGTCAATGTGAGCATAAGGGGGAGTTAAATTAAGTGGAAATACAGTTCGCTTTGAATCATTTATCGCACTGTAGTCGTATATGGATGGGCCTCCGATTTGATTTTCGTGTGCATAACATGGTATTTAGAGGGAAATTTGTGGGGCCTGTTTTCAGTAATTTAGATTGTATTTATGCTCGTGGGAGGTAATATGATTGAAGATTTATTAATCGTGGTAGTATTTCGTCGGTTTCCTGTCAATATTTGAGTAGCTATTACAGTAATTGTAAGTAAACGTTTGAAAAGTTCACAGTTTGTAAATGCGTAGTTTTGCTCCAGTTATTCCTTATAAACATTGCACTTAACTCATAAAATCAAACGCAACAGCGATTACATATCAGTTTTACACACCAGATGGAAAAATTATGTGTCGGCCAACGAACAAAGGAGCGCGCGAACGAAAATTATACCTTTTCGAATATTAATATTTATGCCCGTATTTTATAAAACCTTTTTGGAATATTAAGGGTAAAATGAAATTATCTTTGTACACAAGCTGTATTGTGCACATAAATTCTTACGATAATAGAGCTCGGGAACGCTTGCGGAACTTTCTGGGCTTGAATTTTTCACGAAGAAATTAAATTTACTGAGTCGAGTATTTTAACAGCGTTTGCCTATCTAAGTAAGATATTTGCCTCAGTGTGCCATCTAAATGAAGTAAATAGGTTCGTTTATTCCACAGTCCAAATGTGATTTTATTCTCTTAGAAGGAAACCAGCATTTTTGTACGACAAAAAACATCCTAATTCGAAATTAAATGAATGAAATATTTACGAAAGGTCAGTGAGTTTTGGGAAATAGATATTGGAGATCGGTCTGATGTGGTCTTACGAAAAACACTTCTGAGATAATGTTAGGACAAAGCATTTCCTTCTTCAAGACATTAGAGACCTAAATAAATTTTCTGAAGCTTTGTTGTTTTTCTGTGAATCCATTTAAGACTCGCTGCCCTGAAGAAGCAGATTAATTTCCGAAAGATTGACATTAACGGCGAAGTTTTTTTCTCGAGACGATTAAACAAATGGTGTTTTTCTTTCATATTACAGAAGTAAATATATTATACGGGAAGACCGAAGCGGCTACAAGATCTACATGTGGTTGATCATCAGATCGTTTACGGAAAGCGATGAGGGGACCTACAATTGCATCTCAACGAATTCGTTGGGAAAAGCTGAAGGAACAATGCGACTTTATGGTAAGTAAAATGTATACAGCTTGCTCATTTAGAAGATGCAACAATTCCGTCACAGGAACTAACAAACATTTTCGATTTATACTGAATTAATATGTCTTGAAACCGTCCTCAACACCTCTGGGCTTCGCTTCGCTTCTATAATTGCGTCATTTTGAGCCCAAAAAAAAAATCTCCAATGATTCAAAAGTGCTTAAGTGCTAAACACAGAAAGTGGGTAGCAGACGAAGCCACGTAAAAATCAGATCAATCAAAAAAACACATCAATTAACGCTTTCATGGGATCAAGACAGAATTCTTTCTATCCTAAATAATCTTTGCTGGCGTTTCGCGAGCTCAAGTGGCATGCATCTTTAGAGGTGATTTGCTCGCAGTGCTGGCAGAATGGAATAATTTTCTTGAAGAAGAACATTTTTTCCACAATTTTTTGCTCTAGGCCTTGCGGTTAAGAATTTTTTTTTCCAATAAACTTACTTAAAATCAGCATCAGCAGGAAGTAAAGAGGGAAAATTGGTTCGTCAATCACGAATTGATGCTTCAGGTCATCGGAAAGTTATCGGAAAGTGTCCTTAAGTTGTCCACATGCAAGATTCAAGCTGCACTGCATTCAGCTGCTTTTATCGTATAATATTCTGTCATCCAGAACAAACTGTGCAATACGAGCGGGATTCGGTCTAATCTATCCTGAGCTTGCGAAAGTAATAGTAGCAGGACCCCAGGGGAGATAACTCTATATAAAGTTTTAGCAGCTAATATGGCACTTTACTCAAGTTCACCGTTTACTTCCAACTTTTCCCTGCATCCGGTCAACTGACAGCGAGTTAGCGGCAGCGTTTAGTGAGCTTTCCAACTTTTTAAGCAACTTCCACAGTTTAAATATGTCGTGCGGTATTAAGGGCAGGAATCACAGTTCACACAACAATCGCTCTCAATGAGCTGCTTTGTCGAATAAAAAGTGCTTGTGCCAAAAGTAATCTACTCAAATCGTACTATTCCGATTAATCCATCTAAGAAAATTTAATGTATTTCGCTTAAAGTTAACTTTCTAGAACTTTCAATTTTTTTTTAAGTCCCAAAGTGTTTTCAGTTCTAGCAAAAGCGATCATTTACAAGATCAAAATATTTCTTATGGGAAAAGTACGACCGAATATCTTGGAAAATGTGGAAATTTTCACGGATATTAGAACCGGATTTGGCCCCTATAGAACTTGGAGACAGGTTTTTTACGCATAACTATTGAACCACTAGGTATATCGCGATTGTTTAAATTATCATGTTTAGCAAGTAATACTATTCAAGCAAGGAATTATTTGCTTAAAAATAGCGCATTTTTTACTGAAAAGCTTGTAGGGCTTTTGAAAAATGAGCTAAAATGTATGCAATGTTTGGGCAAAATAATAATAAATGTATGCAATATTTGGGTCTAATTTTGGATTTCAATGTTTTCTGGAAAAAAAAACGGAAATTGAAAGTTATGTTTCACACGAAAAATAGCGCAATTTAATGCTAATTACTTTTCATAAGGAAAAAAGTAAGTTTCCTAGCCCTGAAATTTTCAAATATGAGCTTGAAACGAAATTTGGAAAAAATGGACTAATTTTGAAATTTTACAATGTCTGAGATGGCCCTAATTGGAATTTCATATTTTACACCGAAAAATAGAGCAATTTAATGCTTTATTTACAAAGAAAAAAGTATTTTCTGCAGCTGATGCGGTTTTTCATAGATAATCTAAAATAGACGCCAAACTCAGAGAAAACACTCCAATCTTGGATATTTACATTTCCTGAAAAAAAAACAGAAAGAATTGAACATAAAATGTTTCACATAAATAAATAGCGCAATTTTACGCTCTCTTTTCTAAGAAAAAATGAAGTTCTGTAGCTCTTGAGTTTATTCAAATAGAAGCTAAAATCTACGCGAAATTGACGAACGAAAAGTTTAAAGTTAGGTTTTACCTGAAAAATAACACAATTTTATAAGTAAAATACTAAGGTCTGTGGCTCTTATGGGTTTTCAAATATTATCTAAAAATTTCCCGAAATTTGAGAGAAATTTACGAGTGAGTTTCGTTTTAAATGGGAAAGTTTAGTAAAACGCAAAGTTTGGGAAAAATGTGCTAATCTAGTAATTTTATATAAACCGAAAATTGAATTTCATATTACATGAAAAATGAAGCAATTTAAGGCTCTATTTACAAATGAAAAAATCAGATTTTACTTGAAAAAATATAGCTATTAAATAGTCTAATTGCAACCTGAAAAGTGAGCCCTGCAGCTCTTACGGTCTTTTAAATATGACTTAAAAACTACGTGACTTTTGGGAAAAACGGACCAATCTTAGATTTTGCTATTTTCATAGAAAACCAAAGACAATCGAAAGCTATGATTCACATTAAAAAATAGCGCAATTTGATGCTTTAAGTAGAAATGGAAAAGTAACCGCTTTTGCTCAGATCGTTTTTCCAATATTAGCTAAAAACTACGCGACATTTGGGAAACATGGACTGTTACATTTTTTCGAAAAGCAAAATCAATTAAGAATCAGATTTTACGAGGAAAAATAATGCAATTAAACCGTCTAATAGCGAATAGGAAAGTGAATTCTTTGTTCTTTCTATGAGGTAAAGACCACGGGACTTTTGTGATACACTGTTCTAAACGATGGTTAAACGTTCTTTTTCTGAATTAAATAATTAGTGGATAATTAAAATATAATTGACTAAAAATTAAACACTCTTTACTCAATTAGGTCGCTAATCTCAAAAAAGTTATTGTGTCAATTTCTCCACATTCGCGTTCTTCAATTTCTCCACATACAAAAATCGGAAATTGGGAAAAAAACGGAAGTAAACAAAAATTATTAGACTGAAGGTTGAAAATTTGATAAAAACCAAGAAGTATTTTGCTTTAAATATACCTGGTAAGTCAATAATTACGCGTAAAAACCTTGGTTCCATTGCTGTTCTTGGATACTCCATATCTTCAAAAAGCCGACTTAAACAACAAAAAACCTATAAAAAATTGAGTAAGCATTTTGTACCAACATAATAAATTAATTTTTATAGTTTGTTTATTTAAAATAATCTGTGTAACCGTCTAACGTTTAAAAACCTTTTAAATAAAAAAAGAAAAACCCCTTATAGTGTATGGCAAATAGTAGACGAAAATTGCTCTATAGCCGCGAGCATAAACTGCAAAACGAGTATTATCTTGCAACCTCAAAGCGAATACCTAGTCGCTAGATAAACGCTTTCTGTATTAAAAGTCTATAAAATGACTACTTTCCCCGAAGCTCATCTATTTAACTTCGTCGAACTTAATGGCTCCCCTAGAAGATGGGAACTTTGCAGGATTAGAAGCTGGAATAATAAAATACCGAAATAAAAGATATGCCCCAGAAAGATAACTGGGAGTTTTGGCGGGGGCACACGCTGTTCGAAATGATATTCGTTGATAAATTTGACGGATTTTAAGACAATGGTGTCCATTAATTTCGCAATATCAGTGCGGTAAACCATCGCAAACACTGGTTTAGTTTCGCCAAATCGATGGATTGTAAACGCAAGTTTCCTAGTTTTAGCAAAAAGTTTACCGAGTGGGCCGAAACGACACAACCGAAGATAAATTGATGCTGATTAACAAGCAGATAACTGTGAAAGATGGTCTAATTAATGTCATTAGTACAACATACCGGATTGTTCATTAAATGAAGATCGTTTTTCCCTAGAAATATTTGACAAAAATGACAGAGCAATGGCAAAATACGCTTCTCATTAACATTAGCTATGTTGCTTTATGCGTAAGTCAATAGAAAAAAATGGAATGATTTAACAATTAAATTCTATAAAAAAATCAATGGAGCATACAGAAGAAGATAAAGGCTTATATGGCCAAAGAGCATAATGATTGATATTCAGGGTCGACTTTAATAAATTGTTAAATTTCTTCTCAGTTATTAATCCTTCACTTTTGCATATTCTATGTTGAAACTATGTTTTCTTTATGTAAAACATTGAATGGATCCGAATTTCTAACTGAAAGCTGGGACAACGTTGTTTTTTCTTGAAACTACATCAAATGTGTTTTTATTGCTCGAGAAATTTATTTTGTTAATAACTTTCCCATAAATAATTCCAAAAGTTAAAACTTTCTTGGCTTAATATTCGAAATTCGGTTTTCTTGTTTTTGCATCGAATATTTCCTGATTTGTACACCCCATTTTAATTTTAATTAATCCTGTCCCACTTTCAATTTATTTAGAGGATTTACGTCGCTCCTCTTTCCAAAGATTTAATTCAATTTCTGTCGCCCAGCTTGCAGATACAAGACAGGTTTCTTTTCATCACAATGTAAAAATTATTTCACACATTGATAGAGAATAACTGTTGGTACAGAAGTTTTGAAATAACGTTTCCAGTTTTTAGTACGTGGTTTTCTAGGCAATGGCTTTAGCTATGTATTTAATTTTTATTGTTTTGTTGATTGGTTGAATTTTTTTATCGCACTTCTGAACAGCGTATTTAATAAATAAAGACTACACAGGGTGATTCAAAATTGGCGTCATTAATTTGGTTGTCTGGTGGTGCTTTAGGAGTACAGAAAAAATATTTAAAAAAATAAATTGTTATTAAATGCTGAGAAATTTGCAAAAAAACTCTATCAAAAAGACGGCAACAATGTTTTTCAAGGAATGACGCCAATTTTGAATCAGCCTGTTTAAACAAATTATTGACCATGGAATCTTCGCAATCAAAATGCTGAAAAAAGGACTGCTTTAGTTGCAAGTGTAAAAGGTAATTTAAAAGTAGCGTTTAAATGCTTGTAAATGTGTGTATTTCTGAAACAAAAACCGAGAATATGAAAGTTCCTTAGGAAAAACTCGTCAACACTTGTGGAAAAGTATGGAGCATTTTCGAGAAAAGTTAATTAAAATGCGCGATTTTGCTCCCAAATTGCGAAATTCAGTAGATCAGTGTGTTATTAAAGGATAACTGAAATGAATCTGACTCATTTATGTGCCTTTTTTAGTTGGTATGTTTTTAATTTTTCTCACAAAAATATATTCAATTTTAAAACCTTAGATGTCCAGCGCCTGAAATCCACTTGATCCAAATGATAATGGACATTTTTATAAAGTGTCTAGAGAAACTAACTCTTAAAAAGGTCTCTAAGATATAAAAATGTCTCCTAATTCGACTCATGTCTTGATGGATTTTTTGCATAGCACGAAAAATTTTGGATCGATATCCCTCATGAAGTGTTGGAGAATGTTTACCACCTTGTAAAACGAAAACTGTTACCATTAAAGAAATGTTGTCCTTACAATAAGCTGCAGCAAAGACACCGAAACCCTGCATATGAGCAAAGTACAGTTTACATCGGTTAAAATATGAATAAAGCTTGCAAAGGTTGGACACAACAGAAAAAATTTGGTAAGATACAAATAGATTTAGGGAAATTTCCAGGGGTTAGGCCGAAATCACACTTAATTTCGATGACATGGGTGAGGGAGTGTGCCCATATAAATATGATAGATTGCAAGCGGAGCCTTTTGGGCCTTTCGAAGGGTGCTTATTGTGAAACTTTCAAAGGTCGGGGTCGAATCGTTGTTACATTATAATAATGAGGTGACATTTTCATAAAATGTTAAACGACGCATTACTATTGAAAAATGATGATCGATTATGCAGCCGATTGAGGAGGATCAGTTGAAAATAAATCCACTTTTTTCGGCCACCAACCGTCCAATCCATCAGGTAGACAATTTTGATTAGTTAAAACTCAAATGTAAAGCATCTGAAACAAGTATTTATGATCGAATGGGACATAAAATTGAACCGCATCTCTCTCGAAATGTCACGGACGGTGATTAATACAGGTCTGGAAATAACTGTGCTGGAAACCGGGTTTCCGATGCTGAAGACTTAAGGAAAAACTCGATGGTAATCTAGCGTAGCCTGAACGTTATGACGGTCCTATCTTGGTTTTGTATCGGTAAGATATCTGGATGGAAGTAATCCGTGATGTTTAATAGCGCAATTTTATATAACAGATCTGCGGGGGAAAATATCCGTCGTGGATTGTGTGTTGCAGCTTCGAGCGTGCGATTTAGTAGCTAAAGGAGTGGAAAATTGAAAATTGCACCCTCACATCGAAAATCGACAGCAAAATTAAATTTTTCATCTAGGATTTGTCAGACAATTATAATTAGACTTACTTAGGTTATCAAGAGTTTCACATAAAACACGGAAACTTTCGAGATTGAATACTACAATTTTGCTCGTGAAAAAATATTTGCTTGGAATAATCTAGCAAAGCAGATTATCATTTCTTCACAATGTATAACAAATATATGTGCACCAATCGTTTCTATTGTTGCAGATATCAAAGTCAGCGCTGGAAGCCCTCAAGAAGGCACGTTGAGCATTATTAGTGGTAAGTTGGGAAAAATTGTCCGCATGACTTATGAAAAGGCTGCAGGTATTTTAAAAAACCGTAAAACTTCTCCGTTAATTCCAGGTCTTGCTGAACCAGCTAGAGGGCACATAAATGCTTCAAGCGCTTCGAGGAATGGAGCAACTTTATTCGTCTTTCTCATTGTTGCAATGATTCTACTTTGCCGGTGACTAGGCGTGTAAATTCCTTTTGCCCCAAACAGATAATTTAATTCATATTTCTGAACTGACTAATAATTATAAAATATGACTTAATATTAATTGATGTACATAATCGTTGTACATGTGTTCATAAATATAACCTTTTATTTTGGAAAGATGAATAGAGTTTTGGACTATCGGTGTTTGGTGTCAATTCCCATAAGTGACTAGGATATAATTACTCTAAGCGTTCATGCTTTTTTTGCCATCGTTTACATTCGTGAGAATCATGCAGTTTTAAACCGTTGATCGTTGAAGCGTTTGGCTCTTCAGGGCTTTCGTGCTACTCTCCATGTATTTAACATTCATACTTCAAATGTACATACATCGTTTGTACTATAATGATACTCTAGATTAGCGTGTAATGTGTGGTTAAAATATTTCAAAAAAATGTGTAGCTTCAATATACAGGAGTGGTAAAGAGCGGTTGGCTGATGAGGCAGCACTCATTTTTTCCACTCCAGTATAATTTAGATAGTAAAAAAATTGTGTTAATCAACGCATTTATTATTTGCCAAGGAGCGTCAAAATTATTACGTTCAACATTGATTTATATCCTTTAAAATTGCTAGAATATAAGGCACATATTGCTAAAAATTTTTATTAATAAGTAGACCTGTGATATTAATTGTAACCTTTTAATGTTTCATTACCCGCTCAATTACTGAAGCCATTTTCATACCACATACAGTTACGATTAGTCGGTATTTTACATGGAAGTGGATCGTTACAAAGTGAGTTTTATTTTCCACGAGTCAATTAAACTGTAATTATAAAGTCGACGGACGTGTATAATGTGTTTGCTTTACATGTAACAATAAAAAATATATAAAATGCTGATAACATCGTCAATGTACATTTAACTAGACAATGAAGGTTTTAACAATCAGATTGCAATTGAAAAAAAATTGAAAATCTGGACAAATTGCGACGATCTACTTCCCCATTAAATCGTAAATAATTAAGGAATCTAATGATATTTTTAAGAAAAAATGCATCGTCTAATTCTTACGATAAAAACTTAAACTATGTGGCAACCCAATTTCATATTTATTAAGTACGTTATCGAAATGTGGCAACTACAGGTGTTATTGATATATTTTTGGCTACTAGATAGTTGAATAGGACTTTTTCCAATAAAATAAGTTTATACCCTATTTTCCTTGTAGTAACCAATTTTTGGTAGAAGTCCCGATTCAAACACTACTTACAACAAAAGTTTCTATTACTTGGAACATTTTTTTTCATGAATATTTAAAAGCTGAAAGCGTTTTTACGGTTTTGACCACCAAACCAACATACAGAAATATTAATCTTTAATTCCAAATTACAGGTTTTATATCTACTCAGGAGAGAGGGTAAAGTTTCCTATTTTTAAAATACAATGCGAGTGAACTTGAAATAAACTTGATATGTTCATTTTAAAAAAATAGTCAAATTTGGAACACGCTGTATAAAATATGTTTACTTCAAACAGAGCGCAATTTAAAAGGCTAATCTCCGTGTTCCAGCATATTTATGACAAAATGCTGCTATCGATTTACTCATTTTCTTCGTAAGTTACATACGTCCACTTAAAATAAATATTAATAACTAAATGAACTGTCGAGAGTTTTCAGCTTTTAACTTTTAACTCTTAAGGGCCAATGGTAGATATCCAAAAAAACAAAGTTCATCGTGTATACGACATTAAAACAGAAAGCCTAAAGTTTCGATTGAAAGCAGTGAATATACTCTCTAGCTTAAGTTTGCCTGTGCTGTAACATTTTTTGCGCTCATATTATACAACCATCAATGTTAAGCGTGTAAATAATATTGTAAATATTTATGAAATACAATTTTAAAAACTAAGAAGCATGAGGTTGGTTTTATTGTGGTTATTTATCCTCTGGTCCCTCTGTTTCAAGCTCTAGCAAGGGCGATTTGAAAATATTTAGTGCAATAAAGATCGAAAATGACGAAAAAATCTTGAAGAAAGTTTAGAAGTTAAGTAGAAAGTTAAGCAGTTAAAAATCGTTTAAAACTCACTGTCTAGGTTGACTCGGCTTTAACGCTGTGGTTTCGGACACAAAACTTTGGCTCTTAATAACAAGAGAAGAATTTGTTAAATTTTTAATTAAACTTTGCAAAATTGTAAATTTTTGCGTTGCCCAACTAATAATTCGAATAATAAACGTAAAACTCGCCTCCGACATCCGTCTAATGGTTGCCTAAAAAAAGTGTCCATGCGTTTGAGGAAAGTATTCAAATATTCTCGGTTTTTCTTGTCTTGAAACATTCTGGTAAAAAAATATTTAACGCTATAAAATTCACCATCTACACCAGTCTGATGCTTAAAACGTTTGGCATAATTTCACCAAAAAAATGAAAGCGCAATTTAATTTGAAACATTCAAGAAGCGTTCTTGTCTAGCGTTCATTTCTCGATAACCAAAAAAAAATAAGGAATCGAACATTTTCTCGAGCTCTCAAATTGCAAGTGAATATAACAAAGAGTAAACGTAGAGTACAACAAGAAATAACAATGAAAGATAATATTTAATGCAAGTGCAGAAATGAGAAGAAACAAATCCAAAACTAAACAACTTCGAATCAATGGACAAAAAACTGAAATTTAGAGGAAAGGAAATAATGTCAGATATGTACAGTAAAATACGGTAACAGAAAGAGATCTGCTACAACGAGAAAATCACCCTAAATATACTGATTAAAATGAAGAAGGGCAAAACGAATGTAATAACTATAAAAGTAAATCACTGATAAAACCAGCTATAAAAATGCATAAAGAAAAGTTTTGGAAAAAAGAACCCACATACACAACACTACACTACACAATTGCGACTTATAACAGAAAAAGTATGAAGAAAATGATTAAAATAAAAAACTCTTTAAAACCGCGTTTAACCAAGCGCCTAGACAAACCTTGTAGGACATTTTAAATGAAGTAAACGTATTTGTAAAAATCATTAAAAAAAATGGCAAAAAGATTTTCTAGGTTTTCAAGAAAGAGTTCCAAATGCTAGAAAAAGTCTGATGTACTCAAAACGTGTTGATGAAGAAGCAATTTAGAGCTGAAAAAATGCAGCTTTTTGCAATTTTATCAAATGTGCTAACGGTAAAAAATCCTTAAAAGTGTTTACATATACAAATGCACTTTTTATGCGCCTAAAAAAATCCTGATGATATGGTGACCTGGAAGACAATGCGTTAAGTAACTGCAGCAAGAATTCAGCAAAAACATTATCAATTTAAAGAATTTTGTTCCACTCGATTTCAATTTACGTTAATTGTTTCTACACGAGTTTTTGATCAAACCGTCTATAAAAACTTTCCTGGTCATCTTCATTATCTTTTCCACTATTTGCTAGGCATGAATTGTTTGCTTAATAAATAAAGCCAAGCAAAAAAATTGACAAATGATGCGCCATAAATTGCAATTCTGAGTTAATTTGAGCGCCGCTCATGGAAGTTGATCAGTTTTTACGCGGATTTTTGGCAGCTTTATATATGATGCAGCTGCCGAAAAATGCGATAATTAGTCAGTTCCGACTTGCCATTGAAAATATCTAGTCATTAGTGAAAGAGGTTTTTACAGTCGAGATCCTGCTCCCACAAGATGGCAAAAAAATCGCGACTGTAAAACCCAGTCTAAATGGTTCAAATGTTGACCATGCGAATTAGCATAATCAACAAAACAAAGAAGACGAATTTGCATAAGAATCCGCTGAAATATATAGCGAAAACACATCTAAAAGGGGCGAGGCATGGAATTTTCAATAAGGACCGAGCAGTTACACCCACTGTGGGTATTCACCGAAGAATTGCTTTCTTTTCCAACCGGATCTTAGGATAAAAGTGTATCAAACTAGCTATAAAAAATCAATAGCCACAGTTATAAACAGCGAACGTTTTAAAACTTTTGCTAATAAATCCCAAATTTCCAATTTACGAGACCTATCGAGGCATTAAATAACGCATTTACTAATGAAAGCTGTAAGACTGGCCATTGAAGTTGTAATCAGTCGTTGAAAGCTGAAGTTATTTAGCTAGATAGTAGGAAGGTACGAAACAATGGCGCTATCAAATAAATTAAATAGGACTTTCCAGTACCAAATAAATTAAATGGGGCATTCTCTCACAACACGCGAAAGCATTTCATTAACTTGCTTATACCCTGCATGTGCTGCGGATATTGCCTGAAACTAAGCTGGAAAAAGCAGCGCCAGAATTCACTAAACAGTAGAATTGTTTTAATTTATTTACTTTAAGTAATCAATATCTGGACCAAAAACAATCGGCAGATCAATGCAAAGATTAACTGATCTTCACATGTACTATTTTTGTCTGTAAATGATGAGATCAAAACAAAGGTATTGTTGTTATTCCTGCGAATGATCACGATAGGAAAAAAACGGAGATGGATTTCCCGAACACCCGGAATCGCATTAAAAATTAAATCACGAACGTATGTATTTTCGCTGCTGGCAGTGACTTTTACATTGGATCTTACAATAGTAGCTAATGATAATTCTTTAGTATTTAGTTCCGTTAACTTTTTTTGGTGAAGACAATTCGACTCGAGTAATGAGCCATTTGTTGTGTGACTGTCTTGACTTTGGAGTCAATATTAATTTGTTTCGGCCAAAACCAGCCGGTGTTCGCAATTGAAATGTAAAAGTGTTTGCCAAAGTCGTCCAAGAGCGCGAATTGATTAAATTTAAAAAAAAATTGGAGGATTTTCGAGTATCTTCGTTCCTATTTCTATTTAACGTCCGAAATTTCTCTATAGCGTTATAAAAAAAACCGATAAAGAAAACCTTAAATCAACCCAGGTTGTAGGCAGATTTTAACGATTTTGTATTTTATTTGCAAGCAATTATTGAGAGTATGGTGCTCTCTTGAGCTTGATGGTCGTAACTCACGCAAAAACTGTAAAGGTTTCCAACAAAAAACTGTGTTTTTCCATAAAAATTTAAGTGTTGTTGTTTCAAAATTAAGCAGTAAGTGTCTTCTTCTGCATGAAGATACGTGAGTTAATGGGCTTTTTTTCGGCATAAGCTAATTTTGGACATAAGCTGTGATTAGGCTAAAAATGATGGCATAATTTAGCAATATTAATCGTGACTAAGTTAAACATGTGCGTGGCCTGTTATCTTTGACCAAGTTGACGAGTGTATTCGCATGTTATTGTAGACCTTAAAAAAGCGTTTTAAAGTTGAACAACATTGAGATAAAGAAGCAAAACGAAAACATTCTCTGATCTCTGATTTCTGACTGAAAGTTTTTGCATCAAGAATATATATTTCTTCGAATATATTTGAATAAATCTTCTAAAAAATTAATTGAATTTGTGAATACCCATTATTAAGCACGATCAACTATATACTCACCTTGCTAATGATTTGCGGAATTTGATTCTAAATAAAACATTGGCCAGATGGTTGATTCCAACATTTATTCGCGCTAAATTCTTTCGAAAATAGGAATTACATCATCATAACATTGAATCTCTGTTTTTTTTATTAAAGAAAGTCCCCTCTTAATTTATTTTACAAATTTTACAAAAATACAGGAAAAGTTTCAACTTAATTTAAAATTTGAAATTTTCTTACATTTTCGTCCCCTGGAAGCACTTTGTTTCGAAGAAGGGCAAAAGTTTCATTATATTTTTAGAAAATAAAAATAAATTTTTGGGGAGGTTTTAGGACTTTCAACGGGTTTATTTCCTTCAGTAATTTTATGATCAGCGCAGAAAAATGCGAATAAAACGTAATACACACTTCGAAGTGCTGATGTTTTATTGATTTTGGTTTTCCGAAATGATCCTTTGAAATATCTATAATAAAGCAAAATTCTTCGCAACATTTCCATCAAACATTTTTCTTTCAAAAAAAAAGCGAGATTTTTTTATTGTTAAAAAACGGTCTTAAAAACTTAAAAGAGACTGTTGATGTTTTCTGTCATAATTTACCTAAAGCAATAACCGGAAAAGGAGCACTTTAGAAAATTATGGACAAAATACAAAATAAGTTGGTGATCGTGTCGTTTGAGTCCCTCCAAATTTTTAGTTTTCTCTTTTTTTACCTTAAAGAACACTTCAAATGCAAGATGAATAATCATTGTGTTTTTCGCAAAAGTTGAGCATCTTTTCTAACGAAGACACAAACGACACGGTTACCAAATAAATTGTAACAATTCCACGACACTCGCATAAAATTAAGTTTCTATACTTAGAACTGTAAAAAGTCGATTATATTTCCCGTTACGCCACTGCTTGAACCCGGTACCCTAAAACGCATATTTATTCACAAGAATCTCAAGATCATCAGTACCAGAAATATTGTCTGACATATCTTGATTGGTAATTTGCGCTGTTTCCTTGCCAGTCCATCATAAATGTGCGAGTTCTGTTCGAGTAGAAGTCAGCGCTTCAGCTTACAAACTTAATTATTTATTTTGCAATAATAATTGGCAGCTTTGGATCGGCCAATTAATTGATGGTTGGCTTGTTCAGCAGTTCAACTTTGAACAGACGCGATAGTGGTTTTCCTTGTGATGTGACTTAAAAAAAAACTTTATTGGATTCTGGTACGAGTTAAGAACGGTGAAGAAAGCAAAGAAGTTAAGGAAATATACAGAAAATGGTAAGAGGGTGTTTTTTATGCATTGCCTTCAGGCCTAAAGCACTTTACTCAGGAAAAACTCAGGTTTTAGAATGTTTTATTTTATAAAATATTTGCTATATAATTTGGACAGGCATATGCAGTCATTATCTTGTATATCCTCATGTTAAAGCAGCAAAAAGTGGTCGGATATTTCTAACTAAATGCCAAGGTGTTCAGTCAATTTCAATTTTTCTGTGTATTTTCAATCTGGCCTAGAAACTGATCCTGGAGAATCCCACTTATTCAAATTATTACTGCAGCTATTCGATATAAATGTTCTTACTGATTTTCAACTGTTTTTGAGTTAATAACCAATATTGATTGAAATTTGGCCACTCCATTTTTGCATCTAATTTGAAATTTACAGAAAAATGTTAAATACAAAAGTTGTGGATGTTTAAAGATGAAAATTTTGATTTAATTGAACACAGTAACTTAGAAAAAATGATTTCACATTCCATTGAATGATTATATATAAGATAAAAATATATAAAAGAATAAATACTCTAAAACGAATTTTCGGGCAACTATTAGGAAAAGTGAAAATATGTGAGTAGTAAGAATTTGAGTTCAAAAAGTCAGTAAGTGCAAAATGGGGAATTTGATAAATTATTCTCAAAATGCTAAAGATTTCATGAAAATCGCGATTCAACAACAGCAATATTAAATCACAAAAAAGGAAATAACGTTTAAACAACCTGAAAATATTTTGGAAAATTTCCTACTAGCAATTAATCAGACAATAATCCTCTAATTAATTTCAAGTTTCCAATGATTATTAAGTTGTTTTGAATGGGTCTCTTGATAAATTCAAATAATTCACCTTTTCATTAAGTTACCCACTATTATTTAAATTTTTAAGCCTTTAATTTCAAGGCTAACATTTGGACTGCCTACGCAGTTTGAAAATTGTAAGTCGTTCCTTATGTATGGAGACATTTAAGTGTGAATGTAGATATGGATATTTCACAAATACGCGCAGATGAAAACGTAACAGCTTCTCTATCAAAGATTTTTTAAATTTATCAAATTTAACGTATTTAAAAATCATGGTGATGTATTATCTTGTTCCTTATTTCATAACCCCATTACCAATTATTTAACAACATCGACAATTATACTATTAATAGTTTTATTGAGTGTAATTTCGATAAAATGTATGTGCGTTAACGACTGGGATTCACGCTTTTTGTCTTAATTATTTAGTATTCAACAGAGCACTTGCCTTTGCAATTGACGCAAATAGCTTAGAGCCGGTTTAACGTTTCAAATGTTGTTATTTGCAACTTCTCGGGCATATTAAAATAGACGCAACAGTAACGATAGTAAGACTAACACAATAAATCTATCAAGTCAAAGGCACGTAGTAGTTTGTCTCGAGAATTGCAAATAATATTGTAGTGTAAAAGTAATAAAAGGACAAAAAACGTGAATTATAAAGTCGAGAGAATTGGCCCCAAAAACATTACACATCAAAGGGTTTCTTATCTAATTTACTAGGAAATAGTAGACGAAACTCATCTAGAGATTTGCGTTAGAAATAATTGGAAACACAACAGAAAATGTGCTGCCCATTCTAAAACTTTGCTTCGCAAATATCTGCAGTTGTCGTGTGGATTTTAGCCAAATGTTGGAAATATTAGCGAAGTTGGTGCAGTTTACTACTGATAATTTAACCTGGTCAGATGTTAATAATGGTTAAATTTAATTACAGACTTGGTACGTAAATAAGCGTGATTTCAATAAGTTGCGAGCATAGAAAATGCACACTTTGACGACAGATTTCCATTAACACAATCATTATCTGGATATATTTCAGGAATTAAGGAAATCGTCATAAATTTTGAGGTCAGATAATTTACTCATTACAAATACACATTTCATGTCATATGAATGGGAATCCTTTTAAATTGACTATATTTAGCCACAGAATATGATCATTCATTACGTCAAGTGATAATAAATCAACCATTCAATATCCAGACAGTACGGTCTATTATGCTGTTCTATGCTAGAAAATGACCCAAACCACAAATTGCCACGATAATTGGTGATTATGACCAGAACCGGTCTTCACCCCAAATGTTCCTATTTTTTTATTAATTGTACTAATTAGCACGTATATCAAAAGAGGAAAAGAGTTGAGCTCCAAAGGAGAAAATATTCACAGTCACATTTAGGATTTTCTTATTTTAAATCAAACAAATTTTTACCTAAGCGATGAATCCTCGTGTTTTTGTCTAATTGAAGCTTCGGTAATCAAGAATTTTAGATTGTACTTTTATAATTTGTAAACCTGATATAGGGTCTATTAGATTATACTTGACTTGCTTTAGCTTATAAACGTTCCCAGAAGGATTTTTCCTGTGCATACATGAGCAGAACTGTAGGCATAAAAATGCCGAAATTCGGATCTTTAAATTGCGTTATTTAATATTTTCCAAGATTCCTGATTACCTAAGCTTTATTTTTTTTAATGCATCGACTAGATCAAAAGTTACTTGACTTTAAAACAAGAAAACCCAAAATGTGACAGTGTGCGTCTGAACAAGATGCGAAAACGAATAGACGTAAGAATCCACGTAAGACAATCATTTCTAAAAAACGTTGAAAACTACACAGGCCCATAGGATCTTAAATAAATTCTAAGGAAAAAAAGTACTTAAGACCAAAAACAAAAGGAGCTGTTAAGCATTTTCTATAATCAGGAAAATATCTTGCTCTGACTGGGAGAAGGTTGATGCAGCAAGATTCAAAGGCTATAGAAAGACAGAAAAAGGAGATTGAAAAATTAATGACAACCCAAATCACACCAACTCTGAATCCTGGAACTGGAATAAATATCATCAGTTTTACATCGAAAATATAAATACTACCCAAGGGCGGATCCAGGAGGAGTCATGGGGGTCATAAACTCCCCCTTATGCTGGCTTTAGTTCGACTAACAATTAATTTCATAGACAACAAAAGACTGCAAAAAAGATTTTGCAGCACAAAACAAAACACCCAAATCTAAGACTGCTTAAAATCAAGACTTTTTTGAGAAAACTGCCCACATTTCCTTATCGATAGTTCACTTTCTAAAAGGGTCATTGATTTCTCTCTGGAATGATGTAAAAATTAGCGTTCTTGCTCATTTTGCTTCCGAAGAATGAGCAAAAACGGGATAGAAAACATGAAACTTTGGTATAATCTTGCACCTAAGTGTTTTATATTCAAATTTCGCTTTCTGGGTCAAAACTACTCGAATTTTCAATTCTCTATCCAGTGATGCCAAACCGAATTCTGTGACTCAAAAGGTTCTTGAAAAGTTTCGAAACAAGCAGCATCATGTTTGAGGCGGTTTTGAAACTCACTCAAAAAAAAACATGTAAATCTAAAACTTCTTGAAATCAAAACTTTTTTGAGAAAACTGCCGACATTTCCTTTTGAATGGTTGACTTTCTAAAAAGGCCATTTAGTTCTCTCTGGGATGATGTAGCAATTTGCATCCGAGAAATGACAAAAACGGGACAGAACATGAAATTTTGGCATAATCTTGCACGTGTAATTGTTATGGGGGTCATGGCCCGCTGACTTGAAATTTGCGCGTAAACTAGAAAATTATCAAAAAACCAATAAATATTTAAATAATTATCCTTTCCATGTTCTTGACCTGATTTGAAAACCTCCAAAAGTTAAATGTGCGTAATCTGGTAGCGAAAACAAAGTTATGCGAATTTAAATTCGACCATCAACTATTCTGCCTGCATCCTGGTAGTCGTTCGTTTGTTGCTAATAGTATTTTATTTATATTTACGTTGTAAAAGTAGGACTCGATAATGAACGGTGTTACATAAGACCCAAAAATAATTTCATCGGTCAATATTTACATCAGTTTTTAAATGCGACAGTCAAAATATGCAAACGTGTTAAATAATTTTTCAATTTTGTTTTTTGTTTCAGATACACTGCCCAAATTATCAGATGCACTTGAAGTAGGCGGTAGCCAATCGTCTCAAAGTGATTTTCCTTTGAAGCAAATTATAACTTTTGAAACATTATCAATAATTAAAAAGCCCTCATAACATACGCATTTAAAAATAATTGATTTAATTGGAAAAATTACTACGAGTTTTCGCGTTTAGAGACGCTACACGACAGTGTTCCTGCGTTTTCGAAAACATGTTCATCCCACCTGTGATAATATTCTTAGTTCTACTAATCGCGAATAATCCCTGCTGTGGATTTAGACGATACTACCCACGAAATGTGGACACTAATCAGTACCCAGTGCAAAGCCCCTGCCCGTCGATATTTCGATATGGAACTGACCAGAATGGAAATTTGATAGGAAATATCCAAGTTGATCAACCTGGTGCTGCAGGAAGAATCACTTTAGAGGTGGAATTGTCCGTCGGCAACACCGTGCAGGTAATAGTTTGATAAATTCGCAAATATCCATTTAGCAATTAGTAGATAGAAACATTTAACCTGCCTTGGCATGGGCGCCGTGGAAAATCCCACAGAATTGATTAATTCACTACTAAATCTCGGAAGCATTTTACTAAACAGCATTATTAAATTCATCCGATTGCTATTGTTTAAATCATCATCGACACGCCACGATTAAAAAAATTAAAATAAATTGACGCAGTTTTTCAATACACGAACAAGCCGGTTCCAAACGATGCAAATCATCGATCAAAAATCATGGAAAATAAAAATAGAACCTCACGCTTCGACATGGAAAAACTGGTTTGTTACTTGAATAAATCGACTCAGTATATTGGAGACGAATTATTCAAATTCCAGGCAAAGTGTTTCGTAGATATTTGAACGTCTTATATTTTTTGCTTGGTGTCAGGAGTCCAAGTTTGCAGCATATTAATAAACATATGGATGATTTGTACGATTTAGATAGAAGGTATTTTTTCCAAATGAACAAAAACTCGCCAATGTTTAATTTTCGATATACCGGATGTCCAGAGGTCTAGCGTGAAGGAAATAAATTACTTCAAAACATTTGGCGCACACAGAAAGTGGTTTATAATAGAGTAGAAAGCACTCAGACGCATATAATTTTTTTCTCAAAAATAAGGGTCAAAACCACCATTCATTTCATGTTCTGCTTGCTTTTGGTTAAAAGTATTGGTTATTATAAACTGTGTCTTACGTTTGCGTATTAAATGAAAATACTAAAGATTTTACTACTTTGACGCGTCCTGATCGGTCACTAATAACGAATTATCTGTTAGCAGCACTCGAAAATTAAACGCTTTGCTCGAAAACGAACAATAACCATTATGTAATCATTAGCACCTTCGATCAGCGGAATCACTCTCGAAAAGATTGCAAAGTTCGGTTCTAAATGAAAACGACTTTCAGCAAAAAATCCGATTTTCTGAGCAGATGGTGGAAATACGCAAAATATCTCGGCAACTATTATTTTTCCGCCTGTAGCCTAAAAATAGTCACAAATAGAAAGACGAAAATCCTCGTTGGGCAACAAAACTGCACTTTTTACCCCAATAAATAAGTTGAGACGATGAGGTCCGCCAAATCACCGAAAATAATTTTAGGTAGATTTTTCCTATCGGAACTATTTGCAGTTGAATGATTGCAAAAACAGACCAAATAAAATTGATTAATCAGAAACTTAAAACAGGGTTCTCAGAAGTAAATACCGTAAATTCAGGTGTAAAAAGAGTTTGCCCAAATAAGAAAAAATCCGTATATACATGGATCCGCAAAACTTCGCTGTCGAAAACCAGGGCTTCAAACTTCACTTTGAAAAGGACACAATTATAAATTTCATCAAACCGGTTTTATAAATTTTCATCATCAAAATGTTTTTTTCTTCAGAATTGAACAGACAATTACGATGTATTTTTTATTCTTTAAAAAACCAGTAGCCTACCATTATTTTCTTCAAAAATATCCAATAACTGGTAAAAATAAAAAATAAAAAAATATTTAAAATAAGCGCCTCTTACAACCTTAAAATTTATCAAACCGTTTTGCAGAAATTCCTAATTTTGTATGTTTCGAAGTAAAATTGGACACCCTGTATTTGGAAAACGAATCTTCTGTAGACCCATGTATATGTATTTGATTTTTGAACAAGGCTATTTACCTCTGAATGTACAGTACGTATTTCTGAGACAACCTGTATATTGTATATCAGAACATATGAATTTCGTCCGAACTTAAAAAAATATTTATGTGAGTGCTAAAATAACTAAACGACAGGAAATTGAACCATTTTTTAACAAATTTTCATTATTTTACGTGTTTTTTTACGTAATAAAATGAGGAGTCCGATGATATAATAAAATTCTCACACATCAAAAAAAACAATATCAGTTTCAAGAAGCATTGGGAACTATTGTACTAATTGCCGTGTGTAGGTTTTTCTCCTGAAACTTCTCAATTCATTTTTAAATAAACTTTTTATTTTTACAGTTGAATCTTTTGCTCGTAACTGAACAATAACCCTAAATTAATTATTAACATAATCGATCAGCAGAATCAGTCTCGAAAAGATTGCAACATTCAATTATAAATGAAGATAACTTTGGGCGAAAAATCCAAATTTGTGAGCAGGATAATGGACATAAACTTGCAGAATTTAAATTTTCCATCAACTATTACTTTTCCGTATGAAGCTGAAGAATAGACACAAATAAAAAGAATAAACCTGTCGGTACAGGACGAATAAAAATCCTCCTTGACCACTAAACAATGAGACTCGTCAATAGAGCAGCCGCATAAAGCCTAAATCATCAATTTCAATTTTAATTCGATTTTCCTGGCGAAATTATTTGAAATTGAGCGCGTTTATATGACCGGACCAAATAAAATTCAGTAATCAAGACAGAGGACAGAGAATCATCACACAAAATAAAACAGTTTTAAGACGCTTTGAGAACTATTAATTGCCGTTTGCGAGTGTTTCTCCCAAAACTCCTCAATTCACAGTTTGTTGAGTTGAAGTTATAATGCATTTGCAGGATTACAATGGAAAAATAGTCTTAGCCGAAGATAGAGAAAAAGTCATCAATGATATCATGAGCAGAAAGCCGATTTTGTACAAAGTGCTGTTCCCTGCATGGCAAAACTATCCGCCAGCAGTTACAAAAATTGTGGTAAATGGAAATCAGATTTGCAGTGGACCGAGAATCCCAAGTAAGCATATTTAGATGAAAGCAAAAAGGAGTATTATAGTGCTTGAATTGTATTACCTACATAAGCTCTATCGACTTTTCTCTTTCCAAAATTGGCCATTTCCTCTGGAAAAACCATTTATCTGCCTGGAAAAAAGCAAAAGAAAATAAAATGTTTTTTTTTAGTTCAATTGGTGCCAGTTTTAACAATGATTACCCTTCAGCACAAGCTCACCTTGGGCATAACGCCGCTGATCTCATCTTCTGATCCTACAGTGGACAGCTCGACCTTATTCAACAACTTACCGGAGGCATCGAGTTCACAAGGTAACTGAAAGGTCTCCTGAAAAATAAATCTATGGAAATAATATTAGATATTTATCTAATCAGGGTACTGAGTTCCACCACAAAAAGTCATTTGTATCGCAATCCCCATTCTGAATGTTCATTCTACTCAATTTATATAACGAGTTATTATAAATTGCTCTCTTAGGTAACGAATACGTATTCGATGTGCGAGTGGAAAATTTTCCAAATAACATCTACAGTGGCAATTTTAACAGACGCCCCGACTTTAATCCGTTCTTCAACCCTCACAATCGGTACGGTTTTAATCCAGATGGCCCGCCGCCGCCGCCGCCTAATGGGCGGCCTCCGCCTCCACCTCCCAATGATCACAGACCGCCGCCACCTCCATACGATGGCCGACCTCCTCCATACGATGGCCGACCGCCTCCATACGATGGTCGACCTCCTCCACCTCCTCCTCGGCCAAATTACCAAGGCCAAATCAACCCTCAAAACCCGTTCTTCACTGGCTTGTCCACACCGCAACCTTCAAGGGGAGACGCTGAATCACAAGGTAAGAAAAAAGCGACTTGAAGTCCTTGCCAGGCGTGCAACGCTCTTTACTGGGATAAATTGATTTAGGCAACAACAATCCGTTCTTGGTCAGTCCAGTTATCCAACCGACTACAGTTAAGACGGAGCTTACAAGGTAACATTCTCGTTGAGTACACTCTGAAATATCTAAAAAAAAATGTTTAGTGGCACAACTAACAAGAATGTGGACGAAATATGTGGAAGGCCTTTGACAACTAATTCTCTGATCGTTAATGGAGCCACAGTTGCAAGAGGCGCTTATCCTTGGCTGGTAGCAATTTTCAAGCAAATGAACTACGGCCAGTACGGCCTCAGCTACATTTGCAGCGGATCGCTGATATCAGACCGACATGTAGTCACAGGTAATCCGAGCTAATAAATCTCCGGACCAGAAAATTAATTTAAAATGGTTTGCAGCTGCTCATTGCGTGAAGCAGGAGACCACGCGAGCTAAAGCCAGCGAAATTGTTTGCTTCCTTGGGAAACTAAATATTAGGATGTGGGCAACTGCTCCAGATGAGCGGAGTGTTCAGCCCGATTCAATAACAGTCCATTCAGGTGAGTTGCTATGCAAATTTATCTCCAAGCACTTTTTCTCCCAGCTGCTGGAAAAGCGTGATTACCCTAAAACATATATTTCAGATTACAAACCCGGCTCGGCAGACGCAGATATTGCCGTCATAACTTTTCTAGATCCAATTCAATTTACCAGAATGATAATGCCCTTATGCTTATGGCAAGGAGACACTGATTTGAACAAAGTTGTTGGTGATATCGGATCGGTTGTCGGGTAAGCAGGCTCTACAATCAATCGTTTCGATTTGCTTACCAAAATACGAAATTTCTCTTGCTAACAGTTGGGGAAGAGATGAAAACGGCGATATCAGCACTGCAGAGCCCCGACTGGTGAATATGCCCATTGTAGATCATCTGCAGTGTCTGAAAGGCGGTAGCTCGTCCACAGTTCATGCCCTGGTTGATATTGTGTCCCAAAACACTTTCTGCGCTGGTAAGTTACTTAACACAACACTTTCATCCCGATAAAGCTATGTTTTTTAGGTTTTCGAAATGGTTCCGGTCCTTGTAACGGCGACAGCGGTTCCGCGTTCCTTTTGCGAAAAAACGGCGTATTTTATTTAAGAGGAATCGTTTCGACAGCGTTGTCCGAAGCTACTCACAGATCTTGCAATTTACAAGAATACGTCGTCTTCACCGATGCAAGCAAATACAAAGACTGGTTACTAAACATTATGAAAATAAAACCGACTTAATGTAAATAATGTTTTTAATTGCGTATACAACAGGGCTTTATTTCAAACTTAACTGCATTTAAATCATAATAAGGTTAACAAAAAATTTCAATTAAAATTAAACAGATTTTAAAAATCCTAATAACTTTTTTTGACCCTTGATCTTGGGCTTTGCCGCGTCCTCCTTCATAGCTCTGCTGTGGGTTGAATTGATTTCTAAATGCAGCCGTTTGGCTGCATGGAAATCCGCATGCACCTCCCAATTCGCTTCAGGAATATTCCTATTACATTCAGGGCAAATTTTATCAGTTGGGTTTTCAGGTTCTTGGGCGCTCAAGTTTTTGAAATAATTCACTATAGGCTGTTGAGGATTTTCTCGCAATTTTCTCTTGCTAGCCTTTTTTGTTGGTTGCTGCTTCACAGGCTCGCTTTTATACAAGTGAGCTTCACTTTTCACCATACTTATAACGAAGTGATAATCCAAGTGCGACTGATAATCCTGGCTTTCAACAGTTTTGCCACAATCAGCACAAGTTTTAAGCGTAAAATCCGCTTCGTCCGCCATCTCGCCAGTCACTAAAGCAGAACTGACAGCATCTGATTTTTCTTCTCCACTAACAACAGCAGAACAGCTATCGAGCTCTGTGGAAACTTCGTCTGAATCATCCAGTCCCTCCAGAGATTTTGATGTGTCAAAGTTTCTAACACCCTTGCCGCTGAAGTACCTGTTAAAGAAGGAACTTCGGCCTTCGACATTATTTGAGTCTTCAATTTTATGGAAGGAAATCTCGTTGCTTATGGAGTCACCGGATGAATCACTATCTTTCCCAGCTGCAATGCTTTCAAAGCCAGCCACTTGTTGATTCACAATTGACTCTGGATGGACTTGCTCGTAAAATACTAAAGAACCATAGTCGACATCATCTCCTTCGGTCATTTGTGAGTATAAAGAATCATTGTGCGATTGATCTGCGTCGTCGGAAGTGTTAGAAAAGTCGGCTAATTTTTCGCATTTTTCCTCATCCAAACAGGAATGTTCGTTGTTATTATGGGATTCAGTAGCGCTTTTACTTGTGGACTCACATGCTTTTTCCGTCACGGCTTTAAAAAAGGAGGTGATTTCTTTCACCTTTTTTACATCCTGAAAATGTCCAATGCTGAGCCCTGAAGAAATAGCCGTATTATGTTTTGTTAATTATCTAAGCAAATGAATTAAATGAACTCACCTAAATATATAATGCAAAAACTCCCATCCGCTCTTTGACAATTTTTCTGGACAATCTGAAGAGCTGTTTCAAAAATTCGCCTCTGCTCATACGAACCCAGTGGATGAGACTTCGAATTGATCATCTCCTCATCCCCAATGGATTGGCCGAAGTTCACCACAATTTGCTTGGCTCTACGGCAGTTTTCCTCCAAGTCTTGTTCCAGTCTCTGTGCCATTTCATCGGCAAACTGATTCAGCCAGTATTCCACATCTTCTTTTGTGCAAAGCGCGGATTTGCCGGGAAACTTTTTGCAGCAACCAATCGACTTTGCAACCAATCTAGTGTTGACTGGTTCGGTGTCGATTCCTTTGGCAATATTAAACAACCAGGCCCTAAAACAGCGATTTCCAATCCATGAAGCCTGAATAAGCTGAATAGACCTACGCTGATTTTTCATCGAATTTCTTGGCTAGTTCTCTTTGGGTGAACTTGGATAGCTCGCCTAAATATTCAATGTTGAGTTTCTCCATAATGCTATTGCCGAACTTTCCTCCTAAACTAGTTAATTTTCTTACGGGAGTTTTCTCGTATAAATGCGGCACAGATTCATGGGGCAAAATGGTCTGTTTGTTCGGTTTATGCAAGCCACACACCAACTTTGCCAGCAGTTTATTATGAGCTATTCCAGCTGAGCATCTATAGCCTAAAGTGTAGGAAAATACTCCAGGAGTTACTTAAAAATGCCTTGACATCTTACCAGTTACTTTAAACACTTCAGCTCGTATTTCTTCTGCAATTATTCCACCTACGGCGAGTCTATAGTTGGCTTCATCAAAAGCTCGATGCCTGGTAACATTTTCCACAAAATCACCAGTAGCATTGCCGACTACGAAGGTATTGAGTAACTTTTCGGTTGTAACATCTTCTTTGAGTTCAATTCGTTTTTCTACTGCACTAGTTATGTCCAAATAGGCTTCGTCTACAGAAGCTCTTTCTAAGAGAGGCGTGAATGTTTTTAGGACTTCAGCGACACTTTTGCCGGCATCACGGTATCTAAATGTTGAAATGTGTTTTTTTTATTACTCACTTAGAAGCGCAGTGAAAGTAGTCAAATCACACTCATTTAAAGAAAGAATATTAATTCAGTAAAAAGCTGAAAGGTAAATGGCTCAATTTCTACAATAAAATTATGTAGTTGCAGTTTAAACTGAGACTGGCTGAACTGTTGGTAGAATAAACGGCTTTTACTTTGATAAATTTGCTTTTCCGCGTACATCTGGAACTTTGACTAGAACAATTTCGGGGCATTTCTCTTTGGCATCATCTCCTCTCATGTGCCTGGTAACGCCTTTTTCTCTTGCTGGGTAGTTTACAGCAATTATTCTACAAAAAAATCGATAAAATAACGACTTGCTAATAGAAACTTCTTAAATGACGTGCTAGAGTTCTAGGAGTTCTTAGTGCTTGCTTTCAAATGAGTCTAAGGAAAAGAGGGCTAAAAACCACACTCTCTTGCAAGTTTGGACTGGCAAGGTTTGTATTTTGTTTAATAATGCTTTTGAATACTAAATACGCATAAAATCAAGTTCCTGCATATTTAATAAGGGGTGCTCACCCTCCTCCTCTCCATTGATTATATTGCACAACAGCCAAAGGTTTCCCTTTCAAGTCGGGATTCAATTTTTCTTCAACTTGGCAGAAGAAACAATCCATGTCAATTAATAAAACAATTCGGTCTGTATGGGTCATTTTGTAAATTAGAGCTAAAACAAGTAAATGAAAACACGCAAAATTTGAATGATTGGTTTGTTTACACACTGTTAACCAAATTCTTCGTCTTCTAAACATCTTTTACTACTCTTGAGGGGCAATAGCTTGAGCCAATGACCAAATTTATATAACTAACGATGAAAATGCGTAAATTAATCTAAGCTGGTTTAAACATGTACATTTAAATATAAGGACAATTGTAGAATGTTAACAAGTACCTTCATTGACGCGTGCCACTAATAACCACATTATGAAAAAATTAAAACGCCTAAAACAAAATTCAATTCTAAAAAAATACATTTATTAATTAGTATAAATTATATTATTAATGGTTATTATTAACAATTAACTGGAGGTAAACTAATGGCACAAAACGTTTCCTTCTAATAGGAAATATAATATTGAAATTCCTAAAAATCACTAAGAATTAGAAGCTGTGAAACTCATTCCCCCAATCTTTCAGGTTCAACAAGTTTTTTATTTCATTGTAACCGCTTTAACAAGCTAAAGCAAGTTTTCCATAGACGCCAGAAGTAATAGGTAATCAACAATTTGATGGCTGAATGTAAGACAGCCCAAATTCATCAATTATTCTTATTTAAAGAGAGTTAAAGAAAACTCCTATCTACCATATAAAAATGACAAAGAAACTTAAATGTTAATTTGCCGGGAACAAGTGCAACTCACCATTCGCCACAACTTCAACAAAAACAGTTCAAGACCCTCGAATCAATCTCCTGGACTTCATTCAGTGCGAACTGATTGAAAAACACTTGTTCTACATTAACAGGATAACGAAAATAGGAAGCCGTTAATTGGTAATTCGTAATCTGTAAAACTTAAAACTATTCAACAGACCATACTCTGTAATAACTAGGCATAGAGAGCGATTTGTTTGAACAGTAACTAACGATTTTAGTTGGTCTTTTAGTTCAGTTTACTCGAATAACTGCAATAATCTTCCTTGGTTGCGGCAATGTATTCGTCTACGAGATCTTGCACCACTTCTCTGCTCGAATCCAACTCATCCAGGTTGTCTTTGAACATTTCCTCTTTCCGAAACTGGTCCAAAAACGCCTCGCGCTTCCGCAATTTATCGTATTGGTTCAGCGCACGATCGAATAACTAAAACCCGATTGGAAACGTTTCGTGAGCAAAAAATCTGGGGTTTCCTGAACAAAACACCTACCGAACTGATATTAGTATGATTAGCCAACATAAGGCCAGATACGCGATGAGCTGTAGATACATAAGGAGATTTCCTCGATAGAGCAACCTGAATACTCGCAGGTCCCCAGGGAATAAATTGAGCCAGCTTTCGTTCCCGGATTCTCTGCAAAGACTTGTGTACTTGTGTCGGATCGACTTCTCCCTGAAACAATAAGGAAAGTTGATCACAAAATCTAAAAAAAAAAACATTCCAAGTACTTGAATAATATTCAGTATTGAAATAAAACAATGCTGGGAGCTTCTATCTTGAGCTGTGGAAACCATCATATTTTTCGGCTGCAGCAGCCGCCTCATTACATCCAAAACCGTGGTCTTTCTAACGCTGGCTTCATCTGTATCGGTGGAAAGCGGCGTGTAGCCAGTCATGAGAAAATGAAGCCGAGGAGTTGGAATCAGAGGCGCTAGAAGTCCCAGTAGATCATTGTTCATATAGCTCGGATATCTGCAAATAACAACATTGTTTTTACTAAAAACACAGTGCAAATGAATTATTTGAGCTCACCTTAAAGTCGTTGTTGAAACAGACATAATTGTGCTAACCAAGCTATTTATCTGGGTAAACGTTGGGTTTTGAATCTTCAGCCTGTCTGCTGCTATCCTGTTTAGGGCTGTATTATCCAACACCACTACTGAGTCTGCGACCTCAGTTAATCTCTTTAAAGTGAGAAGAGAGTTGTATGGTTGAACGACAACATCACTGAAATTACAGTTTCATAAACCCCAAGTTGAAATAAAATTATTGCTGGCAAAACTGACCTGATCTCATCTAAATTAGGAAACACGCTGTAAGTCTGAACTAGTTTTTTCGGGAACCTATCGGAGAGTTTTTCTAATATATTGGAGCCCATGCCCGACCCAGTTCCCCCCGCAATGGAATGGCATAGGACAAATCCCTCCAAACTATCACTGCCATCAGCTTCCCTATCAATTATATCAAAAATCTCCTCGTTTAGCTTATCACCCTGTGAGTATCCAGAAGCCCAATTATTACCTGAATAAAAAAACAGTGCATACGTTTTTGCAAACAATAACAATGTATGTAATTAAATTCCTAAATTATTAACATCTTGACAAAGAGCCACAGTGAAGGAAAGTGATGTAATTGTGAAGATTGTAATCCCTAGATTTAATATATTCAACTGTTCAATCTCTGGTTGATTAAATATGGAAAGCTGCTGTTTTTTGTAGATAGATGCAGATTATGATCTGATTAATGTAATAAAGAAATAATGAGTAAATAAATAATCTTACCAGCACCACCGCCATTTTTAGACAAAAAAACATTTTCCTGATTATACAACTTTGAGTAAGGCGAGTTTAAAATGGTGTTGATTACTCTGGGCTCCAAATCTAACAACACAGCTCTTGGAATGTAGTGTTCATCGTCTGCTTGGTAGAAAAACACATCCTTTCGATCAATACCTACAAATGACTTCCATGTTAAAAAAACAAAGTCTTGAGCCGAAAGGGGCAAATGGCAATAACACAGATTAAACTGGTTTCGCCAAACAAGCCCCAATATCGGTTTGCAGTTATTTTAACATTGGTCTCTGTCCACACCAAACAACAAGGTTATTGTACTATTTACCTTCTGTAGCAAAATCTTCGAGTATTCCTTCAGGATTTATGCCATGTTCCATACATAGACGCTTCCAGAATTCGAATCCAACTAAAAGCCATATATTTAAGGGAAAATCTATTCAATTCGTCAACAAACAATTTACTTACTTTGGTTGCCGCACTGGCCCAATTGCAAGGTAATCATTTCACAAGGCATAGTGACCGCTTTATTTTCAATAATTAATAACAAAAACCGATTTTGCAACAATTGTTTAAATGTTTAAACAAATCTTTACAGAAAAACGACGTTTCCAACTGGGGTTGTTTGACAGTTTAATTAATTTCCATTCAAAGTTGTGAAGCCTCTGATTGGCTTAAACCACTGACAGACATTTAATGTGAAAACAACAGATTACTGAATAGAGGAAGCGAAGCACTTTGGGATCCGCGAAAGCCGTACATTTTGATACATGGTGTTTTAACAGACGCTGTGAATTTTAATGTGTAAAAGTGGTCGAGAACATCATTTTGGCAGAAATTGGGTTACGTAAAGTTATTGGAAAAATAATGTTCTATATGGCGAGAATTTTGTTAACTTCGAACGTGAGGATCAAAAGAAAATTACGAAAAATATAGTTTTACCACTGGCTTGGGCGCAGTCTTTAAACAATTTAACACCAAAAACTGATGCGCCCTTGATTTCTCTCCAAACTAAATTGTTTTCCAAGCTCCTGTTATAATTTTTAATGAAAAAAATACTGGTTTGAAGAATAAAACCGGTTATTGCCGAAAGTAATACAATGAAAATGAACTGAATACATTGATTTTATGACTAACTTCGGCCTTCCATTTTTTGTTGTTTAATTAAACAATAAAAAAACAATTTTTCTACTTCGTAAATTACAAAGTAGAGAAATAAAATTTCATTTTATACAAATATGTTTTTTTAGCCGGCTGTAGGACATGTAAGTAATGTTAAGATAAACGACAGGACATGTATTTACTTTCTGGTCACCCTGTATAAACACAACTTTTTGTGTGACTGACGGTATAAATGAGAGAGAAAACCTACGAAGAAAGATACGTGTCTGCTGGAAACATGATATTTTAACCACGCCTCCCGCAATCTCGTTTTCTTTGTCTAATACAGGTATTTATAGCTCATCCTTTTTCCGCCCATATTATTTGACTCATTTTCATTGGCTAACAAGTGTGCGCTCATTTGAATATATAATATCAGATATCATATACTGTTTTATTTTCAAATATGCGGTCTATTTAATATCCAGCGTATATTCATAATTTAATTTTTATTAAACACTTTTCTGAACTTTTAAATTCGAATCAATTCGCAGAAAAAATTGTTGTACAAGCGTAAATAACGGTGGTTGCTAAGTTATTAGTTTGTTAATCAATAATTAATCAAAAACCTTTCTAGACATGGCAGCTATCACGGAAAAGCCTCTCGTTTCAGAAAATGTTGAAAATGCTGGAAATACTGCAAACTATGGTGCGCTTGATAATATATTCAAAGGACCAAGGTATATGTCTCTTAATAAGCCAGTATTACATCACTTACTTATGAATGTTTTTTAAGAATGACGAAAGAATTTATAAAAAAACACTGCAAAGAACAGAAGTTATATCAAACGCCTTATTTAAACGATGTTCTCTATCTGCACTTCAAAGGATTTTCCTACATAGAAAACCTAGAGGAGTATACGGGGCTGAAGTGCTTGTGGTTGGAAAATAACGGAATACGGCAAATTAGTGGATTAGGTGAAGCAGTTTTATGCATTTTTTATAAAATAAGAGATTCATCGAATTAATATAAAAATTACAGATCACCAGCAAGGACTGAGGAGTCTGTTTCTTCACTATAATTTGATTAAGAAAATTGAAAATTTGGAAAACTGTCCTATTTTGGACACGCTGAATCTTTCCTACAACCAGGTGAAAAAAATTGAAAATTTAGGTAACTATTCATGTGGAATTCATGGAATGTGAATGAAACTGTCTAACTTAAGCGCTAGTTCAATTTACATCCAATTTTTCAGCCAACTAAATATAAAATTAAGATTTCGCGCTTACCACTAGTCTGCCCAATTATATGTCCATATAGTTCATTAGCATCAAGGTAAAAAAAAATCTGAGGAAAACGCCAAAAAAGCCTCAAAGTTCTCATGAAAGTGATCGACTGAATGTTCCAACTTAAAAATGCGCTTTTTTTCCAAAATTGCTCTACCGCTCGAAAAAATACTCCAAATCGGCGAAAAGACACTTGAACTTTCACAAAATGGGCAATTTTTCGACACAAAACCAAAAAATTTTCCAAAAAGCAAATATCATACCCTAATAGCACAAAATAAGAAGTCGATCAGCCAACGAATTTGTATTTAAATTGCCTCTAAAAATCATGCAATTACTTTATTATAATTTATTATTATTATTATTGTTATTACTATAACAGATTGTATCAAGCCTTTGCATACACTCAACTTGGCCCACAACTATGTAGAACAGTTAGAAGATTTCGAGCATCTGGAAAAGCTGGCGCAACTTTCAGTGCTGGATTTATCCAATAATCATGTTGACGACCCGCTAATTGTTGAAACCCTCAGCAGGATGCCCGAATTAAGAGTCCTGAACCTGATGGGAAACCCTGTCTTGCGTAAAATCCCTGCTTATAGAAAAACTCTCATATTAGGATGTGTAAGTATTCAGCCTTAAGCATCTTTCGACCTGGCAAATCTTCTTCTCATATACAGAAAAACCTTCAATATTTGGATGATCGGCCAGTGTTTCCTCGGGAAAGAGCTTGCGCCGAAGCTTGGTATGTTTCAACTTAGGGGCTTAATGAACAAAAAGGTATCACTGACAATAATTTATATAGGCAAAGAGGCGGAATTACGGAAGAACACGCAGAAAGAAAACGGTGGATTGATAAGGAGCGACAAAAGATAATGGACAGTGTCGATGGTAACCGTGAATAGCTTCAATTAAAGCACGTTTAAACCGAATTTTGCTTCAGCCCTCATTGCTCTGCGAGACAATAGAAGAGCGGAGCGACTAGCGCAAGAAGCAGCACGGAATCCAGATAGCGGTTTTTGCACTTCCGTAGCAGAATCAGAAACCGAGTCTGAGAGCGTATCGCAACCAAATCTCGATAACTATGCAGTTGAAGTGCAAAACGATCCCGGTATAAGTAGTAGAACCATAAATAATACCCCACTTTTTAACTAAATATTTCTTAGACAACTCAGAGCCTGCCAGAGTCATTCCGGAGAACCAAATCAGCTCATCTGATGAAGAACCTGAGCAAACCTACAATTACGGGCGGGAAACCGCAAATGAAGATTCCGACTCAGAATCTTCTGATTCCGATTCAATATCAAACCGGTCGGAAGATTTCATGACCGACAGGCAGACCACTGAAGATTACTCGGCTTACCGCTCGAGAATTTTCGATTTTTCCAGAAAAGTCCCTGTTCAAAAAAAATTACTAGTGGAAGAACTAGACGATGCACAACCCAGTACAAGCAAGCAGGAGTTGAATGAAGAAGGTGGCAAATTGATAATTGAAGAAATAACAGAAAACGCAGATGCAAAAGAAATGGATGTTTCAATTGATGATAATTCCACTAAAGTTAATGAAGAGCGCATAACTGCAGATAGTGCAGCTGAAATAGTCAAACACCCGGTATCCGATAATATTCTTCAATGCGGTGAAGAAGCAGATTTAATTCAGTCTGGTGCTGAGACGGTGCCCCTACAAGAAATTACGATTGAAACAGAACAAACCAGCAATAAGGAAAACCTGCAAACTGACGCTACTCCTGCACTAGAAGCTCCTGATCTTGCTGGAACAACATCAGAAGAGAATTCGAGTAAGCGAGATCTCTATATCATAGCAGAGCGAATGGATTTAAAGCAACTCCAGGCAAAACTTGCTGAAAAATCTGATACCCCTCTTTGTGAGAGCGTTGAAGAGAATGTTTCGACATCTACACAACTCGCCCTGGAAACTGGACTTGTAGACCACAGTTTCACTAAGCGGGATCTCTACGTTATTGTAGAACGCGAAAATGTCGCGCTACTCCAGTCAGAGCAGCAAAAATCTATTTCTAGCTGCACGGAGGAAAATGTTGAACAAGCAATGAAACAAGAAATTGCCAAATCACAAAAGAAGCCCAAGAAAACAAAAAGTATTTTCACTTTATTTCATTCAGCAGATGTTGATCAAAGTTCGTCGACAGACACCGAAGAAAGCGCAAGCAGTGACTCAGAAGATCCCGAGCCAAATGAACGACGACTATTATTAAAATCACTGGACAAATGCGACTCCATCAAGGCAACTTCCATGGAAGTAGGAGAAGGCGACTTTACTGTCCAAGTCAAAACCAAAGAAGACCTACAGGCATGTCTTTTAGGTTCGAGCTCTTCTCGTCCTAAAGACGCAGCTTCCTCTGAAGACGTAGCTTATAGAGAGTTGATGGATTGGAAGCTAGATCTTCCCGATCAAAACCGCATTATTCTTCAGCCGATCCAACGCAAAAAGCCCATTGCCCAGGAGTTGGACAGTGAAATTTGCCAATTGATAGTCCAGGCCAAGTCAACTGAGGAAAAGCCGGAATTTGAAATAGTGCCTCCAAAAGATATTGCTGAAGAGGATGTCAAGATCATGTACCCTCAAAATGTTAGCGAAAGCATTTGCTACAGATCCATTTACACCCAGCGGGGGATTGAACTTAAGGAAGAAGACATTAAGCCCCCGATGGCATACAATGCATTAAAACTCTCAAAAAACCACCCTGTATACGAGCAACGGGATGGAGTCATGTGTAACCCTGGCCAAAAGGAAGATGAAGACGAGGAACCTCATGTTGATAATGGAATAATTGTCAGCAACACCATAGCAGAGGTGAGAGAAGGAATGAGGGAGTTCAATAAGCACTTTGAGGCATTCAACGAACAATCTCGACTGGCGCGTGAAAAACTTGTAAAGGAATACAACGACGCTTTGGAGAAAGAAATCAAAATCGTCGATAAATTCCTATCGATGCAGCAGAGCAGTTGCAGAAGAAAATTTGCCCGAAAGCCAATCGAGCCGAGGAAAGTCGAAATTACTGAGGAATATTTAAAGAAGCACTTCGAGGAAATGGGCATGTATTCCCCAGAGGACCTAAAAGAGGGAGACTTAATCGAGAAGCAAGCGAAACCTCCAAGTAGCCAAATGAAGCAGGATATTGAAGGGTTTGTAAGTGAGAACTGTGAAACTGAGAAGAAGTTTTTGGCTCAGTTGGAGACTTTGAAGCTAATCGTGGAGGAGGAAGAGGAGGAGGACCAAAGAAAGAAAAGCGAGCTTGAATTAGAAACTAATAACACAGAAGGCTGCGAAGAAAAGCGTTTGGAAGAGGAGTTAATTGAAGAACCTGAAGCCGAAAAACAAGTTTATGTTACCAAAAGAAATGTTACCTGTTCACTGGAAATGCAGCTAGCGCAACAGAAACATTAATGTTTGAATGTACCCACATTTCCATAATTGTATTAACATTATTATGTTGACTGCAAAAACCCTTTTTCGATATGGGTTCAATTAAACAGCAATTAGTTTCATTTGGTTTATTCCCTCTAAATATACGTTCAAAAAATAAAATGGTATGCACTTACACTAATTGGGTGAAACTCGAATTTAAATATCCAATATTCGTAGCCATTGCAAAGTCGGTTTGTCATAAATCAATCATTTTTTCATTAAATACCAGCTCATTAAAAAAAAACGTCTAACAAGCTGCTACTTATCACAGTTATCCCGATCTAGTGACTTTCCTTGTGCAGCCTGGTATCATGAACTGCATGCTCTATCGGATGATGCCTTTCGTGTTCATGTGCCAATTTTGAGGGATGTGCTCTATTCTCATGCGACTTCACTACTCCGTGTTCTGGGTGGGAACGTCGCTCATGTTCGGGACGTCGTTCATGATCATGATGTTGCGCTCGTTCATGTCCGTGACGTCGTTCATGTTCATGATGTTGTGCTCGTTCGTGATGGCGCTCATGTTCATGATGTTGTGCATGTTCCTGATGGCGCTCATGTTCATGATGTTGTGCATATTGGTGATGGCGCTCATTTTCATGATGTTGTGCACGCTCGTGTTGATGATGTTCGTGCTCTCGCTCATGTCCATGAACATGCGCCCTATTTTCATGAGCTCCATGTTGAGATTCTTGGTGCTTTTCGTGTCCTGAAACCAGAACAATTTTTTTGTCAATAAAAATGTTTTTCTTTAAATTTCTATACATTTTATGACCTAGAATTTTGCCATAACTTTTTAAAATGTCTATTTTTTTTACTTACCAAGCAAATGAGAAGCCTGTCTGGAATGGGATTCGTGACCTAAATGGTGCGAACGGCTGTTACCTAAAAATGTTTAATATATTTAAAAATACATATATCGACTTTTACTGAAAACTTTACAAAATCGTATCTTTCCAACAGTTGAACAGTTAGTGTTACTCAGTTAAAAAAAATATACACTTTTTCAACCAAAGCTCTTTCAAGCTCGACTGCGGGAAAATGGTTCTAGTATACAAGGTGATTCAAAATATCGATAAAACGAGATTATTTTGATATTTAAACGTTTCAGAATATAAATTCGTTGCCTTTAAATGAAAACCGGAAATGTGGGCTTTTCAAAAGAACAGTACAAAAATGGCAGTATAAACAGTACTGACAAAGAAAACCTCCGATTTCCATCCATATTTAAATAAAATAGGCAAAATCAGGCGGAAAATATAACATAAAATTAAAAGTTACTGAAAGCAAAAGTTAAAATAATAAGCGTCGCTCTACGACTCAAGTGCGAAATTTACAACGTTTGGTTCCTTGCAAAAATCTTTAAATAATAACATTTTTTTCATTTGGATTTATTTTCTTGACTGTGTGAAATTGTTAATATAATTTTTCTTTCCTTGGTTTCAGTCAAAATGTGAAATAAAAATGTTCATATCGTTTATTTCATATAACGCTTCCGCGAGACAACAACGCCATCATCAATTTTAAATCTGATGATGGCGCTGTTGTCTCGCCGAAACGTTATATGAAATAAACGATATGAACATTTTTATTTCGCATTTTGACTGAAACCCAAAAAAGAAAAAATATATTTAAAACAATTTCAGTTATGCTTACCCTCAGATGGACCTCCTCTGTATACTGTACTGCCCACACTGCAGTAACATGGGCACGTGGGAGGCCCTGAAAAATAGTTCAGTTTTTAACAATTTATTCAAATTGAAGGCGGAAAACTAAAAAACTGAAGTGTCAAATATACTTACTAGTAGGACTGGAAGTAGGTGAAGAAGTGGTAACAGCTGAACTAGGAGCAGAAGGGGTGGGCTCAGGAGCAGAAGTGGGGCTCGCAGGAGTAGTCGTGTGGGTCTGAGGAACAGAAGGTTGGCTCGTAGGAGCAGAACTGTGGGTCACAGGCTCAGAAGTCTTGGTTGTAGGAGCAGAAGTGGAGGTCATAGGCTCAGAAACCTTGGTCGTAGGAGCAGAAGTGGAGGTCACATGCTCAGAAACCTTGGTCGTAGGAGCAGAAGTGGAGGTCACAGGCTCAGAAGTCTTGGTCGTAGAATTAGAAATGGGAGTGGGACCTCCAGAACCGGGCTTAGTTCCTCCACTAGACGTAACTAAACTTGGCTCACTTGCAACAAAGAAAAACACGTAAAATCACTTACAATATTTCATTGACCCGAAATGAATTGAATGAACAGTTTGCCTGAATTATATTTATTCGTCCTTATAATTTATTATTTCCTATTGGAAAACTTCACTTGCGATAATTTTTGCTACTTACGTTGACCCAGAGTGACCAGCTGGTTTACCTGAAAATTAAATAATATTTAGCAAAACGTGTAGACGCCGAGAGCAACATAAATATTTGCAAATCATTTTGAGCTTTCTGTACAATGAATGAGACCAATGCTTTCCTTCTTTTTAGCACATCAATTATTGAATAATTTATAAGAAATATATTCTCAATAATTCCAAATGTTTAGTTTTATTTCCACTATACATGAACACAGAAAAATTGAATCAAACTACTGATCTCATGAGAAATAGAGCAGATATTTCAGTTCTGCGCAAATAAGGAAACTTTTTCTTATCCAACACACTAAGAAATAAGGGATATTAAACTTGCATAAATTAACGCACTACACACCTAATTCTAATTTTAATGCTTCAATTAACTTACATGTTATAATACAACTTCCATCCGATAGCCTGGATTTAATAGAGTGTTTTGCGTCTAAAAAATACAGCAAATTCAAAAGGTGTTGGAAAAATCGGAGATTTTCACTTATAAATCCAATCATAAAAATTATCAAATTAGTGTTTAATCAAACAGTGAAAGTCTCGATTTATCAACAATTAGGAGTTTGAAATTTTTAGTAATAATTGCAAAACTCCTATAGGAAATCAATGGAAACTTACCACTAATAGCAACCAGCACCAAAAAAATACTAAAAATGGAAACTTTGAATCCCATTTTCAATTATTTCTAGCTAACGAGTTTGTTAGCTACTGGTGACACAACTATATCCTCAAACGGCCATCTCTTTATATAGTCCAGGATTTCAAGTGGAATGTGCAAAAATTCTACTAAATATATTTAAATACGACATTGGATAGGTGGAAAATTCTTTTAGAATGATAACTGCACAATTATGCGAATTCTACAGAAAAGGAACAGATAATTCGGCTTTTTAAAATAACTTCTAGGTCTAGGACATACCGCGCTTTTGCGTTATTTTCTACTTACTTAATCGTTGTTATAGCCGATGTTTTCTGGATATTTTACAGTTTATTTAATGTACCTACAAAATGCGATTAAATGTGCAGATCGTCACGAATCGATATTAGTACTATCAAATAGCTGTGGTCGAACAATTTAGCTTCGAGTTCATCCGCTTCTTGAAACTGGGCGATTTAATAAAAAAATCAATTTTTGAATAATAAAGGACATGCGAATTTTTAAATTTTAAGTATCTGGTTCACCTTTAAATTGCGCGGAAATTCAAGATTTAGATTTCTATTTTTTTAAATTTATAGTGCTGAAAAAGAAAATGTATTCTACAAAATATGAAATAAAAGAAAAATAAAGAATATTTAAGATTTTCAAGAAAATTAATTAATGCCACTAGCAATATGGTCTTCGAACGGTTTTGCTTTAAAAAAATTCTGAAAAAGATTGCCAGATGGCTTTATATAAGTTGTATTTTGGGCCGTTTTTCGCCGTAATCAATTAAACTCCAATAAACCAAACATTGAGCTTAAAACCACGCCATTAGAGTGGTGCTTCTAGCCTTCAACAATCTCTTTATGTAGTTGTTAAAAGGGAGGAATATTAGATAGTAAATTATCTCAACAAAACTGAGAAAACTGGCGCCGACGAAAAGTGTTGAAGCGCTGCCAATTGATACTGAAAAATACCGGAAAAATCAAAGCCAGTTTGACTAAATAAATCTGAAACGCACCAACAACATCCAAATGGCCTTTGACTACGTTTCTTTTGAACCTCTCTGTGGGAAGTTTCTCTAGAGCGAGTTCCAACATACCAAACTCCTCTGGCACACTGTCGGGAAAATTGGGTGCGTAATAGAGAGTATTTTGCTTAATAAGTAAATAAGTGATGTTTCTTACTCAAATGTTTCCTCTGTAACTACATCTAGCTGGATTTCCATACAGCTGGGGAGGCAACTGCATTCCAGACCGATTTTCGTGGAACCTGGAGGTTTTTGAACCGTCAACTCCCTCAAGTTCTGTTGAAGACAAGCCAGGCCTGAGAAGTTGCAATGTTTCTCATAGGCTATAAACAAGAAAAACTCCTTGTTTTCAACATAAAAACCACAATTGCACTGCAAAAATTGACAATTTAAAGTAAAAACTTGCTTAGATTCGGCATTAAGTGGTGAGCACATCCACATTTTCTCAACTGGGCATCTTTGCGGCATTGCATTAGACATGCACTATAACTATAAGAATTGATAACGTCCAAATAGTTTTCTTCGGCAAAACGGCATTTTCTTTGATGGATATTCAAGCTTTTTACCTGAAAAACAAAATTGTAGAGACGTTCTTCCAGTTTAAGTATTGATTTGAATTTAATTTATTCATAAATTATTATCATTACATTCCCCGATTATTTCCCGTGCAAGAATGGGGGTTCAAAGTATAAAAACAATTCATTTTTGGGTTTCCTTTTCCAATATGGAAAACTGCCAAGTTGCCTCTTGTATATATTTATATGCTTTTCTGTAGCAAGTTTTCTGCTAAAATACTTTGAACAGCCGTTCAAGACTTATATTTATAGGAAGTTTATTATCCAACAACCGTCTGAAGTATATGTATAGGTACAGTTTTCCCCGAAGCACCCTGTATAATTTCTTTAGGGTTTTAAGGACATTGCGACTTAAGTGAGATTTTTTAAAACGCTGTTGTGATAACAGCTGGGAAATTTGCGATTTTGTCTCATTTCCGTATTTTCTCTAAATCTTCAATACCGAGCGTACCAAAATAACATTTTAATTATTAATTAGTATTTAACTATGCAAAATTAGTTGATTTTTCGTTTAGAGAACTCAATAAACCTAAGAACGGAATAAAATTCCTGTGTATTTTAAGTAAGTTTTTCGTTTCATTGTTCGATAGAACATGCATAACTAATTTTTCCCATAAAAAATATTTCTAAAACACTATCAAAATATCAATTTATTTCTCCGTCGCGAATATATAAATCTAATATTTGTTTTTTAGGGAATTTAACTCAATTTTATCAGTATATCCTCAATCATACCCACCTCTGGCTCATTCTCAATATCTTTTAAATTAAAAGTTCTTTTTGTTTTCGAGCTGGGCACCACTTGAATAAAATCTCGTTTCGATGTTACCGTAGATGGCACTTCTAAAGGCCCCAAAATATAAACCTGGCCAAAAAAACACCTTCAGTCCCCTGAACTCCCAAGAATACTCTCAAGTGAAACTTTACCTGCTTCCGCCCATTTAACTCCAGTTGTAAAGAACCAGGACCTAGAGTTCGATTGGAAATCATTTGGAGCTTGAGGGCATGACTTCTGGAATGGAAAGATGGAAGATTTCTAAAAATTAGTTTGAGGACTAACTTGGTTTGTATAGAATTGAGCCCATAGCAAACTCCCAAGTCGGTGGTAATCGGTGCGAAATGCTTGCAACACTCGAAGGGATTTTTGTTCCAGGCGCAGCCCAGGAAGGTTTCTGAACAAGTGCTTTGAACCTAAATAGCAAAAAAAATTCAAAATAACTGAAGCTAATTGGAAAAATGCGTCTCTTGTTACTTGGTTTGCAATATCTGAAATATTGGTCAAGTAGCACATAGGATGAGGATTTCTTTTATGGGGGCCACATATTTCCATAGTGAAAAAGTAATTTTCGTCGTAAAATGCCAGCTCTTTGACCATCTCATCCAAGGTGTAATCGTGAGGATCGCCGTAAATTCTATTGAGAAGGAATCGTTCCAATTACCCCAGTTTTTTCTGATTTACTTGGCCCTACTTATCGGAAACTGTTGCGATTTTGTCGTCGTTTTTCACATCGCAAACGAAAACAGCCGGAAACTTCGAATCCCACTCGGTATAGCTAGTTTCCACCATAAAACTGATCGCATTATTCTGATAAGAAATCCAGGTGGAATACATTAGAGTTATGGATATATACCAACTGGTAGAGCAGCTGAGAACCCAAAAGAGCCTTTAAAAAAATTTGCAAAATTTAGGCGCTCAACTGGCTGTTTTCTGTTACCTTTCAGACCAATGTCGCCCAGGTTCCGCTAGGTACTTCAGCCCATGAAAGGACGAATTTAACATGAAATTTTTCAACAAGGACTGATTTTCGTAGTCCATTTATTCCCTGAAAAGCAGCTTTAGTTTGCAGGAATGAATAAGCATCGAAAATTTTCTTTTTTCATTTTTATACCCCACATTTACAAACAGCGGTATCCGGAAAGAATCAAACGGATGAATAAAATATGATTCCTTTGTGCTTTAAGCTTGATGCATCCCATAATTTGTACATTTTTTTTGGGAATCAGAGGCTAATTATTTGATTCAAGCATGATAGTTTAGGGCGAAAAAGGACGTTATTCAAGTGATTCGATTCATTCGAAAATGTTCCTTCGTTGGGCAAAAAAAATGTTAATCCATATGGACCGCAACAGAAAATTAAGTTTTGGAACATCGATGCCTCCTGGCTTGTACGAACATAAGAGTACCTTAAACATTGAGATTATTGAAAATTAGATCACGAATTTTTGGTGTCACAATTTTCGATCTTATCCACGTTTCGGACAAGAACAACTATTTCAAATGGAAAGCTTTTTTCTTTTTGACTGGATTTGATCAACTTGACATAGAATTGGTTGAAATTAGTAGCAAAACTGACTGATGTGAATTAGAATTAATCCAAAAATTAGTTGAGAATTTTATTCAATTTTGAAAATTTCTCCTTTCAATAAATCAATATAAGCGATCAATTGAGGATTTTGCGAGACATGAAAATTTGTCGAAATTTGGCTTGATTTAGTGTTTGAAATAGAGCAGTTAATGATTTGTTAAATCAATAAGATTCTCATGCTATCCAAAAATGGGAGCTTTTTAGCTGGTAAGTAATGAGGGTTTCTGTCTGCCTGCCGCCGGGTGAATAAAAAAATATGAACCAGCTTTGAACAAATTTTACATTCTCAGCAGAAAATCTCGTCTAAATTAAATTCGTTGATGTATCTTTTGGAACTTCTTTTGTGAGGAAATTCAACCGAAAATTACTGACTAAACAAAGCATTGATTCTCTTGAGAAATTCGATCAAAATCGAGAGTGTGAAATATGGTTAATTCCTTTCCAAGGAATGCCCTTTGTTTTCCCATTCGTCTACTTCGGGCGAGGTGTTGCCATGATTTGAACATCTTCAACAAAGCTGAAACACAGCTGAAGTTGAACCTTTCCTGAAATTTCTTCAAATGCTAACGAACTTTGAAAGTGTAGTCAGAAGATGTTAAGCGCGGCAAGTTCTTTGCAGGCATGTAAATGTATAAATAATGTGTGTATGAACCAAACAAAAATCGCTGTGCACGTGTGTGTGTTTAAAACACTGAAATTTGCATTTTATCTTCACCCTTTTAACCGCGATAATTAAGCACATACCAAGCAACCATCAGGGTTTTAGCCATGAAATACCTATGAAAAACGCGCGTAGAGAATTCAGTCAGCGTTTTGCCAACTTACGCTCCTGAATATCCTGAATATGGAAATTCGGGTGCTTAGCACTTTGGTGTTGGTGCTCAATTTCCTTGCAATTTGCGCCTTACCAGGTACCAGCTCAATCACCATCAACTGCCGCTCTTAAACATGTTTTTAGGTCGCAAATCGCGTTCCCATCAAGCACGAAACCAACAGCCCCAAACTTGCCAGCTGCAATGCCCAGGACTAGCCCCAATCGGTTTGCCCCCATATTTCCTGCAAAACTCCACATCGACAGCCCCCAAGCCGCAAAAACCCGGTCAGTCGCACCCTTTAGCAACTACCCCTTCGGGGTCCGCAGAAGACAACACTGATGCAACCGATGAAAGTACGGAAACAAGTTTCCAAAATGGGACTAGGAAAAACAGCCCACATCACAAGCTGAGAAATGGTAAAAAAACCCGCTAATTTAAACCGCATTTCACCATTAGATTGTAGCGCATGTTTCAAAGAAAGTCCATGAAGCACGCAAAAAGCCTCATTCCAGCCGGCTTCGAACGAGGCACACATTCAGGAAAGAAACCAGAATTTTGAAGCGGGCAGTGACGGCAAGACTTCTTAGGCAGCATAAACATTTAAAGGAAAAAGCGGTGCTAGATGGATGCCATGTGGTTTGTACAGACGATGCAGACAGTCCAAGCAGCGCAGAAAATCCCCCAGTCGATCAAGGCAAGTAAAAAACTAAGTAAAATAAAAAAAAACAGTCTTTGCAAATTTTAGATTCAGAAGAACCAGATTCAGATGACAACTATGTGGAAGGAGAAGACACTCCAATTGAAATCATCTACGTTCCATCGATGGCGCCGGAAACTAAAGAACCGTCCGAAGTGTATCAGATCAACAATTACGAAATAGTTGAGCCAGTTCCCTTTTTCGGATACGGACCTGTATTAATGGAAGGTGATAATTTCCAAGACCATAAACATTTTGACAACATTGGTGGTTGGTCTTAATGGACAACAGTTTTCGTACTTGAGTGCTGGTCATTCTAAATCCAAGAAACCCTTTTCTTTCCAGGAAAACATAAAACCTCCTATAAAAGGAAGCAGCACAAAGGTTCAATTTCGAGAAACATTAGCCCTAAACATCCCTAAAGGACAATCAAGTATCGATTCTTTACATTTGGTACTCACATTCAGAGCGCCGAGCTTAGCGATCCTTCAGCCTAGGTGTAGGACCAAATGAATACAATAAGAACTTCCTCTGCGATATGTTTATTTGTTAGCAATAAAAAACTCCATTTTTTTTATAATTATCCTCAATTTCTAGCTTAGTACCAATACAATAAACAATATATATCCTACAGGATTAAGGCGCTTTTCTCAATTTGTCACTATTTTTCTTGTGAATAATCATACAACTTTCTTGCTCAACAGTAGTTTTGCAGGTCGCAAACTACGCAAAGATCAAGTTTTGGGCACTTGCGAATCCTTCTTCACCTCAGCTTCCACATAATCACTGATTTGCTGGATATAATGCAAAGCGTTTTCATATGCTTTTCTAACAGCTTTTCGATCTGATTGCTTCCGTGGCTCATTTGCCTGGAAAATGTGAACATTGAATTGCAGGCGGCAATTTTCGCCTCGACCATGTGAATGAATTTAGGGACGAAACCGACTAGTTAAGTTTCCGATTTTATTCTGCAATACCTTTGATTCGTCTTTTTCGGTATCGATCCCCATCAGCTCCAGTTTTTCGGCAGGAAGCCACTGCCAAGTGCGCTTTGCATCGAAAAACAGGACCAAATACACGTGTTCCGAAAATTTGCTATACAGATCTAATACTTCTTGAGGTGGGGTTGGAAGCGGCACTCCCTTGTAAATGTACCCTGAACAAATAAGAGATTTATTTACACAAATTATTACTAATCGATGTTTAATGATTTTCTGCGAGCAACAAGCAAACAGTAATTATACTTTAATAAAATAGCAATTAGTTCTTTAAAACTGGTAAAATTTGCGAGCGTTTTGGCTGTAGTGGACAAGTTCTTCCTAACCACTTGAAAACACGAGCATCTTCAAAGGTGTTAAAAGTCAGACAAACGTGATAAAAGCAACGATTTCCCCTGCTGTACCTGAAAAGGGTGAGTTTTCTTGCGTTGCTGCTGCCCTGAGCAAAACACGTCTGAAGATGTAAAGCACTCAGGATAATTACATTTGCATGCGATTGTTAGCAACAGATTATTTTCTACAACGGCCTAAAAGCCGTCTAAAAGTAATGGCCAACTATGTTGATGATCAGTCCTTTTTTACAATGCGTCCAAATTTTTGATCTATTTCCGAATAATTCGATGTTCTGAAAATGCTTCACTTTCGACCTACAGATAGCGGAGGTTTTAATTAATAAAATTTAGTTTATTGCAAAAACCGCTTGGAATGTTCGAATGAAACTTTACCTTACCTCAAAGATAAAGAAGCTGAAGAAAAAATATTAAAAGTTAAACTTTTTATTTTGTATGTATTTTTTAGATACAAAATATACTTTTAATTAATGTAGATTGTAGCAAAAATTGTGCAAAGGTTGCAAGCCTGAGTAACACTGTGTTGAGCTGCGCTATTGAGTTATTGCCGCTATCTGGGTTAACGAGTTATTATTCAGTTAACTCATCGGTTAATGAGTTATTATTCATTTGTTAAAGCTTTACGAGACCCGAGACTGGAATTTGCACATCTGAAAAGGGTTATTGACATTTTTTCTGAGTAACGTTTCACTGTTTTGTTCAAACAACAACAAAAAGTAATTTTCCCAGATTGACCCAGACAACAGAACTGAGTCTGAAGAGTGTCGACGAGTTTTCTTGTAATATCGATCTCTTAAACTTCGAATTCAGCTTCTGAAAACCTCTTTTTCAGCTCGGAAAAATATATAAAAAAGACCTAGAAACAATTATTAGGGTTTTGTCCATAAATGGAAGCTGCAAAAATTTTCATAGCATTTTTGCAAAGCGCTTAAGGAGGTTCAATAAAATGTATCTTATAATTTTTCATAGAAAATACCTAAATATTGTCAGTATTCTAAGTAAAACTAAAAAATAATGCGATTTTGCGTAGAAAAAATTGCTTAATAGAAACTTTGGTAAAACTGGAACAACCTGACAATTTAAAGGAACTTTAAAAATCTTCAGAACGATGGGCGACAAATTTTACAAGTAATTTTTTGTAAATTTCTGCTCCCTCGTTGTTTTTTCAAGATAATCCTAATTACCTTCGGTAAGAAACTGAATAAAATTATTTGGTTTTTGTGTCAAATTCGAAACTGAAATGGGTTCTCTAAAGTTCCCTGCAAACAGATGAATGAGGCCAATTTTCTATCAAAATAAATTTTGTCATTTTTTGCTAAAAAGATGCTATTATTGTCAGAAAAGAAAAAACTCATGTTTTTTTTGCGTTTTCGATTAAAAACTTTTAGTTTTGCGATCGGTTTTGGAGCAAACCTAAATATCTTTCGGAGAAAGAAATTATTTTCGTTTTTGTCCCAAATTCGACGCTAAAACATTTTTTTGAAAAATGTACAAAGCTATAAATTTATCTTGTAATTTTTCGCGTAAAAGATCTTTAGATCGTCAGTATTTTTAAGTGACACTCTACAAAATAGAGCGTCAAAGTAACGCAAACAAAATTCAATCAAAACTATACAACCACATTTTTTTAACAAACGCTACAGTCTTCAGAGGTATGGAAGTGACGAGATTTCCAAATAATCTGTTATAAACTTTCGCTAATTCTGGTTATTTTTTGATAGAAATTTATTTCATTTTGTTCCAAATTCGAAGCTGGAAAGGGATTTCAAAACTTTTTACGAAAAGACGAAGGATTCGAAATTTATTTGATACCTAATTGTATTCTCGTAATTGAATCTGTATTAAATAACCATTTAACTGGCCACAGTCATCAAGGTGATCTTAATCTATCCTATTCTGAATCCTAACTTCTCTGATAAGAAAGAGCAAATACAGTAATGCTCAACAAGTCCATACCCAACGTACCAAAAGTTTTGATACCTGAAGATAAGCCGAAGTTTGGTCACTCACACAACAAACCACTTCCATCCATAAAGAGTTATACAACCCACCATTGAATGGGGATTTCCCTTCCAAAAATCTGTCTGCACTTGCGCAGGTTTAAATATACTGACCAAAGGACACAGATGACCTGTAGATATGGAACATTCGAATTTCTCCAAGAAGTCGGATAGGGTGTTTAGTGCATACTCCAACTGAATCAACCCAGTGCAACAGTTCACGTGTTGTGAGATAACTTTCGTGTTTCATCGTGCATAAACGGTAAGTTTCTTTATTTCTTATTATCACGGTTTGTGAATATGAATATACATTTGTAATGAGTAACAACTTTTTTGGGGGTTCACATCTTCTATACCGGGATTTGGGCGAGTCAGTCCTAGGACTGACTCTTTTCTTGCTAACTTGCGAATTATATTACGTTATCACAAATTGCTAACTGCATGATTGGGCTTTGATCGCAAATTCCTGGAGCATGTGCTAAAAATTAATTTAAAAATGTATGAGTTGAAGTTGAGATTTCTCCATCAATCTTCATGTGTGTGTTAATCTCAAAGTCTAACTTAGAATTATTCTAATCAGAGGCAGAAAGTATTAAATTGGGTCGAAAGGTTCTTCTTTCGCTATAGATATAACTGGCCAAGGCCGCAATATACAGTGTGTCCTAAAATACGCGCTTTGTGGCTAATCCAGCCCTGCTTCAGAGGGTCTGTTTTCCAAATCGACTCGTTTATTCGCCAAAAAATGCCATTTCCAGTTTAACCAGAGCCCTAAAGATAGTTGCCGAATGCCACTGAGTTTTATGTAATTTAACTCATCTTAATTAATTTGTGGCAAAACGTCCACAAAAGTCGCAACTTCTATACCGGGTGACTAATTTACACTAACAGGTATAAAATGACCGAAATTAAAATAAGGGTATCGGAAAGAATTACCTAAAATATTCGACCTCGATTTAACAATCTACCGTGAAAGACCTTCATACACAGGGTGATTCATGTTTGATCTATTTTTTATCAAAACCAAAAAAAAATAGATAATTTCGCTCAAACGGGCGCACACTGACTTCATTGATTCATCTGGAACCTTTTTTGTCTCTTGTTTTTTTTCACATTTTATTTTGTTTCTGAGACATTTAATGAAATTCGGGACAATGTAGTCACGTAACATTGTAGCAAACTTCATTAAAAATCACAAAAATATGAAAAAATAGCAATGACTAAAAAGTTTGCTAATGAATCAATAGGCCCAGCTAATAAAGTGAAATTTACGCTCAGTTTCGTTCAATTTCCTTTATTCATAGTCAAATTCCTACTCACCACTAACATGCTACAGCAAACAATCAAGAGAGGTGAAACAACTAATAAACCAAATAGCTTTTAGTTTACTTAATTGATGTTACCGTAACTGCGAGTTTAAGCTGGCTAATAATGAAAACAGCTAAAGAAGCCAGTGAGCAAATAAGGGAATTCAGTCATTTTCGTTATTCCAGTTTTTTGTCGATCTCAACCGTTGTTTCTCATTAATTAAAGCTAAATCACAATCTTAGTAATACTTAAATTTGCTATGAGCACAATACATTTCATCATCCTCAAAATAACCTGACTAATAAACAGTTTCTATTTATTTCAGATTGCGAAAATGAGTACAAGCGAAAAACAGTCACAGCTTTCACAAAAAGCAGGTAAGCATCAATTAATATTTTTTTCATCGTTAGTGTTTGTTGCTCATCTCATTGAGTTATTATCAAATCAACTTGTCCTTCTCCGTTCTCGTCTAAATCAATGTTTTATTTTTCAGAAGAGGAACTGCGTCAAGCTGCAAGTGCAGGTGCAAGTAAAGCGGGAAGTACAAAACCACGTTTCAAAATTTGCATGCCCCTTTCACCACCTGAAGCTGCCGGAGCAAAGAAGATGATATTTGGACATGAAAGTTTAATATCAACGGTAGATGACGCAACTGATAATGAAGACGAATGGGCCCAGCATTATCGCGAAGACCAGAGATCAAATCAGAACGGACTTTCCAAGAGTGGTGATCAAAATCTGCAAGAGTTGGCTGGAGCACGAGGAGCCAGCAAAACGGTGACAACGGATGATGCAGCATTGCAAACTATGTTTGCAAGTACAGCGGATTTTTGGACAAAACCACGTTTCAAAATTTGCATGCCCCTTTCACCACCTGAAGCTTCCGGAGCAAAGATGATATTTGGACATGAAAGTTTGATATCAACGGTAATGACGGACTGATAATGAAGACGAATGGACCCAACAGTATCGCAAATACCGGAGATTGGACGTTTCTATATTTTTTTTAATGTATACTTTTATTCTATCATTTTTAAGTAAGATTTGGTTGTTGATGAAATGTCTGAGATACATATACTACATATCTTTATACTTCATTCTTGTAATTATATTTAGTTAAGTACAATTCTACTTAATCCGATTCATAGAATTATTTAAAGACCCAACGAAGATTCCTTATCATTGTATAGGCAAAAAACTTGCCGACAAACAGTAAGTGAATTTGAACTCAATATTTAAGTTGCAACGCACATGGTGTTCAGATAAGACAGCGGCAGATTTTAGTCAATTCGAAAATTGAAGGAAAATTCACGGAATTGCCAAAAATACAGCGCAAAGTCCTTAATAGGGGGAAATCTAACTTTTGGCAGATGTTAAAACAATTTCCAGCCAAGCAATTTGGCTTCTACGATTATTCCAAATGTGTTGTAAGAATGCTCACCTTTGGGAATTTGAGGATCGATGATGAGGGCGGGATACCACGGATACCCTCTACATTTGGCCCAAACCAACTGCAGAGGCGGTAATACCTTGTCGATGCCACTTTCAGCCGCCGTATCACTTTCATCGTCTTCGTCGCTTTCTATTTCGCTGGGATCGTGCGAATAGCAAGTGGACATCGAGTTGTCGCTGTCGCTTTTTTCTTCGTCTGTTGTTTGTTTGCCTGCCCTGTAAATCTGGATATCGGATCTTAGGGAACGCAACAGCACATTAACAAATAAAGCATCCGCATTATCTCGCTGAATATTTTAAATCATTGTGGCAAATCAAACAACTTTTTACTCTGGAATCTCTTTCACATTTAATCATTATCATTTTACCTTAAAACTGTCAGGCACATCCGACTGATCTTCGATAAGATTGCTCGGATCCATCGTTTTAGGCAGATTTGAAGCGGTTCGCAGACGCTTTCCGCTTCGCACTTTTTTCTTCTTGCTGCATGATTATTTTGCAAAATCTCATAGTGTTCACACATACTTCAATACTTACTTAGGGGCATTTGAAGCAGACGCGTCGGTTTCTGCTTTCTCTTTGTCGTCGTCCTTCTTCATTGAAGACGGGGCTTTTTTGGCAAAAAGAATGGTGGTTCTTCTGTTGACCCCACTTGGAGAAGCGCCTGGGGCATTAAGTGATATACAATTGCAAATTCACACTCCACAAATCATAATAAAATACCTTCCACGTTAGAAGCTACGCTGCTTTTTTCAGTTTCATCATTTTCCCCATCAGATTGTGAAGCCAAATCGGTTTGGTCGGTATGTTCGGCGTCTTTCTCACTTTGGCTTTCCGTCAGAATTGAATCGGTTTCGGTTTTGTCTAGTTTAATCACAACTATGCCAAAGTTAAGCAAAATACCAGCCCAATTATCTTGAACAAACCTTGTTTTGCTTCTTTATTCTGCTGATTGCTTGCTGAACTTCTTTTGGCTTTATTCAGTTCGCTACGGACAAGTTTTACGCGCTTAACGCGAGCAAGGCCATGCTTTAAGGCTTGGCTTTTTGCCAGCAGGTCTTCGAGCTTTGATACCACTTCCGGACCTGATTTTCCCTATAAAAGGATTCCAGATTCAAATACGGTTTTTATCAGTAGAACACTACTTTTTTGTTGGTGTCGATTGCCTTCGGAATTAAAATCCATCAATTACTGTCTGCCTTACAGTTATCTTGGAGATATTTCGGGAAAAAACGACAAAGTGCGCGCGTGATTCTCCGGATTTTCATCAGTTTTGGATGGATTTTGCGACAACATACATCGGGGTACAGTAATAATTTTGGGATTTTCAGTTTGTAAAGCATATTATATATTTATCAGTCCTGACTATTTCCACCCATACCTGCAGATTTTCTAATTCCTTGTCGATATCCGAAGTTAAAGCATCGTCACCACCAATCCCAGAATACTTATGTGTGGTTTTATCAATTTTTAACAGACCCGCCGAATCCAATTCCTTTCTTGCTTGTCGGAAAATTACTCCGCATTGATCTCTCATCTTAAACCCACATTAACATTCATTAATCCGCACTTTGTTAAACTTTTTTGCTTTAATGTACTGTGGGAAAAAAAGTTTGGGCAAACAAACTAGAGGAAAAGCTCAAAATACCTTGATCCCCGCTTTATAAAATACAGTGTCTCTGTTATTATATGCTAAACAATTGGCGATCATCAGATCAAAATCCTTTTCCAAAGAAGCCAAATCTTGGTATAAGCCTTTGTTAAGTTTCTGGCGCATAGTGCTTAAATCCATTGGCTCTGTTACGACGGTAGTGTAGTCAGGTACCTAAAACAAAATCTTGTTCCGGATTTTATTGTTTAATTTCGGGTAATTCACCTCTTCTAAGTCTACAGGTTCAGTGAATATCTCGTTAGTGTCTCTAGCTTCGATCAAGTCGAGAAGCCTGGCTAGGCTCGCTTCTAAAGGCTTCAACTTTATGAATAGTATTTTTTCGTACACTCTGGTGTATTCCAGCTTCAATTTCTCGCGCTTTCGCACCAATTCGCACAACAACCTAACAGCAACCGATAAAGATTAGTCTGAACGCTAAATAATTTGAAATACTTGCCTAGCCCTTTCTAAATCTTGCCGAAGACATTGCCAGTATTTAAGCTGTCTGCATAATTCAATAGTATCCACATTACTAGTGTTCGAGTCTCTGGTTCCACCCTAAATAGCAATAAAACAAACTTCAATATTATTAAAGCGTTATATGCCAAAAATATGTGTTTCTCGTATAGCTTTGATGCTTTTTGTGACAATGATTCGCATTTTTGTCACATATTACCTGGGCACTTTGCAATCTTCGCAACAATGGCACGCCGTTCCTATACTGACGCTTTAAGGTCCAATACGCAATAAGGCGTTGAATAAATTGGGATTTTTTTGTGATCGTTACTAGAGAAGCGATTTCCTGTATTCGCTCTGGTGGTATCGTGGGCATTAATATAACTGGTGCCGATGTTCGTTTCTTGGCTAAAACCTATAAAAAATATGTTTTACCAAAATCACTTCCATCCGGCACATTCATATTGAACAAACGTACCTTCCTAGCTTGCATCATTTTCTTTCTGGAGTCCTCCTTCTGATCTCCCTTTTCCGCTTGGGTGTCGCCAGGCGAATGAATATCGCAGTACGCGATTTTTTGAATCAGAACTGGCTGCCCCGCAATGTCTCCACCCTGTAGAAATTGTAAACAATTTGATGATGCTGTACTTTTTATCGCAAGAACAAGAATACCTTAACAGCATCCATTCGCATATAAAGCCCTGCCTGCTGAGCACAAGTTACATGAAACGCCGCATAACATGAATTCCGATGGCATTGTATGCAAGCGCCCACGGACTTCTGTTTGCATACGTAGCAAGTCAATCTCCAACGAGCTGCAGGAATCGTTTCAATCGAATCTGCGAATCGGATCAATGTTATTAAGGTCCATTGGTTGATTTTTTTAAATATTTACCTATTGGTTCTAGGAAAACTGTGTTTGCAAATCTAACTTCAGGTATCCATAACGCACAGACTACATGCGCCCAAGTGCCTCTATCAGTTTGCTTAAATGCTCCACCTTGATTTGGACAAAGAACACAATCAACGGGCCTACTGGGAGATTGCAAGCATCTAGAAAATAATTAATAAAATAGTTGCCCAAAACCCGAAAAAACGTAGGTACTTTCTAATTCCCTTAATAAGAATGAACACAATATATTGAACATTTACCTTCTGCACAACCACTGGCCTTCAGGAATATAAGGGACTCCATAACAATCCTGATGAACCGCCAAATTACACATATCGCAAAATAAGATAACATTCGTGTTCTGGCATTCTCCGTCCATGCAAATGCAGCAAACCGCATCATCATCCACTACCGCTCCATTTGAATGTCCATTTACCGCTGCCTATGGAACAAACAAATACATTTTACACCAAAAAATTTATTTTATGAAATTTCGTTAAACATGTCCATAGTAGAGAAATCCATTGTTTAGAGCAAGAGCGTAAAATTTCAAAGTACGTTAAGAACATGCACATGATTATGTTCTAGTAATCTACTGTATACTCAGCTAAATATCCCACCATGATGAAAATTGTCATGGCCTAACAGAAGACAGATATTAAGCACTGGCTCTGACGAAACATCTAGAAAGTTGAATTTTGTGACTACCCTAAGTATAACTTACTTGAAAGTATGACTCCTTTTCCAATCTGTCCATGAGCAATTCGAGGGAATCGACACTCACAGGTGCCAAACCCTGTTCTTCTCTAAAACACAACTTTTAAACTTAAAAATTTTACGAAAATCCGTTAGGCTTTTTCCATAGTTTCTGGAAAATTTTGAATCGCAGCTACCGAGTCTTTAAAGTATCTACTCGTAGTAATACAAGTATTACCTCTTTTCATTCATTATATTCAACCACGCAGTGTCCTCTTCATCAACATCATATTCCACCTCTCCATCTAACTCTTCAGTGCTCTTTTCAATGAAACGAATGTATGCATTGGGTCTCGGTGGCGCATCACATATATTGTAATCGTCTAGTTCCTTATAGCAAGCTTCGGGCAACTGCACAGCGGGCTCAGTCGGAGGAATGGGTACGGGCGTTACTACGGGTTTTTCTTCTTTGAGATCTAAAATAAAATTTAAAAAAGTAAACACATTAAACAACCTTAAAAATGCTAAAAGTTGTGACTCGCCTTCAGTTTCTGTTTTAGATGCGGAGGGTTTCTCTTCAGATATAACATCTAGAGGATCATTGATGTTCCATCTAACAATATTGGGAATGTTACAATAACACCTATACTACCTACACTATTTATACCTATACTTAACCATAAAGATCTGCTATAAAAGGCTCTGTATTCAACTCAAGTCTAGATTTGTGCCATGTTTTAAGTGGATTTCTTAAAAACGTGAAGTGAAAAATTACAAGCAACGATTTTTTCTAACGCCTATAAATAAGAGTTATCGGCTTTCAGAAAGCGTTCTAAAGCAAAAACGATATTAGAGACTGAATTATGACCATTTAGAACGTTCCTGCGACAAGAAAAAGTATTGTTTTTCAAATCTTTAAAATCACAGGATTGTTTTCCAGATATTCCCCAACAGGCTCTTTATTAAATGCAAAAAACAACAATTTCCTTCTCAATATAAAATTGCCATTTTTACTAAAGTTTAGGAAGAAATATTAGTGATTATGAACATTTACCTACAAACCATCCCATTGATCTCAAACTGAACCATTTTTTGAGCTTCCTCGAAAGTTAAAGGTTCTGGAGTGCTGACAACGACAGGAGTTGCCGCAGTTGGAGCCCTAGGGCCCTTAGGGGTTTTTCTGCCCTTTTTATTTTTAGACACTGTTGGTGTGGATATCGTTTGGGCAGCCGGAGCATCATGATTGTGACTCTACAAAGTATATAACAACCCTATGGTATGTCAAGTAACGAAATCGACTAAGTGTGACTGAAAACCAAAAATAAGGGCACTGAAATATTCCTCAAGCAATGAATAAAGTTGAGTAACCCAAAAGGCTTAGTTGAAAAGGGCTTTTAATGAACTGGTTTCAACCAGGTGGTGATCAGCATTTCCTAAATTAGCCGGAAATACTGAGATACTTACTTTCAAGTGATATTGTAGGCCACAAACTGTTTTATAGCTTCTGCCACACTTGTCCACTGGACATGTGTAGGGTGGCCCATGATCAGCCCTTACCTTTTTACAATGCTCTAGAATATCGATGTCTAGTCCCATAATGGAGGCAAATATAAATCGATCAAATATTCACTAAAACACGTACGAAAATGCCAAAAAATCTGCATTAAAATATTTGTATACAAATCTTGTTGACAGTCTGTGTTGTTGACATTCATTGACTATATCAACAGGGATGTACTAGCGCATTATACCTTTGAATATAAAACCAGAGATTAGTTGAACTAATCACTGATAAAACTAACGTTATAGTTTTATATTCAAAGCATTATACAGAACCGGACTCCTAGTATAAATGACATAGGTAAGTTACTTTGATGATCCGTTAATCAAAACAAACTACTACAAGTACTTATCTCTGCTTCTATTCATTGAAACGTACATTTCCTTAAGTATACGGGTTTCCTTATTGGATGTCGTATTTGTATCGAAACGGCTGAAATATCCTGAATGATCTTTGAATATTCATTTTATTTCTTTTTATATTCAAAGGGTATAGTGCATTAGTGATGGTCATGATACAATGATACAATGAATGTATTTATTGTATCATGAGTGATGGTTGTTTAGAACACAGATCACAGAGTAACCTCTGCGATCTGTGGTCTAGGAAATTGACACTGGGTGGTCTAACCTTGTTTATTTTCTTCTGGTAAATTCCAGTTTAAAACTTATTCGTTTATAAAAAATAAACTTCGGCACGTCTGAATCAGTCAATCCAGTGTTTAAACTTAACGTGGTCAATATGCCAGGAATTGAACGAAAACCAGAAGTTGCTGGGGCCCTTGTGCCTGTTCCAACACCAAGTGAGTATCCAGCTACGTCGGTTCTGAAGGAAATACAATAACTGAGTTTCTTTCGGAAACCAGATGGAGTCCAGCCTAGACAACCTACCAATCTGCAAGGTCTGCTTAAGTTTTGCATGGAAGCAACGCGATCGGAAGATGCCCCCAATGACACTCAACTTCTTCCCATGGATGAAGAGGTAAAGCGTGTTGTTAGTAGTTGAGTGAAGATGCTTAATAGAACACTCCCATTGCTCTTCAGAGAAGGAAATGGTTGGAAAGTGCTCTGAAATCCATGACTGTTGATGTGATTGATCTACTGAGGAAGCAAATTGAGATTCTTCAAAATGTTGACAAAATCCAACCTACGGATGATATTTCTCAGTATGAGAGTGCGGTGGAAACGATTTTGGACTATGTTGATGATATTGATACAGCATGCGGTAAGTCATACACTTTTTACAATTTATTTAATTGTTTTGGACTCTCTTGAGTGTAAAACAATTCAGAATTGCAATTGTATGTTGCAAAATCAATTTTTTTTCCGTACAGACTTTCACAAAATTGGTGGCTTCTTGGTGTTATATCCGTGTTTAAAATCCAATTACACTAAGCTGAGAGCGGCAGGTTGTGAACTGTTAGCTGTTTTATGCCAGCACAATCCTTATTGTCAGCAAGTTGTCCTGGATAATGAATTTGTGCCCAAATTGCTAAAGATGATTGAAGACGATGAAGATGTCCATGTGGCTGTTAAAGCTTTGTACGCTCTCAGTGGTAAGATGCATAAAAATAAATTTTGCTAGTTGATTTTAATGCGTTTTATATTTGGCTTAACAGCGATTATTCGGCATAGCGAAGAAGGGTTTGGGCAATTTATTCATTACAATGGCCCAATGATTCTCCTGAAGGCCCTGGATCGGGGTGATGATAAACTGAACACCAAGGCGACATTTCTTCTGACGAATCTCTGCGATTCACAACCGGATTTCAAAAGTAAACTTTGAAAAATTGGCTAATTTTGACTTTTACTAACGGAAGTATTTGTTAGGTCGCTTGGTTTTTCTGGATTATGTCCCAAAATTGATTAATCTGATATCCAAAGAACGACAGCCTAGTCATGAGTATGTTTTAACGTTACTGGACTCGCTAGTTGAAGCAAATGCAACCGCGTTAACTGAATGCAAACATCCAAGGCATCATTTTGAAGACGTCCTGCGGAATTATCTCCGCTACTGTGAAGATAACATCGAAGATTGTGCGGTAAGCTAGAACTTTGAGAGTCAACGTTTTTAACAAGCTGTTACACGTGAATGTTTTTTATTTCTAGAAAGAAGCTCAGATTTGCACCCGGTTATTACATTCGGTGTTTGAAGTAGGTAATTAATATATTTTTGCTGTTAAGTTTGTACAGTTTATCTAGGTTTACTGTTTAGTTCTAAGAGTGTTAACCAAATTAACACATTAATGTAGGTTTTTACATGAAGAACGTTTTTGGATAATAATAAATGCAAATCTTCGCGGATTTAATTTGAAATCCAGTCGAACTTCTTTTTTTTCGTATTTTATCTTCTGTGAAGAGTTGCATCTTTTGGAGCTTCTAGGTCTTGAAGATGAGCTCGACTTTGGCTATTTGGCCGATCGATCTAACTGATTCCGTAGTTACGGGGTATTTTTCACGATACGCTTTCTACCGCTGAAAGTCCGTCATATAACTTTTGATGCACTCTGTATACAAAACTTGTTCAGAATATTTTAGAATCGAATTGTACTACAGTGATTTACTGGGTGTTTCATATGTTAAATCTGCGAAATTGTTTGTTTGTATCATGATCGAGGACCTTCGTGGTGACACCCTGTAAAGGAGCAAGCAAGCTGATTATAATTTTCTAAATATGTATTAATATAGACAATTAGAACTTGTGTTTTTTTTTTCAATTCTTTTATTTGCTTTGCATGTCTCTAATCTGGGTTTAGCAAGATAAGCGGTTAGCAAAACCAGACTTATAAACCGGTCCCATTTAGATAAAGTATTTAGAAAAACATTAATAACTCATAAGAAGATACGAATTATTTGCCAATCTATTAATAAAATCCGCCTGTTTATGCAGGGTGTCCCGTATGCACATGCTCAAAAAAGAGTACGGTAATGGCTGAAGTTGTTGAATAGCAAGGAAACAGAAAAACGTTGTTTGCGCAAAAACTATGAGTACTACCAGATTTTACAAAGAGCACAAAAATGTCAAGAAATACTTAGTGCACCGACTCAAACAAAATGCCAGTGGCCAAATAAAAAAATTCTGGGAGCTTTTGTACCAAGGTACTCAAGAAATTACCAGAATTGAATGAAAATATGAGTCTTACATAAGACCAAATTCACAGCGAGTTTCATAAAAATCCATTGGATCATTCTCCCAATATTTCAAAAACTTGTTTTCAAAAATTCGATTTTTTCTTAAGAAAAGTTATTGCAGATCATCGTCTTTTGAACCCAAGAATGCCGCAGTACCTTTATTGATTATGTGCTTACTGAACACCCTGTCTATTATATAGTTCTAATCTAAATTGTGTACAAAGGGTATACAATTTAGGTTGGCATTAATGAGATTCTTGTAATTATAAAAGGTTTTATAGTCAATATTCTCTTTATCAAGTTACCAGCTTTTAAATCCCATAATTTCATCGGTCAGTTATATTCTAGATTGGCAAGTGGAAAGGCCTGCACGTAGTTGCGCATTTTCCGGTTAGAAAAGAGTTTTCTTTGACTTTTTGTGTTATTTTACGAAGAAATTACAATGCAAATGTGAAGTGTACATTTTGGAGGTTTTTCTTCATGGTTTCGAGGCTTTTGGCAATGGAATATTTAGATTCATCTCAATGGTAGGTGCAATTTTTCTTAACTTTTGGTTATTTAGCGGATTGAAACTTTAAATTAGAAAATTGAGGAAAATTTAAAAAATTTGTATTGTAAAATAAGCAATTTTGAAATTTTCGTACCATGTTTTCATTTAATTTATTTCGCAATTTATTCTAAATAGATTTCAATTTTATTACTTTTATTTCCATAATAAAAAATATTTTGTGTTTTATTAAAATGAGGTACCTTTCAGTTTAAAAAAAACAATTTTGTAATTTGAGTACCAGATTTAATTAAATCGGTATAACAACAACAATTAAAACGGGCAAAAACAAATTTAAAAATACATTTTGACTATTGAAAAAAACTCGAAGTTGACGGAAAAAAATTAATTTATGCATTTTCGGTTCAAATTATGCACAATTTTTTTTAATAAAAAACTTAGTTTTTTTGGGCTATTTTTCGACTTAGTTAAAACGTCCTGTATCTTTCAGAGCCATAAAAAACATTCGAAATGTTTCTTTGTAAGTGGCGGGTTTGGACAAAAATCTACAAAGCTTGTACTTTGGATATGGACACAAATTTCGCCTTTTTTCGATACATTCCTTCTGAATTATATACTTATCCTCAAATAATGTGACATAATTCCGTGATTTTTTTTCATGCAAAAACGAGGATAATTGCAAAATGCATTGTAATGAAGGGGCTATTTTTTCCATTTCATTTATTGGAAATTTGAATTCTACAGAAATAATTTACAAAGACAATTGAAAATCATTGAAATGATTGATATTGAAAAAATCATGATTCAGAGACTCCAGTTTTTCGCAATTTTAAGCGGGTTAACGATATAAATAAGCCACCAAGTCACATGTTTTTAAATTAGACATTACAACGATTAAAATGACCACTTATACACTTTTGAAATACAATGAAGGTTCGAGGCAATTATTCGTGGAAGTTAAGGGTAGTTTTTTCGAAAAATGTACATAATTCGAAAGCTAGTCGTCTCCTGAATTACGAAAAAATCATGCTTCATTTAACACCAAAATAGACATACTTTAACAAATTTTCATGTAAATTAAATCATTAATGGGCGAGAAAAAGTACTGAAAAAGTTGTTTTTGCTATTTTCACTGTTAATTTGAGGTTAAGTCAAAAAATGTAATTTACAAAAATTGTAATTTTTGTCATTATCTACAAGTTTTGTATTGAATGTTTGCCGCTAGAAAGTCACGGTTCCCAGCAAATCGCAAAAAAAACCGTTTTCAACCCCCTAAACTGCATCCCCATTTCCAGAGTTTTCGTGTTTTAATTTTATTTTTTCTTAAAGTTGGAAACTCAAACACATTTTCACATTTGGTTCTTGCCTATTAGTATTTTTTTTCAATAAAATTAATATATAAAAAACGAACATTTTTTCGGAAACTAGTTGACAACCACCCGGTAGACACGGCATTATTGAAAAAATTCCCAGTTGGCAAAAAGAAATTGCGATTTTGAAAAACTAGCTTGAATGGGGTGAATTAGGTGCTGTTTTGCTCTGGATTCCCCTATTTTAATAACAAATGTGGCCCGGTTGAGTTATTTATGCGCGTTTTGATTTGCGGGAACGAAAGAATGCAAATATTCGAAAAATAGCTGTGTTTTGGAAATTTCCGGGCAGAAATGACGTGTTATGCAATAATCAAGGCCTCCTTTAAATGGCTCGTTTTTGTCAAATTCAATTAAAATGCAAACGGCCAATAAATCAGTAGTCGGCGGTACCTATTATATTTTTAACTTGCCTCTTCTAGCGAGGGTCTACAGGAATGTTTATTATTAAAAATCTATTTTTAACTTTTAATTCCCGAAGCGCCTCTTTTAACAACATTAATACATAAAATCCTTCTCTAGTTACGTTGAAAATTTGAAAGTGTTCGGTAAAGAGAAATGCGTGCGATATTTGCGGGATCGATCGGCAATTTTTAAGTGCAGCCGAATTTAAAAACATTTCGGAAGGCGATTTCCAGCCACCCCAGTTTTACGTTATAATCTTTTCTCGGCACAGCCCTTGTTGGCATTTGTTTACCGTGTACAGTCCGAGCCATCAAACTGTTTGAATAAACCTTTGCACATGCCTTTTTCACATTCGGATCTGCGTTGCGTTTCGCAGTGGCAACGACGGATTTAATTTTATTTCTACCTAATTTGGACTTGTTTTATTTGGTCGAAGGCACAGAAACTCGCTTTGTTTGTCCGCGAGGGGCTTTTTTGCTTGATTTTGTTATTCGGTTTGCCTCAAGGCCCGCGTAAATGTTTATACCGTCGACTGTACCAAGCCGGCACAAATTGCAAATGGCGGGGATCTATATATAAATATTATATTTAGATTTGTTGCAACATTTTAGTTTAACGGAAAAATTACGGTTTCTCGGTGTTTTTTAAGTGTGCAGTGATCAGTTTTTTACCAAAAACCAGTAAGTCAATAGGGATTTTGCCCCTGTAATTGAGTTGTTTATGTTTTCTGAATGGCACGGTCTATCTACACCCCCTAGGACAGCGTTGGTAAATATTACACCTTGCCGCACTGTGCTGCGACCTACGGCCGATTTCTTACGTGGGTCTCACGTGCGGTCTTAAGCGTGCATTGTCGCAAGCTTGAGTCGTAGCTTGATTCGCCTTGGCAATATAATTATTTAAGTGAACCTTTTTGCATTAAAGTTTTTATCGATCATTTTCAGGCATTTGTGCGTATATTTAAGGGTAGAAAATGTGTTCGATGTGACCGCCATGTAAGTACAAGGATCTGTGTTGGTTTTCATTGATCATTTTACATAAACAAAGCAGCGAATGTTGTTTTTATTGCATATTTTTTCAATGCCTTTATTTAAGGGTTAGCCAATATGGCGTAGCTGGCTTTCATCGAAATTTGCCTTTTAATTCTCGCAATCTTTTTCTAGCTATTGTTTGTGTGTTCCAATAATACAATTTCAACTGAAATGTAGTTTTCAAGGTATTTGTTTAAGAAGCCTCCATCCACCAGGTACCCAAGCTAATTTTATCAATTGTTATTTTTACATTCCACCGCCGCCGGTTGGACAACAAATTTCTCATTTGTGCGAAATTCCCCACAATTTGAGGATCTTCTCCCAGCGAGGTTATGTTGCGGAGGTTTTTTTTTCTTTTGCCGGTTTTCAGATGTTTTGATGAAATTGATTGGTGCACGCGGTTTCCATCTACATCTACCACCACGCGTTAGAACGAGATGGACTGTTTCACTGGTGCCCCTTTTTTTTGTCTTCCGCAGTTGTTTTCTTAAATTATTGCAAGTTTCATCCTCGAATTTTTTTATCGATTTTCCACTCCAAATATATATTTTGTTGCTAGGGTGAGGGAAATTTGCATCAATGGCGAAAATTACGAAACCCAAGACGGCCATCGCGTGGTTGGTCTTAAAACAGGGGGGGTTTGCTCTATCGATTTTAGCAATAATTTTGTTGATTTATCGCGAATCTGAGGTGGGATTGTTCCCATGATTCACCGCATTATTTTTATTGTCGTTAACGCACATGCCTACAACTGTTTTAAAAATATCGTCTTGCTTATATGCCGCTCATCATTTTAGTTGAAAGCGCCGAAAATTGTTAATATTTTTAATAATTTATACACTCGTTGTGTCTTCCAAGACTCTCTACTATTTGAAACGTTTTGGTGAAAATCGCTGTCTTTTGGTAGGTAACTCCATAGCAAGTAACTTATTTTAACTACGTAGTGCGACACTAGTTTTCCCATGCAGGGTGTTATTTCAGTACGTAGTACGTAAAAAACGCAAGTTATTATCTACTTAGTTTCGCTAGAATTAACTTCCAAGTCTAATCTTGAAAATATTTTAGATCGCTTGCCCCCAATGACTTCGGTATACTGTCCAATTTTCAAATTTCTCCTAATTACATACAGGGTGTCCCGTAAGCACATGATCAGAAGCGTACTGCGATATTCTCTGGATCAAAAGCAGACGATCTCACCTAACTTTTATTGACAAAAAATGTCTGGCTCCTCTACTATTGATGGTCAAAGTTCTTCAAAAATGTATCTTTTTTGAAATATCGGGAGAATGGCACTATGTATTTTGGTGAAACTCGCTGTGAATTTGTTCTTATGTAAGACTCACATTTTGATGAAACAATCGAGGTCAGCCATTTTGGATAAGTGGCGAATTCTTGAGTGTCGTGGTACAAAAACTACCAGAACTTTATTTGGTAGATGAAATCAACTCATTTTTTTTGGTTGAGGCACTGATCGCAATTTACAATTTTGCGCTCTTTGTAAAATCTTGTAGCATTCATAGTTTTTGCGCAAAAAATATGTCTGTTTTCTTACCACTTAACAATGTTACACATTAAGTGAAAATATGCATTATCAATTGACAATTAATTTATGCCTCGTATCACGATATTTGCAGTTAATGTATAACATTGTTAAGTGGCAAGAAAACAGAAAAAAAATGTTTACAAAAACTATGACTGGTACAAGATTTTACAAAGAGCGCAAAATTGTGAATTGCGATCAGTGCCTCAACCAAAAAAATGAGTTGATTTCATCTACCAAATAAAAAGTTCTGGTAGTTTTTGTACCACGACATTCAAGAATTCACCACTTGTCCAAAACGGATAAACTCGATTGTTTCATTAAAATATGAGTCTTACATAAGAACACATTCACAGCGAGTTTTACCAAAATACATCGTACCATTCTCCCGATATTCAAAAAAGATACATTTTTTGAAGAACTTTGACCATCAATAGCAGAGGAGCCAGACATTTTTTGTTAATAAAAGTTAGGTCAGAGTGTCTTCTTTTGACGCAAAGAATATCGCAGTATCCTTTTGATCATATGCTTACGGGACACCCTGTATAGTTTGCCACATATCGATCGCGGTGGTTCTCGGTGGAACACCCTGTATGAGCAAAAAAATTAATGAATTTTTGTTACATTTTCTTTGACAATTTATTGTCTTGCCTCTCAAGCTAACGTGTAAAGAAAGTAATTTTTGAGCTTTATCAATTGAATGCTGTTATATGGGGTAACATTTTGCGTACATCCAATGGTCACTCAAGAAATTAAATATTTTTGAGCGAAACGAAAAATTCAAAGTTTTAGGACGATAAGGTAGAGTTCGAGATAAACAGTTTTCGAAAAAAATAAAAAACACTTCTTTAATTTTTTTATATTGCCAAAACCAAAATAATTGTAAAATTCTGAGAATACCAAAAAATAGAGCGAGTCAATGTGCTGATAAAGGATATTATTCACTTTTCCCGTAAAGTTAGTATTAAGCCAGCTACTGGCGATTTTTAATTTTTCGTCCAAATATTGACCTTTTTAACCGATCCAATGAGGCTAAAATGTTAACGAAGAAGTTCCGAAAAAAATCAGATCAACTGTTGTACCTATTATAACTTGAATTATCAAATTGATGAAAAATTCCATCCGAAAATGAGCTTACAAAAAATCTGCAAATGTCAGTTTCCGATATTCAAGTTATTCATCCTGTAATTTTTTTCTTGTCTTTATGTAATATTCCCACTGAAAACCATACATTTCTGTGTCTTGACGTGTTTTACTCTATTTTCGATCTTGACAAAAAATTAAATTTCAATTCCTCGGACCGTCTCTGCATTACCCGTCTTTTGAGCTAATGGATTGTTTCCGACCTAAGAAGGCACCAATTTTCAATTCTTGTGGATCAAAAGACTAGCATGTCTATTCATTCATAACCTCGTAGAAATCCTCGCCTCCTAACGGTGAAAATGGCATGGAATTTGGGGAAAATAACAAACCTTTGTCAAATTTTCGGGAAAAATTCAACATTTACACGAATATCTTTTCAGCTCTGTTCTCGATCTAAAAAGCTTTCAGGTATGCGTAATTGTGTGAGTGTTTAATGCGGTTTAGGGCAGATACTGTCTCTCAAAGACCGAATTTGTCCACAGTTTATCTGATGATCGCCCAAGAGCTGAAAGGCAGGTATTACAGGACTAAACCCCAAAATTTGCTAAACACGTAGAAAACTTTTAACTACTAATTTTAATTAAGCAGGAAATTAGTAGTGAATTATTCTTTCGTCGATAATATCACCGTTCAACGGCGTCATTCGTATAGGTCTTATGTTTTTATTTGTTCTAGTTAGCGCGATTTTTTGGCAAATAGCACAAATTGTCGGTTTTATTTTTAAAATATTTTGATTTATTTAAAAATTCAAGTACGTCAGTACTGTTATTTGCGTTAAATATACAACAAGGTTTTGGGATTCGTTTATTTTATTACAACATCGGTTGGTTGTGTGGATTATCAATTAATTTAAAAGTGCTCAGTGTCTGATTATTTTTCAGTCCAGTTTCTTTATATTGTTGTTGTTCACTGCATTCAAGCTAATGGTTAATTAGTCTGAAAATATTTGTTTATGCGTTATAAAGCGATAATTAATATGTAAATTATTCAACATTGATAATATTCTCGTGCTACTCACATTATGAGGCTGAAGCAAAATCTTCCAGGGCTTAGTAACTAAGGATTCGAACATTGCAAAGGTCGCATTTTACCTGCTTTCATAAAATCGTGGGTTGCCAATAGAACCCATATGTTTAGGTCTTACCTGTAAATAACAATGAAGGTAATATTTAACAAACAAATGTTTAGGGCTAGTTTCAGTCTTTATTCATGGCTAGTTCTGTTTAGTTAGTTAGTTTAGTCAATGTTGCGAGTTTGAGGATAGGGAATTGGTTGTTTTTCTAGCAAAGGTAAAATTAATCTAGGAGTTTGTTTATTATTTAATGTTCCTAGAAACCTAGCAAAAAAGTTGGAAATATCTCTTTATAACATTCTGAGAAGGGACTTTATGGCACATTTCTTCTTCAAATAGTCTTGCATGAAAACTCCTCAATCTCGGTTCAGGCAAAGCGACTAACCCTGCCTATAAGTAAGTAGTGAATAACATGTATCAAATAACGTGGTCTCAAAAATGTTTTCTTCAAGGCAGTCAGTGGATTATTTTTAACAATTCGGTAAAAAAATCATTCGCAATGAGTGGGCATCACATAGTTTCAACGCTAAATTGAAAATCGCTTGAATAACGTAGTTGAAAAGTTTTTTTGTGATAAATACACAATTCCTAACTTGCCTCTCTGCAAGTCTGAATTAACAATTTGCTTTTGTTTCCAGATTTGGCAGGCCATACTCAGATAAAGATCCGTCTAGTTCATTAGTTTTTTGTGAATATCACTTGTTTGCCGCCTATCAGTTTTTAAGAAAAGGTGCATTCAACTGAGGCATGGAGACCGCGAGTCCACAACAGTTTTGTGTAAGGTAAGCCAGAAAAGTCCTGCCAAAAGTGCCCTTGAGCTTCATTAATTAATGCTTTATGATTAATTCCACAGGTGGAACAGTTACCCATCGAATTTGCAGTCAGCATTTCCGAAACTTCTTCTATCGGGCCACTTCGTAGATGTAACTCTAGCCTGCGAAAGCAGCATGCTAAAATGCCACAAAGTAGTATTATCGGCGTGTTCCACGTATTTCGAAAAGTTACTTCTGACCATCCCCTGCAAGCACCCGATTATCTATTTAAAGGATATGAAGTAAGCAAATTTCTATGTATACATTAATCAGGTTTACACCTGGATCTTCATCAGTAAGTACGTAACAATTTTGATCTGTTTAAGGTTCCAAGAAATGCAATCGTTGGTGGATTTTATGTACAAAGGCGAAGTGAACGTGGCTCAGGACGATCTTCCATCGCTGTTGAAATCCGCCGAAAGCTTGCAAATTCGCGGCTTGAGTGGAAACGATCAACTGTTGCAACCCCCCTATTTTAGTCCCAGTAAAAGTTCCAATATCAATACGTCGACACCGCAAAACCCGGTACGAAATCCTGCGAAGAATCAGCAGCAAAGACTCATATCTGAACGTTTCCAGGTTCGAGCAGCCGTGCCATCTGCTTCTTCTTCGACGCACAAAGACAACCAGCCTCTTCCAAGTCAAGTAACCATGCCCAAAAGCGAAGGCGTCGTGAAGAAAGAAGTAAATGCTGCTGCTGTGGATGTGAGTTCGGAATGTGGCGGGGCTCCATCTTCATCTGAGTGTGACAGTAACGATGGCATGTTGCAAATTAAAGGTAGTATTTATTTTATTTGTAATTTGAGCATAGTGCAAATTTGTTTTATGTTTAGAAGATTTAGAAGAAGGAGAGGAAGAAAGTTATTTCGAAGGAGATGGCGAGTCTTTGATGGATCAGGAGCTAATGGAGGAAGATGGCCCGGTGAATACGGGGGATTTGTCTCAGACTGCTGATAGTTTTGCTATTGCCAATGTTTCTTGCCAGTACGATGGATCATCAGGACAAAACATGAGTAAGAGGCTTATTCATTGATGACTTAAGTTTCGCACTTTGAACAATAATCTGCTTCCAGATTCAGTTAATAAACGAATAAGACGTTCCGATGAGGAACTGCGGCGAGCAGCTGAATGTATAACCAGAGGCCAAACGTTCCAGACTGTATCCGATCAATTCAATATACCAATTTCAACCATCAGGTTCTACATGGCGCGAAAGGTAAGATGGAGAAAATGCACCAGACTTTTATAAAACAATTTTTGATAATTTTCCACGTTTTTTAAATTGTTTTTCCTTGCTTTCAGGGTATTCTTCCTCGGAGAAAACGTGGACGGTCTTGCGCCCCATCAATGGGAATGGCGCCCTTGCCCGTAATGGCTTCTTACGGTTCTCCCAGTAGTCCGGTTGGACCTCCTTATCACATCGTTCACTATAAGCTTCCACAATTGGGCGTTCAAAAACTTAAATAGGGATACGTTATCGTAAGGTTGAACAAGAAATGAGCACGATGTACAGTACAGGTAGCATAGACTTTAAGAGGTAGTTTTATGGGGTTTCAGCGCTTTGGGGAAGTGTGTCTTACAAAAGGCATCATTTACGGTTCCAAAAGTTTATATTTCTGGAATAAATTAAAGTTCTAATTAGGTTGTTGGAAAGATAAGAGGGGCAGGAAGAAATTTTACATTTTACCATTATTGAATTGGAGACATCTGAGAGTTGGGCTCAAATGAATATTTCATTTAAAATTGTTTCCTATTGTCTGTCTTTTCCATTTTGTAATTGATACTATTTACTTCTTCTACTTACTGCTACTTACTATTACTCTACTTATGGTATTTCGCATATTCGTTAAAAGCTTTAAAATTTTGCTTGATTTACAAAATCAACTTTGAAAACAGTGCTTCTTAAAGCGTACTAAAAAAATAGACAAACACTTCTCATTTTTTTAACTTTTGATCAATAAATACATTTTTCCTTTCATTTAATTTTCAGTTTTGAAGATAGCTCTAATATTGCATTGGTTAGCTACTCGTTTAATTCTATCTGAAAGTGAAATCCCCGTAATAAATGGAATTAAAAGGGTAATGGGTTAATTTTGATTTGGCTTTAATGTTGCATTTTCAATTTCAATCATTTCTCAATAGAAATATGATAATGAATAAAATTTAAAAAGCTCTTTTTAAGAATTGTTGGGTTGGGTGTCTTGAAAAATTGGGTGATTTGAGCTAAAATTCAAAACGAGTAGGTTTTTTTGTATACAAAAGTTTCGAAATTGCCCAAATTTTGTTTTGTCCTTTTTCAATAGTGAATTAATTTAATTAACTTAATTGAATGAATTGACTGAACTTGAATAATTTTGTCGTGACTATAAATTGAAAATTGAAAATACATTATCAATATTTCGCCACCAAATTAGTGGTTTAAGTTTGTAATTATTTGTGAAATTTGCTTCAACATTTGTCACAGGTACATAACTGAAAACGGGCGATTGGGCCAAATAAGACTAACTTTGTATTTATTAGAGCATGTTAACATACACCCTTCATTACAAAGTAAGTCGTCTTTGGTTGGAGAATATTGTGTCATTGTTTTATTATTATCTTTAACTGTTTTAAACTACAAAATTTTTAATTTCCCTTCAAAGTCTTGAGAAAAATGAATTATTGCTCCATTGTTATCTTTGTCGTCCCTTTTTCAATTTTTATAAATATTTCCTGGTCTTATTGTGCCAATCATTTAAATGAACACCAATGAACAATGTTGATCTAATCAGGATACACTTCTTCAATCGCATAACTTCATGAACAATTCTGGAATAAAATTTGCGTATTTAATTAGTGCCATATTATATCTAAATTGTTATTTTGTTTGAACCTTTTTGTCTTCGTGGCGTGTACATATTTTTTTCTAGTTAGTGTACTTGTTTGCATCTACGTTTTTTTGACTGGATGCATTATTCGATAGTATTATCTTTTTTGTGCCTGTAAGACTGGGCGGTTAGATTATTTTCACGCATATACAGGGCGTTAGAAAATCAACGGCTACTAATTCAGAACCGCATGATGGCTATAGTCAGTTTATTTTTGTGGAAATCGAAGAAGAAAAATTGACAATCAGCATGGAAAATATCAACTCTTGACAAATATTAAGCGTTATTTTAAATGTTTTATCCCATCACTAGCGTCTTACAGTTTTTAACAGCCTGTATTTGTGTGTATGTCTTGAACATCTAAAGGACACATTTTTATATACTTACATTGATTGTTTGCCGGTATTCACATTTTCTGTTTAAGAAAGATGAAATGTTATCTTATGAAAGAGTAATTAATGCATTTATTATATGCTAAGACAGTTGATATAATCAGTGCTATGATGACCTAACTTTCATAATATTTCATGTTTTTCAACAATGTTTTGTGTCTATTTAATTTAGCGTCCCTGGTGCAATTTTTCCAGTAAGCTCTCGTAAAGCCTATTCTGTCGACATAATGTGTATTAGTTGTAGAAAGTTGTAAGTATTTAAACCAGCTAGAAAAAAGATGGCGATGAGTAGATAAGCGGTGTTATATTTAACGGTTACTAAGAGCGCTTTTGTCTGAACTTTTAAACACGTTTCAAACCAAAGCGAACTCGAATAATACAAAACGGAAACGGAATCTCACTTTTGGAAACAGTGCTAGTCTTTTGTAAGGTTTTTGTTAGGCGTTATGTTTAGTTCCTCTAAATGGCTGGTTTCGGCTGCCATTCGATCACATCACTTAACGTATACCACCTAGGTTTATGTATATTTTTAATGTGTTTGCTCAATTTTTTCTTAATCCATTTTTCCTAGTTATCTCATCAAACTGAAACATTAATTAATTCGTAGACATTAGACAGAAAATATCTCACTCGTATCACCCAACCTAATTGAAGCAAAAAATGTTTCTATATGGATTACAGTCAGTTATATTTTCACCCCATTGAGTGTATTCGATTCCAATTTTCACGTAGAGACATGAAAAAGTAACAGACGCTTCCATTTGCTGTTTATGATATTAAAAAATGTCTCCATAGCTAATATTCATTACAAATAAAATTAGGGCCTTTCATTTAAATGAAAACCACTTAGATATACAGAGATAGTTTTATACAACATACGCATGCATCCTATTGATTTTTTTGTTTTCATTTCATTGTCATTCATATTACTTCAGCATCATAAGACTAGTCAAAGTCTTTTAAGACTGATATTTATTTGTTGCTTAACTAAGTACGGGCGTGTTTGTTCCACAAAACATTGTATTTCGTTGCTCACAAAGTCAAGAAAAAATAGTATTTTTAGCGGTTTGTGATTAGAAAATAATCGTTTCAGGTTCTGATAAATAAAATAAAATCTCATTTGCAAAGCTCATGGTTTGGAACCATGTTTAATGTACTTACGTATTTTATTTTTTATTTTTTAAATTTAGCAGCGTTCTACAAAAATGAATACGTTTTCGTTTGAGGAGGTTTAAAGAGTCGTCACTCATTTTTGAGTGGCATCATTGATAAGTAAATCAGAATATAGTTCAGTATAGTATGGCTATTAATCGTTATTTTAGAATGCAAAAATGCAAAAATATCAAGTCGATGGTCTTCTGTGTGAATCTTCCGGACCTATCGAGGTTTTCAAGTCCCAACGTAAAAGTTTCAGCCGATGTAAAGCAAAATACAATAGAGAATTTATTTTTGTAGCGCCTTATCAATGTAAAGTGCGTTTTTACAGATATAATGGAAACTCAGTTTGACTACGACAGTTTTTGGTATTTGAAAAACGAAATACTGAGATTGCCTTTGTGGTCGGACTGTTTTCTAACTACTTTAACAGTGTTATGTGTTTATAACAACCGCTCCCACCTCAAAACGATACAATACCATAGTTTATTGTTTTTTCTCGTTGAAGATTTCGCGCTAATTAAATCAAATATTGTTTAGATGAATATCAATCGGTCGTTAATTGCGTTTTATCAAAGAAAAAGGTTCTATAGTATAATTTTCAAAAACAATAACAATAAAAGTTACGAAGAAATTTATAGTTAGAGATCACTAGTTGTAGGTGCAACCAGAGATATTTTACTGTAAAGATATTATGAATAAAAGAAACAATCGCAGTATATGATAAAAGTATAGATAGTAGATATAATAATTAGAGATTATGAAAAAGTGTATACTTATTTTTTTCATAGTCTCGCATAGTAACCTCAGAAAGGCCAAGTTTTGCTTTGCTTTAGCAACCCTTTCAGTTTGTTGGGGCAATGAAGCAACATTTGATCACATAATTAATTTGTAATAAGTCTAGTTTTTAATAATTCAGTGAGTAGGTTTTAGGAAATTATTTAGATTATGTTCCTCAAAGCCAAATCTTGCAGATACTGTTTATTAAGTTGTTTTTTAAACAGTTGAAAATTGATATTATCTTATTGGCTATTCGTCCCCAGACGTGCTGGGCGATTATAATATACAATAGGAAATTACTTTAGGCTAGCCAATAAGATTTTAAGTTTTTAAGCGATTGTCAACTCTGTGATCTAAAAAGATCTCCCTGTCAGCTTTTAATAATGGAAACCTTTTTTACTCATCTTTATTTATTTCATTGAAAGGTTCCCATCACGTTCATTACTTACATTGCATTACAAGAAAAAAGTAGATTAGCATCTAGTTTTATATGATTAGTTGTATTGCATCTTTAGGCTAGACCTCAGCCGTTTGTATTTTTATCTTTATGTGTGTATGCAAGTAAACGCGTTTATTTATTATTGATTGTTTTTAGACACATTTTGCCGGTTTTGGTTCGATTTTCAACCGGTTTGCTGCAGCTGTTTCGATTCGTTTGCAATTTTTAGTGTAAAGTGAATATACTACAACATTATTGTAAAAGTGCCATTCGATATATATTTTTCTAGATACATAGTAACGGCTTATGTCATGTGAGACTTAGACACTGATGTATACAGTATTCGGTATTAAATATACAAATTATATACAAGATATACATTTTTGTTTTTTGGATCTGAGTTTGGGTACCATTTTCGCTACATACGGGAAATGAATGTGAAAATTAGGATGCGCTGCTGTATTTACATTGTTTTTATGTGCTTTTTTTTAATTTAAATTTTTTTAGTTCCTAGTTTTGTGTCTGCTTTCGTGTAGACAAAAAAATATTGCAAGGAGCTTCAGTTGTTTGGTAAAATTATGGATTCTGGTCCAGTAATTTAGTACCTCTGATTATTTTTCGAGCTAAATACAGGGTGTCCCATTAATATAAAATACATTCAATTACATCAACACGGTTAGATATGCAAAACCTACAAATATGTATTGGAGTCCTTGATTTTGCGACAATAAAAATGAAGCAAAAATATTAAGTATACAGGGTGTCTCGTAATAGCGCAACCGACATGAACTTGAGTTTTGTAAATGGCACACTCAAATATTCTCTTGAATTCTCTGAATTCTACATTCAATTTCCAGTCATTTGATGCCCCATATTCGACTGTTTGCTCGTATCGTTGACCGACGATTTAAATTTTTTTTTGGTAAGAACACAAAAATCTAAACTTACAGAATAAAACTGTTTAACGCAAGTTTTTGGTGCTTTTTTCGTATGAAGAATTCCATTTTAAGGCTGTGAAAAATGGGCCCGAACAACTTTAACGTTCCTTTCTTTGCAATGTTTAGATTATCCAATAGTTTTTCATTCCGTTTAAAATCTGCCCATTTGTATGATCCGTTGAAAACACATATTTTTTCAAAATTGTATTTTACTAAACTTTCCTCTTAGGTGAGGAACTGAAAATATTTCAAATAAATGCGCTTCAAGGAAATAAAAGGCAAAAAAGTTTACAAAAGCTGACAATCTGGGCAGCATTGTGTTCTTACACACGCAGCAACCCAATAAAATTACGTTGTAAAATGTATACAGGGCGGTTTGGTGCAGTTTTTTGGGATTGGGATCATTAATTAACAAAAGTCGTTATCTACACTTGTCGATCTTTCGCCTATTTCTAAAAGCTTCTTCCGCAGGAAGCTTATAAAATAAGTCGAATCTATCGTATGAAAAATTACAGTCCATATACAGAGTGCTTCGGAAACACAAATTTTAGGAAGACGACATAAAATCGATTAAAAAGTTCCTATAAATTTAGAGAGGTAGATGCCGCGTCATCAATATACAGAGTGTTTAAGTTTCAAGAAATGTTTGAATACTTTCATTATATTCGGTGCGGTTGAGGATGTTGATTATCTTGTGCATTTTGCTTATTATAGAGGTTTTGAACAAAAGGTAGCAAAACAACTGTTCCTGATGTCTACTTTAGATTTTTATTTTATAACAGTACAATCGCATGAAATAAAAATGAAAATGTTTACTGGAAGTTGCCTTAATTTTCAATTCTTGATTGTTTGTTTCGTCTTTTTTGATTAAGCAAGACTTAAGAGCATTTAGAGGCAATTCACGCACTGTTTAAGCATCTTTCTTCTCCCAGACATTTATTTAGTAGAATTCGCAAGCATTCCAGGCAAATGTTCTCCTCTATTTCAGCGACTTCTCCTGATCCTACTTTCTGAATTTCGTTTCTGGAAGTATTTTCGAACACGGTAAGAAATACCAACCAGTTGCGTTTTTCTTCGATAGTTGGTAGAAGAAATGAACTGTCTTTCCAAGATTTGGACATATATATATATTATATGATTTTTTAAATGTAAAATATAAATTTGAATCACCCTGTTTTTATATGTTTCATGAGAATTATAAGTTTTGATTTGGCGCACCCTTCCTGTAGCAAGTACAATTATTATAATTAGATTTAAAGCGTGACTTCTACGTCTCGTTCTTATTCTACAAGCGATCAGAATTGAGAATAGATTCACAAAATTAAAAAAAAACTTACTCCTTAAGTGATTTTTTTATATTATGCTTGGCACGGTAGAAAAACACGCGTTTAGCCGCATGCATGTGTTTGAACATTTTGCATTAGAATGGCAAGCCAATAATAACGAATGCAAATTTGTCGAAAGTACAAATTCCAAAAGGACATTTTCGTAAGCTTCTTAGAAAAGATTAGGGCTTTGCAAAGTGATATTTAATAGGAAATGAATGCTTAATCGTTGCGAGAAATACGCTAAAGGTCCTGGCTGATAACCCCTGTTGTGTTGTTGAACAAAGCTCCTGCATATGAATCAGTTCCCTTAAAAACACATTAACTCATTAAAATCAGTCTGTACGGACCGCTGACTCATTCTTATCGTTAACAAGCTAATTGTCTGCTCGATGACGTTCTTACTGGTATTCTTATATCTTTGTTAGAACCACCACGCTCACTTGACCAGAAGTCGTGTTCTGTTGTTACTCCAGTTCGACCAGTTCTGGTGATTAGAAGTGCTATTTGTTAACTGTTTTTATTATTGCGTGTTTGACTCAGTAAATAATGTGGAAATTTATATTAGCAACAATGGGGGTTTTGTTGGTGGTTGGCAATGTGGAGATGCACTCTTATCATTTGGGTGCTTGTCCCAACATCGAGCCACAAACTGACTTCAATATGCGAAAAGTAAGTATAAGTAAGAGTGAAGACAGTTAAATTGCGGGACGAATTAATTAAGATAAATGCAGGAAAAGATTATTTATTTATGTTAATATGAAGACTCGTATGTTTTGAATTGAAGCCTCTTTAAAATGAGCGAATGCGAGCCACTCGTTAGTTTGATTGGTTTGATTTTACGCAAATCTGCAAGTAGAAACTTCCATATTCTAGTTTGAAAAATGTACCCGAGTTCATTCACGTTACGGTTTTTCCAATAGTTTGTATATTTTTTATAAGATTTTCCCTCAAAGTTGAAATGCAACATCGAGGGCGATTTTCGAGTTACCTGTTTCAGTCTCCGAAACCCCAACAGTTTCAATACTTATCTGAAATAAAATTAAACCGAAAAACCGCCAGAAAGAAAGATATTTTATGCGGTTCTAGCGCCTCAAAGAACGGCAGTTTTATAAATTTTGATATGGAAAATCAGATGTAGGCAAAATATGTGCTGATTGTTACAAAGAGAGACTATTCTTGCAAGCGCAGCGCTTTTAAGTATTCATGTAGCTACACAAAATATTTTCCTCATTTCATGCCCCAGATTCGCAGCCGCTTTTGAACCAATAAACCTCTATAATCGGCAATATTTGAACGAAAGCCGCAAAACGCTTGCAAAACACATTTTTACAGCTTTTTTTAAACTTGATTTACATTTTTCTTATCAATCCAATTGCATTTACTTCAATCTTTAAGTACTTGAATTTTTTAGGGATTTCTATTTTTCTCGTACCAGAGATGCTCTCATTTGTCCGCATGTAAACACAGACACTGGAGATAAATAATCAATAGTGATTTGAACACGCTTTTAGAAAAACATCTGGATTTTTGGAATTTTTTTTCCTTATTGCGCTGACTTTTATTTGCCTTGTTTTAGATGCTTGGGATTTGGTATGTGATTGAAAAAACCAGCACAGCGAGTTCTTGCATAATTTACAATATAACGGAAACCGATGAACCTGGCGAATACAAGGTGGAGGAAATAAGCCAACATTTTCTGCTGAGTCTCACCCCTTTGAAGCATGGCTACCACTATACTGGAACCCTTAAGGTTCCTGATAAGGCGGTTCCTGCCAGGATGACTGTCAGCTTCCCGCTAAGTAAGTTAAAGCCGTTATCATACCACAATCATAGAGAAAATAAAATAAGTAATAATAAAGTAATAGTAAAATAATAATTTTACTTACTCTATGACCACAATTGCATGCAACTCGGACCTTAACAGACGCATTTTGTTTCAAGGTGTAGCTGGAAAGTCTTCGTTCACAGTATTTTTGACCGACTACGAGACTTATGCGGGGATTTTTACATGCCAAAGCGTAAAATTCGTTGAAAGGCAGTCAGCTACTATCCTGTCGCGTACGAGGAGTTTGGATAAAATGTACATCGATAAGGTACCTAAAACTGACGATTTTTTAACACTTTGAATGAATAGCCATTTCTGAAACGCGCAGATCAGATCGCGGCTTGCCAGTGCCCAAATCGACCCATTCGATCTATCGTTGATCAACCAAAATAACTGTCCAAGAGATCTGGCTGATGGTTACAACATTAAGATAGACGATGAAACGATTTCCGCTAAAGCTGCAGCCGGAGTTATCAGGAAAGCAGGAGAGAAAATCGGTATGTTTCGGCTTTCATTTCATGGAAAATTCGTATAACTTAAATACATTCTTCCGCAGGTGATGGCGTGGAGTATATCGCAGGAAAAACGAAGGAAGTCTACCATAAAGTGGCGGATAAATCAGAAGATTCTGCCGGACAAATACGAGCGCAAGCTGGCAAATCGCTCGATCCAGAAGCAGAGTGGTTGCCATAAGAAATATACTCTTCTTAGGTTGATTCATTAAAAAAAAATATTTGTGTGATGTCAAGGCTAGTTTGAGGACATATCGAGAAAACTCAATTTTGTAAGCGGATTTTCTTTGAATGGAGCGTGACTTTATCCATATATGGAGTGTTTTATTTCCGCCAAGAAATAAATACCCACATAATTAAATACTGTTTTTTATTTAAAACTATACCTAAACAAGAATCATCTTAGATTGCTTGATACCGAAAGTATCAGTTAAAGTTGTGGAGAACCCTCAGCGGACGACGCTGCTAAGAAGCAAAAAAAAGAAGATTAATTTAAAAAATAGATGTTTTTTCATACATTGTTGAATATAAAAGTTGATTCGCACTATCGCACTATTGTGTCATACCAAACCGTTGCCTTAAGCTTTGTGTGTTAACTTTGTGTGAAAGTTGTAAGACAACTTTGATTTTATGTCCCACAAAAACAATCAAAGCGCTAGATTTACTAAATAATTTTTACTTTAAGGGAAAGAAGTGGCGAAGCAATCTTTTCAAAGTGATTGATGGGAATCCCCACACGAACGCCACTGGAAAAAGCAGATAACTGTTTTGCAGAGCAAAAAATTATGTTTAATGCATAGAAAACGTGTATTTGGTTTTTACTAACTTTTCACAAAAAAAACAGTTGAGACAGTAACAACACGTAGTTGAACAGGCCGGCGTTACTGATTGATTCTGATTTTAAAAATGTTTAATTTAAATTCCTAGAAAACGAGTGTTTTAAAAAAATTGAGCACGCCACTGGATTGCTGTAATAAAAGTGCATTAAAAACGTGTTTCTATAATCTGCAGAAGAAAAAAGTTATGGACATTTTTCAATATGGTTGAAATTTGAAAACATTCTTAAACCTGTTCGTCATGTGCGTGTTGTGGCGAGTCCTTCGGGTACGACACTAGTAGGAATTAAGGAAAACTTTGATTTCTGTCTTGAGTTTCTCTTTGTTTTCTGTTATCAAAGGCGCAACTTAAGAACTCAGCACAAACGAACAGCGTTTAGAGTGCATATTGTGCCGAGTTCTTAAATTGCAACTTTGATGACGGAAAAGAAAAAAAAAACTCAAGACAGAAATCAAAGTTTTCTTCAACTCCTACCAGTGTCGTACCCAAAGGACTCGCAACACGCACATTAGACACTATTGGGATGAAAACCAGTGTTGTGACGAGCACGACACTGGTGGGAAGCAACAAAGTGAAACTCAAAACTGGGATTCAGGATTCAGGTTCAACAATGTTTTGAAATTTCAACATGTTTTTAACGCACTTTTATTAGAGCAATCCAGTGGCGTACTCATTTTTTAAAAAAATATACTCGTTTTCTAGGAAATTAAAATACACATTTTTTAAATCAGAATTATTCAGTAACGTTGGCCGGTTCAACTACGAGTTGTTACTGCCTTAACTGTTTTTTTCGTGAAGTTAGTAAAAACCGAATACACGTTTTCTATGCATTAAACGGAATTTTTTGCTTTTCCAGTGGCGTTGGTGCGGGGATTTCAATCAATCACTGAACAGATTGCTACGCCACTTCTTTTTCTTGAGGTAAAAATTATTTAGTAAATCTGGTGTTTTAATTGTTTTTGTTCGTGGCGCGGTTCTTACATAAAAAAATAAAATTCACTCCTGTGCATCTCGCTAGAGCATTAACGAAAATAAAGTTATTTTGTAGATAATTTTAAACGAAAAATGTGCTGATGGACACTAGTGACAAAAACTGCTTCTTTTCCTACTAAAAATTATTTCAATCCGCGTTTCTTCACATCGTGCAAATGACCAAATTTGATTTTTTTGAGCAAAAACCGTACCAGTGTCTAATAAATTCAATAAACCAAATTCGTTCAAAAAGGAGTGAATATTTAAAAAAAGTAAAATAAGGTACGTTTCCCTATGTTTGCAAAAAATATCGATTTTTTTTCCTTAAAACTTTAGCATTAAAAAGTTAAATAGATCAAACAATATGGATTTTTAAAGTCGGCACCAGGAACCAGGACTAACCTTTTTCACTATTGGAATATTATTACAAAACACCTTGTATATTGTAATGCACCAAAGTCCAAATTGTAGTTCTTGCTAGCAAAATCTGGCGTCGCTGTAAATGATCACAAGTAATTGGTCAACTCACTTCGCACCAATCCCGGTCACGACAGACGAGAATAAACTATCGGCACCAGTGCAAGTCAGAGATAGACGGAAAATCAGAACATCGTCGACGTTCAGCTAACTGATATTTGTCAATTTTAGTCCCACTTCCTCACGAGGAGAGTGTAGACGTGGATTGTTCGGAGGTCGCAAAATTTATCGAAATTTACGTCGTTGTGCGGAAAAATGTCGCAAAACTCGTCGTCTGGAAAGGCCAAAACCGCTAGACAGTTGGTAAGTACCGTTTTATCCAAGTAAAAGCCGCATGCACGTGCCGACAATCGGCCATGCCATGACTTAAACTTCTCACGTAAAACTCATGGTCGCCATGCCTTTTCGTGTTACTACAGTTTTATCGTTTTTATATTTACTGGGTCTTTGTTAGTTGACTGCGATTTCGACGCACAAATCGACGATTTTTTTCTCTCATTTATTAGCTTAATTAATTGCACTTTTTCTCAACTCCGATAACTGGCCTGTAAGTTTTATTCTCGATCGATGTAGGTTTTAATAAGCAAGTGACGAACGCTACGCGGTTCAGTACTTTCCATACTGTTTTTAAGTCGTCGACATTAACTCTTATTGGTGCTGCTCACCTGTACTACCTGCACTCCTTTCGGTATTTTTTGTTTTACCATCAAGTTCGCTTATCAACACTTTCTTATCTAAACGGTGCTGTTTATTATCGTTAAAAAATTATCCTATATATTTCAGTTCGCAATCTAGAGTGAGTCTGAGCCGCAGTTTTTGCCTCAATGAAAATATTTTTTTTAGTTTCGAAAATGTCATTTGCATGTCAAGGTATTCATGCCAAAGCAACTGCCATCAATAAGTAACATATACAGTGTGAGAGAAAAGTTTGGCAGGTGATTCAAACCTCCCTATAAACATGGGAAATTAAGGGAGCTGCAAACTCTGGAAGGGAGAACCTTGAAGACGACTTCTTTGTCGCAATATTTCCTAGTCAGGATGAGCTAAAATTGTTCAGTATTCTGCAATAAGCGGACATCCGAAACGTATTTTGTGCGATTAATTGCAGATTTTTGTCATGGGCGTCACATGTAGGCGGTTTCTTATGTAAATATTCCCCTAACTTTCTTGTTGGTGCCATTTCTTAAGTATTGGAATTAATTTAAACAATTGCAAATATTTGTTAGTGAAAACGGGACCTTTTTAGTTCTTCTCGTTAGGATTCACTGTCACAATTTTAAGCTAACCGCTTAGAAAATATTGCAAAATTGCAAAGAAATCATTCTCAGAGGTTGCCCTTTAAGGATCCCTTGAGCAAACAATTTTTAAGATTTGATTGCTGGTTATTTTCTCAGGTTTTTTTATCAGGTTCTCGCGTTTGCAGCTAACCACATGCTCACCTTATAGAAAGTCATTTAACCAACAACTTTTCTTAGCGGCGTTTCTTGTAGAAATCTATATTTTACCACTTTTTACTCAGTTAAAGTCAGTATTTTTCCATATGATAACAAGCTACGCTATGACGTCCACTCTGTCTGTCAAATCGCTGTCACGGTGACACAGTTCGAAAAACATCGCGTATTTGCCAAATCTATATTTTGTTTATGCTTGATTATTTATTAAAAACCTTTTGAAGGTATTTGGGTTAATGTCGATTACTTTTTGTTAGTTTTGTGTACTATTGAATAACTGATTATTTTCAAATCTATATTTGGGTTAGTTTTGTGCAGTTTGGGTTAGTTACTTCAACTATCTCAAGAATTTTTTAAATTTTTTTCTGTTAAATACCAATTCCCTTTTTACGAGAGCAGTCAACAACATCGTACCTATTTACATGATTTGAAGTTAAATTTGCGGAATGTAAACGATTAATTTGGGAAAATGATTTAACTGTTAACGTTGTGAGCGTTAAATCGTGGTGGCCAATCTGCAGTTAAATTATGACGAAAACAGAAGAAAGAAATGGATGTTGCGTGAAAGTTCGATAAATATCCCCGGTTTTCAGATATTTGGCTTTTTATAATTGTTTATAATTATAATTATACAAAATATTGTCTAATAGAAGATTTTTCTGAAAAATTGATTGATTATTTCTGCAGTGCAACATTCATTGCTTTATACTTCTTTGACTTTAACTAAGATTCGAAAATGTGATATTTTCGTTCGTTAGAGCCGCCAGTAACACCTGATTTTTTCTGTTGGCAAAAGAAAAATATAATATACAGGAAGAGCTTGCAGAAGCTTTGTGAACAGCGAATGTTTATAAAAATCAATGTTTAAAATAAACATTATGTCAAACCTAGAGCGACGGTACCTACATACTACGAATTTTTCCTTGTGCTTTCAGTGGTTTTCTAGACTAGCAAAACTTAGCTATCTATTTCAACCCTAGTTATACAACATTATTAAAATTACGTTTTTTGAGAAGGATGTGTACAAGTAATTAAACCAATTCAAAAGATAATTACATTATGGTCCTAAATTGTTCATAGAAGGTCACTGGGAAAATCCTACTATTGAAAATGTAATAAAGATTGATTGAAGAAAAGTAGATAAAAAGCGAGCTTCTCAGCAATTGAAGCGTTATTTTCTGCTTCTGAAAATGTTTTCCCAATAATGACCAAAGTTGTTTTTATTTTTATTAATTTTATCTATTCATTTAGATGTTTTTGAGGCATAGTCCACAACAGGAATGAAAAAGTAATTGAAGTGAAATAAAATAAAACTCTTCTAATCGTACTGCAAATATAGACCTGGTTATCTTGTACAGTACAGTTAAGATGGTTGGTGATTCTTGTCAACCGAAACGTTTTTAATAATAACGAATCTTTCCACATTAGAAAAACTAACGTATTTGCAAGTTTTTTTGCCTTTCGTTTTATTGGTGAAAGTGTTACCGCCATCAAAATTATTTTTTGGCATATTTTCTTTTTCGAAAAAACAACCGAAAATTACGCGTTTTCATTTATTTAGCTCAGCTTTGAATATTTCTTCGTAAAGACGTAGAAAAAAACAAGTTAACGCGGTTCATTTAGAAACTTTCTGTTCTATTCCTATTTTAATGTAACTATTCCTCAATAGTTACATCGCGATTTTTAACTGCTTCTGAAAATTTTCAATAGTTAAATCGGAATTTTCAACTAGGTACTTCTAAAATTTTTAATTTAAAGCCCAAAAAATGTTTGTAGATAATAAAAAAGGAATCTTTTTTGAGGTATCCGACCATGTGTTTGTTTGTCGGGAAATTTTATAGAAATACACAATCTACATTTTTCCCTTCAAGAGGGTTATTTTGTCAGGCATTCTATAATAAATCCCAAGAAGGATCTTATATAATCTTTCTCGATAAAATCAACTATTTCCGGGTCACCGCCCGAAGGATTTGGCATTCGCTATAAAACATCCTGTATAGACACAATTAATTTATAAAAACATTGTTTGTTGATTTTCAATGTTTACTTTATAAGAACGACAGTAAAATGCTTTACGATGCTTTTTCCACAAGTTTACACCATTTGATATAACAGTGAAAGTAGTAGTATCTGAAAAAAAAGCGCTAAAAAACCCATAAACAATATTGGGTTATAGTGTTATACAATTGCGTTGAGCTGTTCGATGTTCTCACTTTTATTCGATTATTGCACTTTTTTTAAATGTGATTGTACTCGTTAATTTAAATGTAGTTTTATATCAGCGATATTTTCTCACTTTTTATTCTAACACAGGAAAGTTTTACGCACAAAATGCGCCTTTGGCCATCTGCAACTCCTATTGAATGTGATCTATTGGAGCTTCCGGAAAAATCTGTAACCATTTTAACAATGTTTATTGTTTGCAGTAGAGAACATTATTTTTCTATAAATTTGTGCAGTTTGTAAATTTCTGGGCGTTATTTTTATTTAAATGCTAATCATCTAATTAAGGCTTAGAACCGGGAAAAGGCTTGTGATTTAGGCGCGGAAATGTATGAGCTCAGCGCTCAGCTATCGTTTTGTTCCGGCCTGTCAGTGGCATAGTAAGCTCGGTTTCTGAATCCCGCGGCTGCGCTTATACAAGCCGCTGAGCTTTATGGATGTGGTTTTGGGAAAATGCTCCAGATTCGCTCGGAAATCGCGATTTACGGGACTTAATTTGAAAACTCACACATGACACATTTTAGTCTCAAATACATTTTTTTATCGAGGGAAATAAAATGGATGAGAAATATTGCTATGGAAAAAACAGTAAACGTATCTGAATATCTTCTTCAAGTTGTTACAAAACCCTTGAGGATTTTATGAAGAAATTAACCAACTGGCAGATTTGGACTCTTAAATTCTCAAAGTATTTTTTAAATTTCTATGCGATCAATTAACATATTAGCCACATTTAAAAAAATCCCTGTATATTTCCTTATTTAATCAAACAACTCTCGTTTTCGGGGATCTGTTTAGAAAATAACGCAGTTTTTCGAAAGTTGCATGCATTTGCCCGTTTCGGGTATGACTAATGGAAAACAATAGGCAATTAATGCATTATTTATGTGTTCGTCCTTATAAAGTGCGTTGTATTTATATAATAATAATGACGAAATGTGAATATTACCACAGCAATTACTAATTTCTAAGTGGGCTCTAATCGCTCCTATTTTACATGTGCAATTTTTCGCTATGAATGAGCGATTTTTCCCATGTACTGTTTGAACAGACACATTTTTTTGCCTGATTTGTGGTTGAAAATTTACTGATTTGCTAAAATAGTGGTAGACATCTGGATTAGATAAAAGGAAAAAGCTCGAGAGGAATAATGGAAAATTTCCAATGCAAAATTTGGAACAAACAAGGCTAAAAATGTACAGTTTACAAGAAACAGTGTCAACTAATTTTTAATGGCGATTTTTCAAAAGTTTTGTAAAACCAGCAAACTTTCGCTAAACGCTTCTTTGAACCTCGAGAGGGTTTCGAGCTTATTAGCTATTCTCAGCAGAGTTAAAATATTTGCTTCGTTTGAGAGAAAGAAATTAATTCATTTTTTACATGCTCATTCATCCATCTATAGGGAAACCGCTTAAATATTGCTGGCTCTAGTGATTAGCAAATATCTTTTTAAGGCTTTTGTCAATATTTTCGCGATTTTTTAAATATTATTTAAGTCGAAAATTTCCCGGAGAGAATCCGGAAATTGTAATTGTCAGCGCATTTCTGAAACGCGCTACCCAGTTTTCCTAAACCGATTTTGCTGCGAGCTTTCAGTTTTCAAACGCAGCTTCAGTTTCAGTAGTTCAATATGGCGCATAGAGAACGCAAGCTTGCCCGCCTTCCAGATCGCCAGGGCTACATTTCTCGCATGGTACGTTTTAGAAAAAAAATTGAAAAAGTCAGGCGGGCTTCTTCCTGCAACCATTTCTCAGCTAGATGTGTAAAATTTCGGGCCGGGATTAGTGAAGAAATAGTTAAATGCCAATGTAAATCCTCAGCTTTTATTGATTTTAGGCTGTCTGATATATGCCGGGTGTAGTGTACTTGTGATGAACCGAGAACGCGAAAAGTATGTTTTTGACGTCGAAAGGATTATTTTTGAATGCATGGCGCTTCAGAAGATTTGCTACTATTGAAAGTTCAGGCCTGGTTACTATTATTGATCTTGGACGCCTAGCTTTACTCAAAATCATCTAAATAGACTTGCAAATCAATATTAAGAACAGAATGCACTTTTGCTTTTGAATACAAAATGCGAAGAATCGGCAAGTTTGCCTTTGGAGCCTAATGAGTTACGCCCCTGCTTTGAGGATTTTAATTTTTTTATAAACATTTTAAGCTCAATTTCAAATGAATTTTCTTCACAATTGGTTGTTCTCCTTATTTTGGACACGCTTTGGATAAAGATAAGCAGAAGAAATCTTGTCCTTGTCAGATGAAAGCAAACTGCAGGAATTTAAAGGAAGATAAATAAAAAACTAAGCAACAAAATAGTGTTATTGAAATCCGATATCGCTTCGATTTTTGTTTAAAACAGTTTTTGATTTTGATTTTGAAACAGTTTGGAGCCAGTTTAGTAGAATAAACAAAACATTCAAAATCTTTTGATTTAATGAATTAAATGAATGAGCAAATCGTGTGTTAAAGTGTGTAATTTCTTGTTTAAATAGATTCTGGCCTAATTTCGACAATAAATTACACACTGTTTGTTAATTCATTACATCCAGTGCGTACACTTCAGTTCCGATAATTTCGCATTCCTTTAGTGAAGAACATCGACAATGTAAGGCAAAACATCCCGCATAGAACATGCTACTACTCGGCCCTTAGTTGTATTATTTTGGTTTTTTGGATGTAACTCGAGATCGACTAAAAATAGGTATATTATCGCGTTATACTTTCATATAAAGAATTACTTGCGCGTTTGCCTCCCACTAGAAAACACATGGTATTCTATTTAAAAGCTAAACAAAACGTGTGATTTTTAATATCGAACAAACTTTGCCTTGCTGTGTTAAACACTATGTTTGCTAACAGCGCAAATGATAGGAAACAACAAGAAAAAATGTAAAATTAAAATAAGAGTTATACGTTATACAAATTTAAAAAGTTATACAATGTATTTTTAGTGTTTTTGATTGGATTTTGTTTGAAAAAATAAACACTTTCCTCTCCCATCTTTCGCTTCAAGATACAAAAACGTTTCTTTTTATCAATTTGTTAGCAATCGTTTGTACATAGATTAGCAGTATTAGGCGAATTTTTTGTATTCTACTCGAATTAATTAAAATGGCTTTTTATGAGCAAAAACGAACATTTTGGTAACGATTTCCATACGATTTCAACCACTGTTCAATTAATTCGAGTGAGGTGTGAAACAGTAGCCTTAATTTAAACGTCCTAAAGTTCAAACGATTCAACAAGATATTTGCAAAAAGAAATTATATTTTAGACACCCTGTATCTCGAAAGCAAAAACAGGAAAAAAATATTGAAATTAGGACCACTCTGTATATTTACTAACTTTGCGACAAATACAGAGTCTTAAAAATGTATATATTTTTGGTTGCTTGGCTTTTTTGATGAGTTTTTTGGCTTTTAAAGTGAGAAATCGAAAACAACAATAAAAGTGCATCTAATTATACAGTGGAATAAATTTAATTTAACTGCATATGTATGAATATCGATGAGCTTATTTGCGTAACGGTTTTAAAAATACAAACAAATTTTATAGAGGGTAGCTCAAACTAATTCAATTTCATCACCGGTTTATTCGTACCTAATACAGTTTTTAAATGTTTTTTCTATATTTTACACACATTTTTTAAATATTTATAGCCGCAATATTAGCGTTAAGCTGCAATTTTGCGTGTCTCACTGATTCAGGTTTTTTGTCGTAAAAATATTTTTTTCTCGGAACGACTTATATTAAGGCATTGAACTAATGGTGAGTTTTCGTGTAGAACCCAATCACATTTCAAAATGTACTTAGAATTTTCCCAAATTTCCAGTAGCAAGAAGTAAGGGGCAAAATTCCACTCAACAACATCGCTAACATAAATAATGCGACTTTATTCTTTTATTAGTAAAATAATACTCCTACTAAAAGAAAAGAAACTCCACACTTTATAAATTTGTTGGCAGAGCCACTTTGATAATCCGACATCCATAAGTCTGTAGTTAATACTAAATTAATATGCTGTTTGGTTCACCGTGTACAGTTCACAAAAAGATCCAAACAGTTTATGGATCAGCCAATTCTTGCTTCTCCTCTTAACCAAAGAACAGTTCATATTTCTTTAGAACAATAAAGTAGGGTTTCCATTAGACGATAAACTTTCACATCCTATTCCCTGATGGAAATCTGTTAATTTGGAAACTTTGCGGCTATTTTAAACGAGTGTGCCACTGTGCAACCGTGAAATCGAAATCAACAGGTTTCAACCATTTTCTTAAAATTAATTTCTAGTTCTTAAAATTCATTGTTACTGATTGATTTTTTCTATTCCATTGGTGTTATAATTCCAAAAACAGACACATTTAATGATAATATCATAAAATTAAGTCCAATTTAATTAGTTGAAGAAATAAATGTAATTTCTTCATTTATTGTTCATATACAGGGTGCTTGAAAAAGTGAAGTGCATTAGTTTTAGGACCGTGATTTACCTTCAAAAATAAGAAAAAAGTCATATAAGCAAAGGTCCGTACACGCATCGTTCATAATCGTTTCATAAATACTGGATGCCAAAGTTTGAAATGTTAAAAAGTATTTTCTTTATAGCTTTTTGAGATATTCGCATGTTTGATTCAATTTTGAAACACAACTACATTATTAAGCATAAGAAAGGAGCATGAATGCTTTTACCACCCGAAATTTTTATTATCTGCGCCACTGAATCGGACGACAGACTTTTTTCAAATTATTTGTTCAATTTAGAAACTTTTTTGTCTCTTGCATTTTTTGTGCCTGTTACCGTTTTTGCGTTATTTGCAACGGTATCAGAAAAACATCGTAATTTGTGTATGATTTCGACAATGCAATATCAAACTTTGACACCCTGTATTTTGAAAACGAAGCGTTTGCGGATCTTTGTTAATCTCAAGATTTTTTGCTTATTTTTTATCGTAAAACACCGTTCTAAAATGCATGAACTGAATTTTCAATCACCCTGTATTAGCTCGATATTGATAATCCGAGCATTATGTTCATATTTTCGATCACATTTTTATCACATTTATCCTTGTTGATTTTGATATTGTTACTTTATTTTAAAAAATTTATCATTAGATTTTTTACCTTTAACTAAAAGTTGGTACATGTTTTAATCGTTTTAATGATTAAACAGTCTAATCTAATCTTGTTTGCTCTTTTTGGGTCTTCAGCTTGATAACATTTTAACTAAATATTTATTATTTAAATGTTGTATGTTAAAAAATCATTTAATTTTAAATTTAGTTATTTTTTATCGCTTTGCTGCCCATTTGAGCTGAACATTTTGCCCTCGCAGCAGATCTTCAAATGATTTTCGCACTAGTTTTCTAGATGTCAGCTCAAATTGCTGTAAAAACTATTTGTAGACTTACGAAGTTATAAAAACTTTTTTTTCTTTATATTGTTAGTCTCAAATTGTTTGTTTTGAAGAAAAATAATCCAAATTTTCATTACCCGTGCAACGTGCCAACAAAAAAACCTAATGAAATAATAGATCACATCATTATATAAATACATACAAAAACCAAAAACCCTCACTGATTTCGACCTCTTGCTTCACCGAACCTCTCGTGATTCTATTGAGTTTTGCCTTGAAATATCGATGGCGTTTTACCTTAGCATATTTTTTTTTAAACATTACATGATACTTATTGATTATCGGTGAGTTAGCTGGATAAATCGCGGCGGTTATTCGCGGAGAAATCGTATACAATTCATTACCTACCTCAAAACTTCGACTATGAGGAGCGGGCCAGCTGCTCAAAACAACTTGTTGATATTTTCCTCCAGGCAGGTTCAGTTCAATTGCAACATTTGTTAAACTGTTTCATTTTAATTATCATAAAAAAACTGTTTTATGCGTTTAGCGTGAGAGGAAGCAAAGAAAACTGTACTCGGACGACTGGGCATTGGGCGACGAAGATGATATTGAGAGCAGCAGAACGTTCAATTTGCAGGAAAAATTGGATGCTCCAATTTTCGAGTCGCATGGAATGGTCAAGGAAATGAGAGGCGAAGAACTAAATGTCGCCTACTTTCAGAAACATGGTTTCAACACTCCATTGCTGTTCAAAGACAAGACTGGTCTAGGTAAGTACATTGGAGCAACTTAACTTTCGAGCTCATTCTTACCAATTTTTTGCTATTTCAAAACGCTACTTTCAGTTGTTCTGGTGTGTGTACTTGTTGCGTAGACAGAACGTAGCTATTTAAAGCTTCAACAAGCTTTTAATGCCATCAAAATTAACCCAGTTAAACTGTAGCAACTAATGGAGATTGAGTTGATGCCGCGATCTCATGGAGAGAGGAGGGATTTACAGTTAACACGCTCCTTCAACTGGAAATTCTTATTTTCGTTCTTGTTCTGGCTTTTGGTTTGCTTGATCATATTTTTCTGGCGGAGATTGGTTTGAGGGGAGATAATTTCATTTTTACGTAGTTTTATATTCTTGCTTTTTAAACCAAGTTCTGCTTTTGATTCTTTGAAAAGTTACTCAGACAAAAATCGGCATCAGTTTCCTGCAAAATTATTCTTTTCCTTAAAAACTATCGTGTAGAGTGCGAAATTCCTGCTCTTAAACCTTCGGGAAAATCTTCGCCGATGTTCTAATTTCTGCAAGTTAAAAATCTCAAATAAACTGTATCGATTAAAGGAATAATGAAGCGTGGAGGAACGAGTTCGGTCATGAGAAACGAGAGGAAGACCGACACGTAACACACCCGAACCGCAAATGCGCGCTCGTTGCGCTCTTCCGGTTTTTGTTTTCACCCGAAATGTAGCGCGTAGAGCACTGTTGCCGCTTATTTTCCGCTGCTACAGCTTGTCTGCAGACTGTAGACGCGGAATTTCTGCGCCGATTTTACACAACTGAGATTTATTTGCTGTTTTATGCAACAGTTCTTCGCGATGAACATTTTTCTCGGTTTTATGTTTTTTTGTTATTTAGCGACAATTTATTGTTTTTTGTCAAAACTTCAAAAAAATCAGGAAGCCCAATGTTTAAATAAATTGTTAAATGGGAAATAAATAGTTAAATCACTCAAATGTAGTTGTGGATACCGAAACCGTTTTGTGTTGACTCGTTTTATACCACCATATTGCTGTTAAGCCATTAAACTGAGCATAAATCGTATAATTGCAGTCCCAAAAGAATATTACGTATTGATAACATGCCTTGATAAGGAGCTTAAAAACCGATAATCTAAAGCGGTTTCTTTGAAAAAAGCGTTCAATTTATTGCGCCTGTTTTCGCAACATTCGCCAAAAGCAACAGGACTTGGGAAGGTTTTGATCGTTTTTCAATGGTTTCTTCCCCGCCTTGTTCATGCGATTCCAATTCAACAATAGGAATTGTCATTCTCGCCTTAAAGGCGCATTCACCAAATTGTCAAGGCACTTGTATTCGAAACAATTTACGTAATGAATACTTTATTATAGAAAACCCGATTTTTAAATGAAACCTAATATTAATTGAATTTGAAAAATGAACAATTAAGAATAACAGAACCTAGTCAAATTGCGCTAAAAATAATTTTAGCAATGTGTACAGTTGACAGTTACAGTATTTCTGTAACATTCTGGATTTGTTTTTAGGTCTATGTATTGACTTTGTTTTATTATGTTTTGTTTATCTTTCCTATCATTCTTCTGTTCATTTTTCCTTCATGTCCCTTATAATTTATTATTATATATTTTTATTAAATCAAATGTTTGTATGAAAATTGCTCTGTAAAAAGTGGCATTTAGCAGGTTCAATTGATTATTGGCAAATGCTTCTAATAAATGCATTTTTAATACACATAATAAATCGTGGCATCGCTCAGCTTTTCGTAACTGAAAGTGGCCAAACCCAAAAAAACAGATATAAGTAAAATACAAAATGCTAATTGTAGTATTGACCTGATTTGGTGATTTTTCAGGTATTAGGGTTCCTTCTTCCAATTTCTCCATTAATGATGTTCGGGTTAGTGTCGGTTCTAGACGCGTTCTGGACGTAATGGACGTGAGTACGCAAAAGAACAGCGAAATGAGCATGAAGGAATGGCAAAAATATTACGAAGATAAAAACAAGGGCCAATTACTCAATGTTATATCGTTAGAATTTTCACATACCAAGCTTGAACATTACGTACAGAGCCCGACTGTAGTAAGGTGAGAATACATTTAAAATATTCGTTTTACAGATCAGAAGTGTTTTAATAAATTTGATAATTTTCTTTGACTTTCTTAGCTTAGTATCCAAGTCAAATAAAGCATTTTTAATTGTTCACAGGCAAGTAGATTGGGTGGATTGCGTATGGCCTCGGCACTTGAAAGAGAGCCAAACAGAAGCCACGAATTTATTAGAGGATATGAAGTACCCTAAAGTGCAAAAGTACTGTTTAATGTCCGTTAAAGGGTGTTATACAGATTTCCATGTAGATTTTGGAGGAACATCTGTTTGGTACCACATTTTAAAAGGTAAAAACCCACAGCCACATTATGAGAGTAAATAAATCGGTATGATTTTTTAATTTGCAGGTTGTAAAGTGTTTTGGTTGATTCCCCCCACTGACCATAATATTGATCTCTATGAACGCTGGTGTCTTTCTGGCAAGCAATCAGATATATTTTTTGGTGATACTGTGGACAAATGCGCAAGGTATTTTTGTGGTGTTTTTTCAAAGAATAACTGTTGATTCTGAGTGGTTATAGGATTGTGTTACATGCGGGAAATACGTTTTTTATTCCCACTGGATGGATCCACGCTGTTTACACTCCCTTGGATTCTTTAGTATTTGGTGGGAATTTTCTGCACTCGTTTGGCATAGAAAAACAACTGAGGATCGCTCAAGTTGAAGACAATACTAAGGTACCCAGTTGCCTTATTAATTGTGATAAGTTTACTGGACATTGTGCTTTTGTAGGTTCCACAGAAATTTCGCTACCCATTTTTTACGGAAATGCTCTGGTATGTGCTTGAGCGCTACGTTCACTGCCTTTTAGGAAATTCTCATCTGACTACTGGCCAAGACTCTCCCATACCTCCAGACCGGCCGCATATTCATTTGACTCAAGTCGAACTACATGGATTGAAAGTGAGTTTGAATTTGTTAATTTTTTGTGCCCAACATTACTTCCCAATAATTTAGGATATTGTGCGCTACCTTCATATGCTGCCTTCAAACCGAAAAAATCTCCCGGATTTAATCAGAGATCCAATCGCGCTCATTCAAGACGTACGAACCTTGATTGGATTACATCGGCAGGATATTAGAGAAATGGCAATCACCAACAGGCCTATCTTATCTCGTAAGTTGCAGATAATTGCAAGTGTAATTTTGTGAATGTTAACTATTTTTTTTGGCGTTCTTAGTGCCCCATGATGATAAGAAGAAAAGCTTCTACAAAAACAACTCCAATATAAACTGTGTGAAAACGCCTAAGCCTCCAGGCACTTTCAAGGGACCGAAAACCAGTCCTGGATCAGCGTCTGGAGATAAAGGCGGCCCTCGGAGACGTCGAACCAGGTACACATTTCCAAGGCTTTTTTTTCAAATGGAATTGTTTAATTTTCCTTGCAGATGTAAAAAATGCTCGGCCTGCCAGAGAGCGGATTGCGGAGAATGTACTTTCTGTTTGGATATGGTGAAATTTGGAGGGCCTGGTCGCGCCAAACAAACCTGCAATATGAGACAGTGTTTGCAACCGATGCTGCCAGTTACAGCTGCGTGTGCGAGGTAAATACTGCAAGAAACGTTTTGTAGATATTCTGGTAGTAATTTGTACATTTTTGCAATAGATGTGGCTTGGACGGTTGGATGCAAACCCCGGTGGCACCCCTACAGAAAGGACCCCAAAGATGTGATACTGCCAGCACACTTATGGAATGTTCGGTAAATTCCCTTCGTGGCCTTCATTAGGGACGGTTTTAAATAAATTTTGGTTTTACAGGTGTGTTATGAAATCGCCCATCCTCAGTGCGTGCAGCGGCTTTGTCAAGACTTCAACGGTTACATTAACGAAGACTTGCCCAATTCCTGGGAATGTCCCTTGTGTTGTAAACTGGGCAAAAATACGGACTATCGACCTCGTCATTTTCGAGCCAGGCAAAAGTCATCGGATATAAGGTAGACAGTTTGGTAATTTTTTTGATTAGATGGTAATTTTGCTTCATTTAGAAGAATCAGCATCAGTTCGGACGCCTCCAGTGCGTTTGAGAACAAAGTGCAACCGGAACATTCGGATTCGGGCAGCGAAAACGATCAAAAAGATACTAAATTGCAGGTAAGAGTTTAATTCTTGCGGAATTTTTTTTTCAGAATCACTTTTTGCCTTAAAAAGTTCTACTCACAAAATGACACATTTGCTTTTTAGGAATTATTGCCAATAAAAAAGCGAAGATCGAGTGATAACTCTGAAATAGAAACCAAGACTGTCCCTATTCCCTCATCCAATGATAGCCACCGAAAGACTGCGTTTAGAATGCATCTTGCCCACCAAATTGCAAGTAATAGTACAAAGGTATTTGTGGTTGAACATAAGTGGGTGATTTTTTCTAACTTTTCTTTCATTTTTCCCTAATTTAGGTTCTAAAGAAACCAATTGTAGTAGTAAGACCGGCGCCCCTGATGATGCTGAACCCAATAGTACCTACGAATAATTTAGTTTTAGATAAGCGAGTCATTATAAGTATTTTCAAATACTTAACGCCCAAAGAACTACTCGACTGTGCACTAGGTAAGTTCAATTTAGAAAAAAACATTTAAACCTGTTACTTACAGGTGGTAAATTGAGGTGTTTTGCTTTTGCTTAGAATAGTCTTTTCACTTTCTGTATAATTTATCCTATTTTATTAGTATGTAAAACGTGGGCTACATATTCAATCGACCCATCTTTATGGAAACGGATGGAATTCGATCACAAGAAGATCTCGAGCGACATGCTGAAAGGCACAGTGCGTCGACAGCCTGAAATTCTGAGCCTGAATTGGTGCAGAATAAACCACTTTCAGCTGCCTTGGTTGATTCAGAGGTTGAACAATCTGAAGCAGTTGTACCTGCAAAGCATAGATGTGAAAAGTGCCATTTCGTTGCGAACAAATCATTCCGCCGTACTGCAAGTACTGGATTTGAGCTTTATTTCCGATTTTAATGATTCGGCATTAAGAGAAATTTTAGGTAAGTAGGTACTTAAGATTACCACTCAACTAGTAAAGTAACCTGATGGGATTTCCAACTATTAACACCTTTTTTGTTTCTTTCAACAGGTACAAACAACGACTCACGTTCTGGGCTAGCAGGAGACAAAATTCGTTTCCGAAACTTGAAAACATTGAGGCTTTCAGGCACTGATATTACCGACATAGCGATGCGCTACGTTATTCAGTACTTACCTAACATTCAGCACTTAAGCCTCAGTATGTGTCCGCGGATATCCGATGCAGGAATCGCTCAGCTGAGCACAAAACCAGCCAACACTGTCACAAACTTGACCAGTTTGGACTTGAGCCATGCAAAATTGGTTACAGAGGCCAGTTTGGATCATCTGGCAAAATGTGAGAAATTGATAAGACTGGATTGCAGGCAAGCATTAAGTATCTCAACTCAAGCGCTGATCAAATTCGCTGCGAAAAGCAAGCACGACTTGCAGGTGCGTGAAATTAAGCTGGTGGACGTTAGGCAAAAACCTGTATAGTAGGCATAATTGGAGTCTAGCTAGTTGCGAAAGTGGATTCTCCACTCCATAACAAAGTGTGTTTTATTAGCTGCCTTTTATATAAAGTAAGTAAAAGTTTCGAGCGGTAGATTTGAGCCTAAAATCAAATTGATTTACCTCAAAATATTTAACTACACGATGCTGTTTTTTGCATCTTAAATAACGCTGATAGTTTTATAAGAACATTTACAATCTCGCGAGTTTCTTAAGGACCTCACTCTGAAAGGCAATAGCTTACTTTTTACGTATTATCTATATTTGTGTGCCCAGCCAATCGAAACTATTACTGAAGCAAATGGTTAATTAAAGCTCATGGGGCTTAGGATTGACAAACGAACCGAATTTGTGAGTTTCCGCTCTCAGTTTTCCCGGAAAATTGATTTTTGCAACTGGCACACTGTTCTAAACCTCTGAAAGTACCAATCGATAATGTTTATTATAAACTGCTCAACAAAATAGATGATATAGCTGATAGTTATTTAGTGCAATTATTTATCGCTTAGTGTCTGTTTTTGCAAAAGACTAGAGTTTCAGATAGAAGATGGAAGTTTCTACAGGGTGGAAAATGAAACTGCAAAATTGGTGAAAGTTTCACATGCTCCCAAATTACGTTTCTTTTTATTTCAACACCATCGGCATTCAGCTAGACTGTATGCATAGCTCTAAAAAAGGTTTTACATTTTTTGACCATCTCGTTTATTTACAGTGGTTTCAAGAAATTTAACTTTTTGGACTTGCATTGATATCGAAATCGGTTCAAGCGAAAAAAATACATTTTTTTGCTTGGACCGATTTAGAAAATTTGGGGCCCGTGTTGAAGTTGTTTGCATACGAAATGTTTGAAAGTAAGCTTCAATTTAGTTGAAAGGTTGCAAGAATCGCAGATTTATGGGGCAATTGTGAGTTGAGTCGCTTTTTGTGCCACCCAGTTTTAACTTCAACATGTGCTCAAGATTGTGAAAATCGATTCGAGAGAAAAGGTCGATTTTTTTGAGACGTTTCAATCTATTCGCTTTATCTATAATTGTTTGACGTTGAGAGCCAGAAAATTACTTTTTTGTCCAACTAGGAGCACGTTGAATTTTCCTCAATTTTCCTTTTTTTCATTTGCCACCCTGATTTTATTTACCTGAGGGGGTTAACTTTGGCCAGAACATTGACGAACAAAAATCAAATGGGGCTAAATAAGGCTTCACTCAGAAACAAAATCGCTTAAAGCAATCAGAATTTATCCACGTCCAAAGTTAGGGAAAATTTGGCTGGAAACGTTCATTTTGTTGAGCTGTTGATGCGAATCGAATGCGATCGAAAACTCGTGTTTTTCTTCCAAATTCTAAAAAATTATTATTGGTAATGCATGAGACAGTGGCACATTAGTTCTCAATAAAAAATCTGAACTTGCTTCGTATGAGGAAAAATGATCAACTGTAAAAATTGCAATTGCAAAAGCCAGTTAGTCGGAAAATTGGGATAAAACTTGCATGAATTTTGGGTAATTGGCATTGTAATATATCTAAAATTATATTAGCAAATACAGTATTCTAAATATATCAAAAATTGATCATTCGTAACAAGCAACCAAAGTAGGCAGTAATTCGTTTTTCACCGAAGAAATGAATCGCCATGTAGATGTAAATATTATTGTGATTTTTAAATAAATAATTTAGATCAATAAGATATTTAACTTTAACGTAGAATGTTTCTTGTTTTTAGTTGGGATGAAAGTTTTATTTAAAAAAAATCACTTATAGACTATGCTTATTGCATAATTGAAACACTTTTAATAGATACACTTTATACCTCTTTAAAAAATTTCGCGCTTCTAAGTCTGTTCAGAACTTTTTTATACAGTTTCGTTAATTGTAATGACTTCTATATCTATTCATGTCATGGTCTTAGAACAACAACTTTTACATAATGTGACCGTAGAGCTCGCCTATTGATTAGATTTTTTGGAACAATTGATACGTTTTGTTGAAAATAAATCACTTGAATAGTATACATATTAAACAAAGGTATATCGACAAACTAATTTTGTTGAACGTGAGTTCAACGGGTTTATTCTTTTAATAAACCGGAGTGCAATTTATTGAAGAATACCTTATGTAAAAGTATTGCAACCCATAGTATATCTTTTGTTTTTATAAGATTTATAGAGTGATATAATAAAATTTTTGTACAATGTAGTTTTTCGCGTTATTTCGAGGTCCTGCCAATTCCCAAGTTGTTTCTGTTCCTAATTATCAGAAAAAAAAGGGATGAAAAATGCATTTTGAAATGTTTTACTTTCTATTTTTATAGTCAAAATATAAGAATTATAACCCTTAGGTATACATGATAAGCAAAAAGTTGGACACACTATTATTTGAGAAATGCAAAAATTGAAGTGAAAATCAAACATTATTCACTATATCAAAAGCTTATAATATGAATAACGCAAATCTGTATTAATTAGGCTATCTATGATAAGGAAAAAACTAGGACAAACCAGATAACTAAACAGTTCTAATGTTAAGGCTGTTCTTGCACTTTAAACGAATTTACTCTAGGACTACAGCCTCAACTTACAGGAACAGACGTTATCTACAATCAAATGGAATAAACCAAGAAAATTATTAACAAAACGAAAACATTTTCCATCCATCCAGAGTTGTGCTGGGCCATAAATCTCTAAACTAGTAAATTTTTAGACCTTTAGAGATGTATGGACTGGACTAGAAAAATTAGCCTAAATATAAATCAATGTAGATAATATATATATTGGCGTACAGTCTTTTTACACTTATATTTTACAAAAAAAGTATAATAGTTTATATAGTTGGAAACATCCATATTATAACACATATATACAGGTAATATACAAAATAAAATAATCACTTAGTCTAGCGTTTAAAACTTACGTTTATGTGCTTCGGCCATTCCGGTTGCAAGTAGTTTGGCTCTAAAATTTTTCTCAATGTGTGTAAAACGGAATTATTACAAAAATCACATTTAGATAGTTTAAAATCGCTATTATAGACAATCTTATTACATATTAATATATCTAGTTGCAAAGTAATCAAAATATCAGTTTGAAATTATTCTAAAAATACTAGGAAATATCTTGGACTTTCATCAAGTGAAAAATCGGAATATTGGCAAGTTGACCACATTTTGCACTTCTCAGCTGCAAAAAGGTACTCTGTTAATTATTCTACTCCTTGTCAATACGAAATGCACAATAAAAAAAATTTTTTTGGTCATAAACCATGAGTTTTGCTTTGTCCCTAAGGCATACATCAAAACGATATTCCTTTTACATATTTGATAGCTGATAAGTTGAATTAATTCCTTCTAGTCTTGATCAAACAGTTTCTATTTACACTCACTGTACAATAATTCAGTTGTCTAAAATATATCTTCTTTCATACTAAAGTACACCTATTTTCACTTAGAATAGCAATAGGGAGCAATCTGAAAAGCAACAGTTTGCTGATCATACACTTAATTAGCGCAAAAATACAATTTTCTTCTCGTTGAAATACAAAAATAAAATCATAAACCAGCGGGCATAAACATATGACTAAAGCAGGATTTTTTCGAATTCGAGTTGTTCAATTTGGAAAAGATACTCGGTGTTTCGAGGTCAAATTTAAATAGAGCGAATCGTTCTAATAAATACATGCAAACTATTTTTTTATCTGGCTTTAAGGTGCTGAAGTTTCAGGAATTTGTTGTTTTATAGGGTTGAGAGCGTTTTGTGCGTTACGGAATGAAGCAATTTATTAAAAAAACGTAAAAAAAATTAAAAACTTCTTGAAACTTCGACACTCTGTAGCTGGACAGTGAAGCGTCTATACAGGGTGTTTCAGACATGAAATGAATTATATATACAGGGTGTCTCAGAAATAAGAACCGTAAATTTAGGAACAAATATGAAGAACATCCAAGTTTTTGAAATACAGGAAACTACTTTGAAAAATACAAAATTGTAAATTACTGCAAAACGGTTTGATAAATTTCAATGAAACTATGCTGGTGGGAAATTTTTTCAGAAAAAAACAATAATAAAAGAGTGTTTTTTATTATATTTGGGTAAGGTCTATTTACCCCTTAATTTACAGTGTCTTTGTGAGACACCCAGAAGAGAGAGGGTGTTAAAACGCTGAAAAAAATTGAGTTTTGGATCAAAATGTAACAATTCTGCGGCCGATTTGAATAAAATTTTTTTAGTACTATTAAACAATGGCACCTGATCTCCATAATTTCTTATGGACTTCGATTTTCGTTTCATTTTAAAGCGTTTTAAAGCTATACATAAAACTAATTTTTGTTCAAGAACTTAACATTCCTCAATATCAAAGGCTTCGCAAGGCTTTTGTGCCTTCAACTCTGAAACATCCTGTATATTTACACGAATTTTCCACTTTATTTAAACACACCGCGTCAATTGTGTATCAAAAAATGTTTATTTTAGAATTCAGCCATCGATATTTGCATTGAGGCAAAAGAAAATCAATGGAGAAGCTTCGGTCTGCTGCATTCTTTATATGGTCGATATTCAATACGTTTTGTTCGTATTGGTAAAACTTGAAACTGAACTTGAGCTTGAATAGTGCAAAGTTGGGTAATTATCTCGATGATTTAGCCCTTCCCTTTGCCTTTCAGAAACAGATAATATGGTTATTCACAACTTCACTTAGTGGCGTTTTTTAAGCAGTTTTCGGCCACTTTTCACTCATGGAAATTCACGAATTTTCCATAAGATAGCAAAGAACGTCATCATTGGACGGACAAAAATCAATATGCTAAACCATGCTACCAAAATTCCACCAAAGAAGAAAATCACGGTTGGTGAATTTCCGTTTTGGTGGATTCAAATACAAAGCGTATTCATCGAAAAATCCAGTACCTACAAACGTAAAATGCTGACATTTTTTATGATTTTTTTAATTGTTGGCTGCTTTATATTAGTGGGAATCTGAAAAAACCACAACTTCGCTAAAGAGCCATCCAAGCCCAGTCATATAGTGTTATTTTCTCTAATACCTTGAGAGTAAATTTAACAAACGCGAAATCTAGTTCCATTTTGCACTATTCGAACAATACTCGACCTAGTCAATATAACCATCATTTTCTCGTTTCTATCTGTACATTTTATAATAGCAACCCGTCTGATATACCTATCTCTTCTAGCTGCTTTGTCTAAATCACAGATTTTTTTTACCTGACATACCAACTAAGCGAAACACAGGATTGGTTGGTTTTCGACAAGAAGTCGCGGGACTTTTGCGAGACCCTGTTTGTCTCCGTATTACTATCCATCATCATTTCGATTAAAATTTAAATACGTCCAATAAGCGAAATATTGACTCTGGCTAGTCACACAAAACTCGGCTTATTTCGATTATCTTCCCCGCATTGTCCCAAAAGCCTTGATCAAAAACCTGCAAGTGGAACAAACAATCACTTTCAAATGCATTCGGATGCTTCCAAGGTGCTGCCGATTCCGTTTTTTCTTCTTTTGGACCCTGATCAATTAAATTGTTCATGTAATTAACATTCATGATTACCAAACGTAACGCTTTGTCGCAAAAATATATCATGATATTATATTCGTTGTATTCAGTTAAATTACAGGATATCACAAGCGTGCGAGAATCGGGCAGCATCTGAAATGACCAGGAATGCGAGTGAAAAAACTTATTTTTATATGGTTAAAGTGATGGTACACTTATGAGTCGAGGGTGTATCGGAAGGCTTAATCATACCACTGAGGATATAAAATCAAAAGTAACATAAAGGATTTACAAATTTTCAGTTGAAAAATCAAACTTCTGATACACTCTGGACAGTGTACCTTTAAAAACCCAGCGTTAGCAGTAGGCGACATCTCATCAATGTTTGCGCAATATCTCATAATAATGTACACTTACACCTAAAATATATATACTTAAAAATAAATAATTATATGATTTATAATATTAAAAAGCCCAACAACTTGAATCACAAATATTCTTGTAGCTCAAACATCATTCCCGTATTTTTCTTTGTTTGACAATAAAAGATGGGTAAACATTTAAAAAATTGACTAATTAATACACATTAGATTCGCTATTTGGGAACGAATCGTCGAACCGCATAGTCACGTGGATGTTGCCTATCAGGCGACGATTCCTAAATTCGGAAAATACGAAACAAAAAATTAAATTATAATTGAAAAAAAAGTTTCACTTCAATTACACTTTGCCACTCTTAGTAGTTGCTAAGCGTATGTAGCATGGCCGCTCTTCATCATCTTAGAAACACCGTCGCCGCTATGGACAGCACGATTAACATAATAGCGGGAATTAGTATGGAACTTGCGTTATCTGAAGTCGATTGATCGCATGCCCCTGAAAATCACCAACAAATCAGTTGTAATTAGGAGCAAATAGTCTTTAGTCTCGTTTACTTTCGTAATTAATTTTGCACGTTTTCGCACTCTACTACCGAAATATTTTCGATAGCTGATATTAAAAACACATTTTTTTCAAACGTAAATCTTACCATTGCTAGTGAAATTAAGCGCCCAACTTCCACCCACGCCTGGTTTCACATATCGATGACAACTTTCACCTACTTTGGACATTTTTAATATGGGAGGTCCAGCGCTTTTGCCTGAAACAATCAAAACTTGCTTAATTAAAAATTATTTAATTCATCTAAGTCTAAGACGTCTTAATAGATTGATGCTGGCTTCAAAAATAAACGGAAATACTTCGAAAAGCCTCGTGAAATTGTTGAAAAACTCATGTGAACGTAATAAGGAAAATATATCGGTTAAAGTTAAAGACGTGACCGCTCAAAATTTCGCTTCTTTAAAATGAACCAAAAAATGTCGATTATTTCGGATCTAAAGGTTCCAGAGTTCTTTTAAATGAGCTCTTTGTATTCTTCGCTTATTTCTGTTGAAAATAATGTAGAATTTGAGGCAGTTTCAGAAATGTAATGTTTTTTGAAAAAACCGACCTCCCTTGTGAAATTTTCGGACCAAAATAAAAATTTTACATGCGTGGTTTTTGAGCTCAATCAATTATTTCCGACCTAAGAAGCTCTCTTTAAACTGTTTGAGTCTGTATGAAGGGAAATATCGTCGATTAAAAATCGTGACGGGTCCAAAACCGCTTAAAAAAGTCCAAAAAAATGTCGATTATTTCGAATCTGAAGCTTCCAGTATGCTTTTCAATGAACTCGTATTTTTCCCTTTCTTCAGATGAAAATCGTGCATATTTAAACGGTTTCAGTCTATATTAAGTAAAATATCGGTAAGTAAGGTTAAAAGTCGTGATGGGTCCAAAACCCCTTAAAATGGCTCAAAAATGTCGATTATTTTGGACCTGAAACTTCCAGAGTGTTTTTCAATGAGTTCGTTGCATTTTTCGCTCCCTTAATAAAAGTGTGTAAAAGTGTAAATTACGGAAAATATCGCCGATTAAAATCGTAATGGCTCGAAAACCGTTTAAAATAGGCCGAAAATGTTGTCTATTTTAGATCTGAAGCTTCCAGCGTGCTTTTCAATGAGTTCGTTGCATTTTTCACTCCATTGAAGCGAAAATCCTGTAGAATTGGAGGCAATTTGAGAGACTTGATGTTTTTTGAAAAAAATAGACCTCTACTCTTATGAAATTTTCGGGCAATTTAGAAAAAAAAACATTTTATAAGCGTGATTCTTGGGCTCAATGGATTGTTTCCGACCTAACAAGCTCTACAGTATGCATTTCCTATAAAGTGTTTGGGTCTATTTTAAGGAAAATGTTGTCGATATAAAATCGTGACGGCTCCAAAACCGCTTAAAAAAGTCAAAAACTGTCGATTATTTCGAATCTGGAGCCTCCAGCATGATTTTCGATGAAATCTCTGTATTAATAGCCAAAAATAAAAATTTTACATGCGTGGTTCTTGAGCTCAATCAATTATTTCCGACCTAAGAAACTCTCTAATATGCATATTTAAATTGTAGGAGTCTTTATTAAGGAAAATATCGTCGACTAAAAATCGTGACGGGTCCAAAACCGCTTAAAAAAGCCAAAAACTGTCGATTATTTCGTATCTGGAGCCTCCAGCATGATTTTCGATGAAATCCCTGTATTTTTCGCTTCCGTGAGATGAAAATCATGAAGAATTGGAGGCATTTTGAGCACATTGATATTTTGTGGAAAAAATTGACCCTTACGAAATTTTCGATTAAAAATCAAAATTTTACATGCGTGGTTCTTGAGCTCAATCAATTATTTCCGACCTAAGAAACTCTCTAATATGCATATTTAAATTGTATGAGTCTTTATTAAGGAAAAYATCGCCGACTAAAAATCGTGACGGGTYCAAAACCGCTTAMAAAAGCCAAAAACTGTCGATTATTTCGWATCTGGAGCCTCCAGCATGATTTTCKATGAAATCYCTGTATTTWTCGCTTCCGTGAGATGAAAATCGTKTAGAATTGGAGGCATTTTGAGCGCATTRATRTTTTTTGRAAAAAATGGACCCCTTACCCTTACRAAATKTTCGGTTAAAAMTCAAAAYTTTACATGCGTGGTTTTTGARYWCAATCAATTTTTTTCAACCTAAGAAACTCAAAGACCCAAAAACTGTCGATTATTTCGAATCTGGAGCCTCCAGCATGATTTTCGATGAAATCTCTGTATTTATTGCTTCCGTGCGATGAAAATCGTTTACAATTGGAGGCATTTTGAGCGCATTGATGCTTTTTGGGAAAAATGGACCTCCACCCTTTCGAAATTTTCGGTTAAAACTCAAAATTTTACATGCGTGGTTTTTGAAGCTCTCCAAACGTATGTGTAAAATATCGTGGGTTAAAAATCGTGAAGGCTCCAAAACCGCGTAAAATAAGCCRAAAATATCGAYGATTTTACAAATAAAGCTTATCGTGTTTTTTTTAATAAACTTGTTGTATTTTTCGCTTMMTTGAGATGAATTCGGGCATTTTGAAAAACTTCATATTTTTGACCGAAATATAATAATTTGAATTGCGAAAAATGTGGCATTAGTACTAACAATGCAATACTTAAACGTCCGGAAGGAAACATCGAATGMCGCTTTAGAAGAGAATAAAAAATAAGTGAGGCTTCACTCCTTTCTGCACTTCACGAAGGCTTTTAAAGRGGTTTCTCACAAAAAAACCTGRACAAATCAGCAGTTTTGTAGCTCCTTATCTCGTAGAGTTCGCTGAAAATTAGAGGTTCACTTAGTAACTTTGAATCAATTTATCTCCTCTTTCTCATTAATTCGTTACTTATAGGTGAAACTTGACACAGCCTTAGTTTTCCTGCTGACATTTTGCAAAACGTGAAAATCAAGGCCGAACTATGATTTTCCAAGGTTTTTGAAAAGGTGCCATTTCGCCGTTTGCTGACCGCAGCTGACCTCCAAACTCGTGCGATTTAACACYTATRGATTGGGAATTTTTCGTCAARATCAGAYGCTCTATGGACACTGTTCTACAGCAAACCACATTTTCTTGAATCATAAATTCGCTATTAYCGAAACGTTTTTTTCCGTAAAATAATCGCRTGTTGGATGATTGTTGGATTTATCTCATTGTACAGTTGCGAAACTAACAAAACTGCTTAAGAAATTTTGCTATTATTTTCGTACTCCTTCAACCCGCTTCAAACTTGCCATTTTCCGATACAAAACCCATCAAATTAAAGCTACCAGATTCGTAAAACTCTTACCTAGACCGCCTTCAATAACATCTTCTTGCGGCTGATTTGATAGCTGAAAAATGAAGCAATATCTCAGAGTGTTGTCTTGGTGGATTGTAGATCGTCTTGTGGTCACTATCGGCGTGGTAATTACGTATGTTAAGCCATCCTCCTCCCAACTGCCATGGCATGCGTAAGCTGCAAGTGTTTAATCACTTAAATGCGGATTTACAATCCAATTTTGGGAAAAGAACGGCGACTTACAGTTGGTTGATTGACTGGGACAAGTGGACTTAAACTCCATTTCATGCGATCCGCTGCACCCTACGGACAGTCCTTCGTATTCGTTTGATATGCAATCGGGCTCGGCATTGCCCAATTTTAAATCGCCTGAAAGTCCATCAAAAAGTCACTTTTCAAACTTGCTCAATTATAAATCACTTAATTGAAAGCGACTTAATTTGCAACTAATTTCAAAGTTATCAATATTTAATTCCGTACCTGGCTGTTCTCGTCGTTTTCTCTTTTCCATGAACGCATTGAGTTGAATTGAATATCGACCCAGATGAGGGCATTTCTTCGAGTGAAGAGTTGGCGCTAGAAACATTGAATTTTCAATTAATCAGGTTTATTTCTTCAAGAACAAAAGCCCGAAAAGTACAGCAGGTTACTTTAGCTGCCAATTGTAGAAAGATTCAATAAAACATCTCAAACAAATTTGGCAGGGATTTATACTTACCGACTAAAGTTGTATATGCAATTTCACTGGGATCAAAGGTAGCGCATGCTTCATCGGCGTTTTCATAATATCGATCTGAAAAGCACAAGGAAACTGGAATATTAACATCATATTTCGGCAATTTTATCAAAGAAAGCTGCTTTGATGTGATCTAATTTAAGCAGGGAAAAGAAGTAAATTTCCAATGGAAAATAATCCAATAGCCGTAAATTCCAGTTGGCAGCTAATGTTTCCACTATATGGTGGCTCTTAAATCATGCTGGCATTCATTGTAACATTCTTTCTACCATTAACGGGTGTACAGGCAAAGCTAATATCAGTTTACAAAAATTTAGACATATCTCATCGATTAATTACATACATTCGAAATCCGATGTCACATGATATTAATAATGCACATATTAATTAAACGGTGATGATTAAATAACAGGAATAATCAGTAAACACCAAATAATACATATCAATATAATGGCATGAATGAATTGATCCCCACAGATCGGTTTCAGGGATGGGTTTTGTTTTAGCTTCCATGCGAATTATATCGCAATTAAAAACACTTTGTTTGGCATAATTCTTTAGATAATAGTAGTTTTCGATACAATTGCGAAGTGTCGTTTTTCGAACGACGACGGCGTCAGGAGTTCGAAAAACGGATTTTTGCCCTCGTATCAAACAATATTTTTTATTCGACTAATGGACACAACACGAATGATAAGTTATAATAAATAAAAACAGCCAAAAATCAAAGCAACAATCAATCAATCAGTCAAAAGTTAGCATTTATTTTATTCGTAAATTGCAAAGTGAGAAAGTCAATTTCGCATAAACTTTAAACGGCAAAGTCTTGTATAAATGGGGAAAGTTTCGATCTGTAGTCATCATCAGACAATTTTTTAGATTTAAAAAAATCGTGTCTAGTTTTGTGGTGATTTTTTCAGGCCGGAGTTTAGGATTTATTTATTCACGAACTTGCATGTTTCTCACAGTGCAAAGTCTGTCTCGACCAGTCCCAAAAGTTTCGATTTTCAGTCATCAGGCAATTTTCAAGTATTCTTTAAACCCGTCTGCATTTCGTGGTGTTTTTTGCAAGCCGCACTTTAGCATTTATTTCGTCTTAATCGTAGCAAAGTGAGAAAGTCAACTTTGGATGCATTTAGTAGTGCAACATCCCTTATATGAGTGTAGTAAGTTTCAATTTTCAGTCAGAATTCGGAAATTTTCAAGAAGTTTTTTAAATAGAATCTGGTTTTGTGAGGGTTTTTGCAAGCCG